TCATCATCCGGCATGACATTTTATTTCATAAGAGAGTATTTTTATTAGTATTATTATTTTTCCTGGGCAGCAGGTGTCAAATCATATCAGGTACAATCAGCTGTCAGTCAGCCGTGAGTGCCTGTGTTTGACAACAATGCATTTCCCATCATTTGTTTGGACTTTATAGTCCATGTAGGTGGGTGAAGGGAGCTGCAGTTGCCTTTTTTGCCTTTACCTACCTTCACCTGCTTTGCGAGGTGCCTGCAGCCGTCTTGATCTCACGATATTACCAGTGCCTACACAGCAGTTCACCTGCAGCTGCCTTCACCCCTTGCTCATCTTTCTTTAACACACCTGTTGACACACCTGCCTGTCTAGAAGTCATTGTTTTAGCCCATGAATAAGGTGTGGTAGTTAGTGCAAGTCAATTTTTTGCTACTGTGTATGAGAAATAAATAAATAAGTAAATAAAATAAAGCTGATCACTGTGTTTAAAGGAAATTAATTGACTGATCAGAAGAGTGAGATATTCTAGTCAACTGCTTAGATCTTATCTGAACGAAACCTCTTAAAGGAGGGGGAGCAGCGTTGTGCAGAATCCTATGAAGCAGCTTGCCTGGGATTAAGAATACACACTTCAATACTTTACGAAGATGTTTGTGAATCCATAAAAGTATAGATCCATGGGTGAATCTGGTCACCAGTGACTCTCACCGTTTTCAGATGGACATGATTGACAGATGGATTAGCTAATCAGGGACATACATTGTCCATCCTTATTGTAAAAATAACGGGAAAAAATAGAAGGACTGTAAAACATCACAGATTTTTGCACAATTAATGTGCAAAGTTAAACTCTGTTCATCTGAGGTGAGCTAAGTCAGATTTTATTTGACTGATTTTATTTGTAAATGAGAAGTGAAAATTCTGAGCTCTATCGTTTCACATGCGTCACTGAAAAAAGACAGATCTGATTGCATGATCACATTTGACCAGGCATGAGGCGTGATGGAGGGAGTAGGGACCAGACTGATATCAATCTTCCCACAGGGAGGGAAATCCCATTGGTTAGTACGACCTACGAGAGGGATCTGGCTTCACCCAAAAGATCCAACTTACAGACCTCCACCAGGAAGACCTCATGTGACCTACCTCAATTCACTGGTCCCTGAAAGTAAACAAACAGGAGCCATGCCATAGGGCCACCAAAGTACTTAACTTCTCCCTTTTTTTTCTTCTTTTTTTTCATATTATTTTGCCACATTATCCTATTAAATTTCTATCCAAAAAGCATTTACATTTTTCAGGTTCCTTCATTTGTCTCACTAAGTGGACAGTACCTGATTGGTCGACTCTGGTTGACAACCAATCAGAATTTAGATCTCACACAGCCCGTCTCGCATAAAAATCATGATTTCTATGCCCTGCTTAGAAATGGCTGCAGCTTGCCCCAGTCTCCCTGTTTATGGTCGCCATGGACACTGAGGAACTTTCCCGTCCAAACAAAACAATTGATACTGTGCAGCTGATCTCATCAACATTCCCTGGTAGTCTGAAGCTATTGAAAGCAGTAGTTAACCTGTTAGACGCTCTGTTCCTCAAGTTAGTTTATCTGAGCTTTATTTTATTTATTTTATTTTTTCAGTTTGTCACTCTCACCTATTTTTTCTTGAAAATCAAACACCTAAACGTGATCATGTACACTTGTATTGATCATAGGCTCCTAAGTTTACAGACTATCTTAACACTTTTTAATGTTTTCTAATGTGTATCACTAAAGTATCTCCTTCCTTTGAAAATATTTTGTTATAAAAAGTTCAAATTCACACCATAAGAATCATGAAGAAGAGCTCTGTATTCATGAAAAAATAAATATCTGTTTTATAATTGTGAAATAGTTTACCCCTAATTCTGACTTTTTCCCTCATAATTACAAATTAATAATAAATAACTTTATCGATCAGGTTACTGCACACGATTCAGCTCAGTGGGACAGTGAACCTGCACAATTACTGATTTGCCAAATATACTGAATTTTTATCATCTCATTGCACTAATACAGAAGAGCATTGTATTCATGAAAAAATAAATATCTGTGCCAAATTAGGCTTTGTGTGTGTTTTGTGTGTGAGGACTGGCAAGATCTGGGCCGAGATGAGGAGAAGGGACATAACTTTGTGGACAATAATTGCTGGACTCCTGGACAATGCTCGTGGACCTTTTCAGTGTGCTGGGGTCATAGAATGGTGTAGGATGCTCCAAAGCTCATCATCCATAAATCTCAGTCTTTGATGGGGTTACATAAGACTCCTTTGTTTGATTTGAATAATTAGGCCTGAGCCGAGAACAATGTCCCAGTGAGGGTCTAAATAAAACTGTGTCTGGAGCCTGGAAAATCTAAAAAATCTAACAGTCCAGAAGAGTGTACATGTCAGTATCAAAAATCGATGAGCTCTAATTTTGAATGAAGACCCAAGAAAAAATAATGAAAGATGACTTCACTAGTGCCACCTCAAACTTTTCATGGGGATTTTCATGGGGCCTAGGGGAACCTGATCCAGAAAAAAAATCAACAGAAAAATGTAAAACTTGAACATGTCCGGACACACAAAAAAGTACATCAGTGCCCTAAAACGTGCAGGAATGCAGATATATTAAATCAAAGCTAGGAATTACAAAGTTTTCCAAAAATTATTAAACCCCCCCAAAAAAAAAAAAAAAAAAGTTTTAAGTCTGTGTGAAAAAAAAAGACTTGGTAGCACCCCCAACAATACCAATTAAATTTTTTCTTATAGACAGTCTATCCTCCCCCACATCCCCCTTGACATACTAAAAAAAAAAAGCCAATGAGGACATTCTGCAGTGATCATATTATTGTGGCAACATCAAAAATGTATTTTTGAAATACATGGGATTTTGGCAACTGTACATTATTGTTGCCAAATAGATGTGTTAATTTAATATACCTATGTTCTAAAATTCAACTTCCTCAAAACAAGAATTATTAAAAACAAAATTAAATAAACCTCAGTGGCTCCTCTTCAAAATTTTAAATACATTACAAGTATGAGATGACCCCATTGTTTTTAAAACTTATCACCCAAAACTTTGCAGAGACATAGCCAATGTTTTGCCAGTAAAAATATATATTATGAAATTCTGATACATGATCCTTATTTATTTTATTATTACTATTATTTATTTATTTATTTTTTCATAAAACTAAGTGGTCAAGTCATTATTACCGGGAGACTTACTGTGTTTAAGTTAATCTATATTGGAATCAATATTTATTTCTTGATTACAGACATTCCTAGAATTGTTATTAATATGTTTGGCATTTAATTTGATTTGCTCTGAAAAGGCGTCCCCCACAGTCAGTCCATTCCTAGAGAGCTCTCTCCCCCTGTCTTATCAGTATTCTCCTCTGTGGCTCCACAGACCCTGCCCCCTGCCCTGAACCCTCAAACTTTGGACTTTTAAACATCACATACATCAAAAATAAAACTTTCATCTGCCAGGACTTCATCACTCATAACAGTTTGGACTTTTTGATTTTAACAAAAACCTGCTTAACACAAGAATGTCTTTAAATACACTCCCTGTTTCATAATAATTTGAATTCATTTGTTCCGTAGTCTTTTACCATTTCATCAAAAGATCCTATGTTTGTTTAAGTTATCTACAGTCAACCTAACAGTTTTGACCCAAGGATTTTCAGAATTTTTATCCCAGTGTATGGCTCTGCACACAACTAATTGTAAATTGTCTCTGTCTTTTCCTATAAGTCTATTTTGTAATATAACCCTATAGGAATCTCAATGAAAACATAGCCTATTACACTTGTGCAGACTTCTATGGAGAGCCCACTGAACAGAAGAGAGAACAAGTCCTCTTCACTAAATGGACTCTGTAACTTCATAGGTGCAGGGGCTGAAACCTTCTTTCCTCAAGCAGTTGACAAAACCAAACAAGTAATTTAATGGAAATAAAACACTTCAAAGAGACAAGACACACGTAGGAGACAACATAGTGCACATTTTAAATAAAAACCTTTAATGATAAAACATAATAGTGCTGATGCTTCAGCCAATTACAGCCCAGAGCTGATTTGGGATTTCTTTCATAATTTAAGAGAACGATATTTATTTATTTAATGAAAGCTCACATTTAAAGCTCTTCCTGTTGCTGTTCTGTCCCCAATGTTAACCAATGTTATGTTAAGTTCTGATAAGTAGCCTAAAAATAGCTCTAATTTTAGTCATATTGCAAACAAGAAAACATGAATGAAACAACCCGAAAACGCAGCGCGCTGCGGTTATTGATCGTTCATTACGCTCGCGGTGAATAATCTGCTGTATTCAACGTCAGAATTTGAAACTTTAACCTTTTTTGTTTAAATGATCCCTGAGCGTATTGAGATAAATAATAATTTAAAAAAATCCTAAAATTCTTGCTAAAATTCTCCTCTGTATAGCAGAGGTCAGGTCCTGTGTCCCTGTCTCCTCCTCAGTCCAGCACACGGACTCCACGCGCCGCAGCCCTGCGCTTCTCCCTCTACATCTGTGCCACAGACCGTGTGTGATCTGTGCACACACACACACACGGACATGGACAGTCTATGTGCACACACCTCACAGCGCTGTAAGAGCAGAGGAAACACGACTTAAAGAGCTGCAGCTCATGTAGTTCACTTTAAACATTAAAGAGAGTTTTCATAGAGTTCACTTTAAAGAGAGTTTCATGGCAGCACGCGTTACGAAGTCCATAAGAGAGAGAGGGAAAGTCGATGCCAAGTTTCATGTTGTGTCGTGTAGGGTGGTTATGTAAAGTGGGGGGGACCTTGTCGCTCTTTTCAAAAGTGTACGTGTGAGAGGGGGCGTGTCCGCTCTTAATGAATGGGTGTGACGCCCAGACAACCACTGTGCTTGGCCAATACACTTGTCAATCACTGTTGAATCCCGGCCCCCACGTGTACGCTCTTTACCATTCGTAGAAGTTTTTACACCATATTTGAGCGTAGAAGTCGCACGTGGAAGCACGAGCTACGAAGTAACATTGAGCCGGTGTGCGCGGAGAGAACTGCCGGGAGAGTACACCCTCTTCTTTTCTGGACAAGCACATTGCACGGTACACTTGCTGACCTAAGCCAGACAAGACAAAAAAGAGAAGATGCCAGCCAAAATTATAAGCGGGAAAGAGGTTTCTGCGTAAGTAGCTATTCTTTTGTTAAATTACACTTAAGAATCGCTCGTGGAAGAGTTGAAGACTGTGTTTCATCATTCAGTTTTTAACACCACGCGCCAACTTCCAGTACACTACACTGAGCCCATGCTGCGATCTGGGTGAGATGTAGATGAACCAAATGCATCCAGACAGTCTTTGATTTGTGCTACTTTTTCATACAACAATATTTCTTTTAGACATCGTGAATGGTGGGCACGGGAAGGAATGTTTTGATCTGCTTAAGTTCAATAATTGTGATGAACACGTGATACTTGTCAACAGAAAATTTAAACGGGTAGATGACCTATCTATAGGCTATATGTTTAGGACAACAAAAATCCCCCCATTATGTAATTACCTTTTGTTCTCAGGCGATCTTTGCCCTGCTAGTCCACTGACCTTAGTCATTTGCAAATAAACTACAGCAATCGTTAAAAAAAAAATTTACCTTAAATATTTACATTCTTATTCATTCATTTACTGAACTAAATTGATGTTGTTTGGGAGAGCATGTGCCCGTCACAAGACCAGACATCCTGCACTTTGTTAATTCCCACACTGTTCTTGTTATTTCATTATAGCCCTATCATCTCTCTAGCTATTTAGAGGTTAGACTAATTGAAACTATATTTTGTTTACTTAATTGATTCATTCAACCCAGTTTTCCATTCTTAGCCAATTTTGAGTTGTCTTACATGTTTTTGAACAAAAACAGATAAAGTAGCTTTTAAATATTGTGCACCCTCAGTCTGAAGAGATCCACAACGATCTTGAAGAGATCTTGAAAAAACTGGTTCCAACAGGTGAAGTTAATGCTGGGTTAAAGGTTGAGAATGGGATCTATAGTTTTGGACTCTGTGGGACTTCTGTCACTGGTTAATCTTTCTCCAAATCTTTTAAATGATCCCAATCAAATGTTAAAGTGTGTCAAAAGAACAGCAGATAACACAACTCATGTGACTCAATTAAAACTGAAGCCTTGAGGTTTTACATTTGATAAAGTACATAAACATATCACTCTTATACATATCACTCATATCACCTTTTTTTTTTTTTTAGGCTGGTGAAGGAGCGCCTGAAGAAAGAGGTAAACATCATGAAGCAGCAGGACCCTAACTTCAAACCTGGCTTGACAGTATTACAGGTAAATATGTTGTTGTCCCTACTGACATTTTCTTGAATATTTTGACATATTTTTTGCCGCATGCTTTTCCATGGTGTTCCCTGGAGTCAAGTGGAAGTTAAAACTGAGTAGACTGTTCTGGCCTTGTCCACACCCTGTTCTGATACAACTGTATAAACCTTTTACAGTTTTGTTTATTATCACAGTCATTTTAAGAGAATGCTTTTCCATGCAGGTTGGTGACCGTGAAGATTCAAACCTTTATATTAGTATGAAGATGAAGGCTGCAGATGAGGTAAATTAAATTATTGCCAGATTTAGAGAAGCAGTATTAAAATGTAACTTACTACAATATGTTAAACTTTAAATCTTTCCTCATAGATTGGAATAAAGGCCACCCATTTAAAACTCCCAAAGACAGCTACAGAGAAAGAGGTAGAGGATTCCACATATTCATAACACTATCACACAATCTCACAAACTGAAATCTAAATCTAAAAGTCTCTATATTTACAGATTCTCCATGCTATAAAGGAAGTGAATGAAAATCCTTCTATCCATGGGCTTATTGTGCAGCTGCCACTGGACTCCATTCATAAGATTGACACAGAGAAAGTCACCAATGCAGTGGCACCTGAGAAAGATGTAGATGGGTGAGCCCACATTAGGGTTTTTCATTTCAGTTTTGACTATTCTTTTAACTGTAATATTACAAGTGTTGTATTTGTGCTTTAAAAATCAGTCTAACCAGTATAAATGCTGGAAAGCTTGCTCGCGGGGATCTGGGTGACTGCTTCATTCCCTGTACCCCAAATGGCTGCTTGGAATTGATCAAACAAACCGGTAATATTAATATGCTCTATTAAAATAATTGCCACACATGAAATCAAATCATTAGACATTTATAGTTAAACTTTGTTTTTTTTTTTCAAAGGAGTGTCTATTGCGGGAAAGAGGGCCGTGGTCGTCGGACGGAGTAAAATTGTGGGTGCACCAATGCATGATCTGCTGCTGTGGAATCATGCCACTGTCACTACCTGTCACTCCAAAACTGTGGACCTAGACCTCGAGGTAAATTATTCAGATTAAAACATACAGTAGTTTCATGAGTAATCCAATTAATGTTTCTCCCATTTGTTTTGTAGGTGGGAAAAGCTGACATCCTGGTTGTGGGCATTGGTCAACCCCAAATGGTCAAAGGAGAATGGATCAAAAAAGGAGCAGTTGTTATTGACTGTGGCATTAATCCTATCCCAGGTTTGTACTGCTGTAAAGCTCTTATAGACAATTTTGCAGAGTGTTCATTGATCAATTCTTGTATCATGCTTCCCAGATGAAACCCGGCCGAGTGGTAAACGGGTGGTGGGTGACGTTGACTACGCCTCTGCCAAGGAGCGATCAGATTTCATTACACCTGTACCTGGTGGTGTGGGACCCATGACTGTAGCCATGCTGATGGGGGTAAGAGAAGTCCTGCTCCAAAACCATGGCAGACAGTTTTTTATTTCAGACATCATAATAGAATTTATTGTTTATATACAGAACACAGTTCAGAGTGCTAAAAGATTTATTCAAATCAATCGATCTGGAAAATGGAATATAATTTACAATGAATTGAAACTTGAAAAGCCTGTGCCAAGGTAAAGTATTCCAAATGTTTTAATTGTGCTTATTTTTTACTAATCTAACTTTATGCTTTATGTTTAATGCGCATTCACAGTGACATAGTGATTTCTCGCTCTTGTATACCCAAACCCATTGACCAACTGGCAAAAGAAGTGGGTCTGCTTTCTGATGAGGTGGAACTCTATGGCAAGACCAAAGCCAAAGTACAGCTGTCCGTCATGAAGCGACTACGGGAACAGCCAGATGGCAAATATGTAGTTGTCACTGGGTATGTTTACAAACATTTACAAACAGCCTGCATATTGTAACTTTACTGTTGTTATATATATTATATATACTGTTGTGGCATTGTTTGTGTCTGTCTGAAGTATCACACCTACTCCTCTTGGAGAAGGGAAGAGCACCACTACTATTGGCCTGGTTCAGGCTATGGGAGCTCACATGAAACTCAATGTATTTGCGTGTGTCAGACAGCCATCTCAAGGACCCACCTTTGGGATTAAAGGTTAGTTCTGGATATGATAGTTCATTCACAGAACTACTGAAACTGTTGTAATAACATATTTTTTTCACTAGGTGGTGCTGCAGGTGGGGGATATTCTCAAGTAATTCCAATGGAAGAGGTATTATACGTAAACAAATTGTTGTCAGGTGTACAATAGAAAATTGTTGATGAAAATATGTATTCACTTTAGTTCAACCTCCACCTCACTGGTGACATTCATGCCATCACAGCGGCCAATAACCTGGTGGCTGCAGCCATTGATGCTCGCATGTTTCATGAAGCTACCCAATCAGACAAAGTGAGTTTTCATTGATTCACTCAACTTCAATATCAAAATTACGTTAGCTTCATCAGAACTTTTATGCTTCAGGCTCTCTACAACCGTTTAGTTCCCCTCAGTGGAGGACAAAGGGTGTTTTCTGATATACAGATCAAAAGACTAAAGGTAACAACAAAGTAGATAATAATTTGTAAAGTGCAAAAGACATGACTGTAACAAGTACAATTATGTAACAGAAACTTGGCATCGAAAAGACAGACCCCACAAGTCTTACCGAAGAGGAGATCACTCGTTTTGCTCGCTTGGATATCGACCCTGGTACTGTCACCTGGCAGAGAGGTACACCCATTTGAAATTCATGCTGTATTTGATAACCAGTGTTATGTCATCAGAATAACACATGTAACTGGGAACATTATTTTAGTTATTTTAATATAGAACCTTATATCATTTTTTTTTTATAATAAAATGTCAGTTTCTTTGCTTCTCCATAAAATTTTTTTCTAACCTCCAAATATTCTTCATGAAATACAAAGCATTTGTAAATGTTATCTAACTATGTACTTTTTCTACTAGCTTTGATATTGCTTACATGAGTTTTGCTTCAAGTTTGCCTTCATTCTGGAATTTATAATGTATTAGTTTACAGACTTTTATAGCATCTATTAGAAAAAACTGACCCTTCATGTGATAAATATAAACTGCTGTCTGCCACTACAGTGATGGACACAAATGATCGCTTCTTGAGGAAGATCACTATTGGACAATCTCCAACAGAAAAAGGATTTACACGAGAGGTATTTTATTTGGGGGTGTAAAACTATAAGCTACATACTACGTGGATAATAATATTACTTAATCTTATTTGTAGGCGCAGTTTGACATCACAGTAGCCAGTGAAATAATGGCAATACTTGCCTTGACCAGCAGCTTGGAGGATATGCGTACACGTCTGTCCAAAATGGTTGTTGCCACCAGCAAAAATGGAGACCCTATAACAACAGAAGACCTGGTACTGTTCATTCCAGAAGCTTGTCACAATCATGTGAGCTGTCTGGGGAATCAAGTATGCTTTTCTCTCTTTTACAGGGAGTAAGTGGTGCCTTAACTGTCCTCATGAAAGATGCTATAAAGCCAAACCTCATGCAGACTTTAGAGGTGAGAAATATGTAGAGTGTTGTGTATTGTGTATCTGTCTTTTGGTTATGTTTGGACTTTTATAACATATCCATGCAAACTACAGGGAACACCAGTGTTTGTTCATGCTGGCCCTTTCGCCAATATTGCTCATGGCAATTCCTCCATCCTGGCTGATAAAATAGCTTTGAAGCTTGTAGGGCCTGAAGGATTTGTAGGTACGTGTATTAAACTCCAGCTTAAAGAGACAGTGTTGACAAACAAAAATAATAAGATGCACTCATCGTTTCGTACAGTTACAGAAGCTGGCTTTGGTGCTGACATTGGTATGGAGAAGTTCTTTAACATCAAATGCCGATACTCCGGCTTGAGGCCTCATGTTGTGGTGCTTGTTGCTACTGTCCGAGCTCTGAAGATGCACGGAGGAGGTCCCACTGTAAGTTTAAGTTGTGAAAGTATAATGCTGCATTGGTTTGAAAATTGGTAACTAATTTGTGCTTTGGTTTGTATGACAGCTGTGTGTTGTGAATCATGGTATTTTTCCTTTTCTAGTGAAATGATGTTGACTTATTTTTCTCAGGTGACTGCTGGGATGAATTTGCCCAAAGAATATGTGGAAGAGGTAATTAGTAATTAGTCTGTAAAATAGACTCTTAATGAATACTTTGCCTTAAATTACTGTTTTTGCCTGGATTTAGAACCTGGGGCTTCTGGAGAATGGCTGCAATAACCTGAGGAAACAGATTGAAAATGCTATGCATTTTGGTGTGCCTGTGGTAGTGGCTGTTAATGCATTCCAGTACGAGACTGAGTTGACAAAATCCCCAAATGTGTAGATCAATAGACTCGTCATTAAGATACTGTGTATTTTATACTTTTACTGCAGGACCGATACTGATGCTGAACTAGATTTGGTTTGCAAGATGGCTAAGTCAGCTGGAGCCTTTGATGCTGTGTGCTGCAAGCACTGGGCAGAAGGTGGAGCTGGAGCATTGGACCTTGGAAATGCTGTTCAGAGAGCTTCGGATGCCCCCAGCAACTTCAAGTTCCTTTACAACTTGGAGGTGAAAATATAGTTCTGCTCTCTATTTTTTTCTTTTCAGTTTAGTTCGTGTCAACTTTGTCAGCAATACTCAAGAGGTGTTTTTTTTTTTAGTTATCCATTGCAGACAAGATTCGGATAATAGCCCAAAAGATTTATGGTGCAGATGATATTGAGCTTCTTCCTGATGCTCAACACAAGGTGGAGCTCTACACAAAACAGGTCAGTCTTTACTCGCTTCATAAAATGTCCTCTTTAAAAATGCCTGCATTTATTTATGGGTGTGCTATTGTTTGCCTGCAGGGTTTTGGCAATCTTCCAATGTGCATGGCGAAGACCCACCTGTCTCTCTCTCACGAGGCAGACAAGAAGGGTGTGCCCACAGGCTTTACTCTGCCAATCAGGGACATCCGAGCCAGTGTGGGAGCAGGCTTTCTTTATCCACTGGTTGGCACGGTAAGACTCATTGTGTGTTATTGCCAACGACTATAAACAAAAACCCATGTGCAGCAGCCAGATACTTTATGAACCAACATGATTTTAATCAAATACTTTTTGAGACACCAATCTTGGAAAATGACTATAGAATTTTACATATAATCATACACCGTGCATTTGTGACAGCAAAGCAGGGTGCTTTGCTAAACCAGTTGTTTTGGAATTTTAAGGCAATGGTATAAAATAACAAATACAATATATGCTATAGCTCAGTAGCCTAGACATTGTGTTTTTCAATTATGATACTGTATATGTTATTATTTATAATTTGCCCCTAGATGCCCACCATCCCTGGCCTTCCCACAAGACCTTGCTTTTATGATATTGACCTGGACCCTGAAACTGAACAAGTCAATGGTCTTTTCTGAAGACTGTCTTGAACTGTGTAAAAACATATCATGTTAGTATTAAGTAGATGATTTATGGCACTTTCTTATGTGCAAAGAAGAAACCTTTTCCACAATGCATGCATGGTAGTTTTACAACTCAATGATTGGGTTACTAATATGCACGCTACTATTAGAGAACTTTTTAAAATCCGAAAATATAATTTCATTGTTTTAATACATTTTTATTGTCAGTGAGTTGTGTTTCTTGTTGTGTCCTCTAATAAGATAAATCTCTAACACCCCTTTAAGGTATACAAGATCACCTTTATTTATAATAATTACAGCAAGCTTCATTAATATGTTGTAAAACCAGACTGTCAAGGTGATTCGCTTTTTTTAGAACTACTATTATTATTATTATTATTATTAATCAGAATCAGAAAATCATCCTGTTTTTTTTTTTTTAACCTGGAAGTGGTACTGACTCAAAGTTCTGGTTGTGATGTGACTAAACTATTGATTTTTATATGCATTTCTTTAGGTGTTAATAAATTCATAAACATTAAAACAAAGCAGTGTTGACTTTTTTCAGAAACTGAATACAAGCAGGATATAATCTTCAACAATTCAAAACAGTAATATATATATATATATGTAATATATTATAAAATACATTTTCATTAATGTGGTTAGCCTAATGGACTTGGCAAATCTAAGATGAAGCATTAATTTTTAGCAGTATGGACTCAAAAGTTATGGTGTGATGTGACTAAACTACTGTGTTTAATTGAATTTCATCAGGAATTTCATAATTCAACACAAAAAACAGTAGTAACAAGTAGTAGTGTCATGACATTTAATTTATTTCATTTTTACAGTGTACATTTCAAATCACAACGTTCTTGTGCTTAACATTGGATGGACACAGCCCTGAGCTGTGTCAGTCTTTGTTGTGCCCCTTTCCGTGCTCCCCGCCTTGGCCTTTGCATTGTCCCTGGCCCTTCTTTTCTTCGGACTTTCCATGGCCTCCCTTCACATAAACACAGCATTGAAATGAGTATTCAAGCGATTTTAAATTATGAAATGATGCATCAATAAGCCTCTTAAGGGCATGTCAAATGACTCTACCTGTCCTCCTTTGCCCTTTTCTCCCTAAAAAAAAAACCCACAAAAAACAAAAGCATTGGTATAACATCAGTATAACGCATGAGTGACAAGTGAAACAAGTGAAACAAAACAAGAGAAATCTTACTCCGCATCCATGTTCTCCTCCTCCGTGCTCTCCACCCTGTCCGTGATCACCCTATAATGAAAAAGTACATACATGAGCAAACAATTTAACACTGTTAGTTGTAATTGGAAAATAAATGCTAAAGAAATACACTCACGTGGGCGTGTCCGTGTCCGTCTGTAGGAAGACAAAACAACAAAAAATGTGTAAGATCCATATTCAGGCCTTGCAATTTAAATTATATCCCACACAATAATATAATGATGCACAACAAAGAAGAGAAAAAACTTACGTCCACTCATCTTGTGTTTTGATTCAAGTTGAGTAAAATGTTTTGCCTGTGAAAAAAATTTACAAAATTAAAAGTTAAATTGGAACATCGTAAGATCCATGGTATTCTGAAATTGTCTTTACCTGAAGCTGAATGAGAGACGTGACTCCTGATTGTGATGAGTCTTGACATTGCATTTATAGGACACTGAAGCAGACAAAATAAGGGGCAGGGGCGTGTTTAGGTGCATCACACCAGCCCTCATGTTAGGTAATCTTCCCATTTGATAGTTGCCAGACAGGTATGTTATAGGTGTGGTTAGCGCAACAGCAGTACTTTACAACTTCACCTGAAAAGACCTACAGAGAAACACAGATACCAAAAAACTGGGCGTAGTTCTAGTCCAACTGACTCAACATCCATTCTTCACCAATGAATTCATTTTTGTTTGTTTGTATTTGTGTGCATGCCATGTGTCTTTAACTGACCTAATAGTAGTGAAGGCTTCTGTCTGTGCACATTTAAAATAATATGAGATGCTACAAAAACTTTGCATGATAAATGTCAGTTCATCTATGATTGCAATTTGGTTGCTTATACCTTAGGCTACTGGCTTCATGTCTTGGCCTCTTTTTCATTTTCCTGTCTGCCTCATTTGCCAAATATGTGAACATGATGAATGTCGTACCATATTTATTTTACCAGGCAAAACTTTGAGAATAAAATCTTATTTACAATGTTGGCCAGGGTATAAAGTTTATTAAAAGTGATTAATCTAAAGCTTTCTAATTTTCTTCTCAAAACTCAACATTGGTACTCTCATATAATCCAAATTATAAAAAATGGGAAAAATAAAAACAGTGTAAACAGAATATAATCTTCAGGAATTAAATCAAATAATACATAATACATTTTGAATCATGAGATTATAAAAACTCAACAAGCCTAACCTGTCACACTAGACAGATCTCAGCATGCCAAGTCCCACCAGAATCACATATTTCTTTGAACTGTTGGTGCCATTCTCAATATGCCCCACCTTTTCTTTTACTCAGAACATGGGTTAATTTATGTTGGGATGCCTTTGTGTTCTGCATCTCCCAACAAGTGGCAACAGTTTGCAAGTTATATTGTGTTATCACACAGTCCATCAACAGAAATAAAAAATGGTTTTGATTTGTTTGGCTCTTAAGCTCATATGGATGGAGTTCCACACAGTTCTAATGTGTTCATCATACTATAATTACTATGATAATATTTACATAATTGGAGTAGGAGGCTTGTAAGTATAAGTAATAAGTAGGCTTTATATGATGTAATATGACACACTGCTTAGAAATAAGATTGTTTATTTAGACTTAAACTATTCAGGATTAAAGGTAGAACTAGATCACACTAAACCTAGACAAACACATTTTATTCACATTAGGGATTCAAAAACCTGCAGGCTAAAGAGACTCAAATGTACAAAATAATTCTTTAAAGTGATGGAATACCTTTTTCATTAGCATGTATGTTTCATCTGAACTTAGAGCAAAGATATTTTGTGAGTTTATATGCCGCTATGGAGGTTATGGATTTTAAATATCACAAAAAAGCAAACTCTGGTTTCTACTTAGATGTATGCTATATCGTGCATATAATGTATTTCACTTATTTTGCATGTTTAAATATTTGCATTTTATTCAAAATACTCATTACCTATTTCTAGACAATTTAATAAAAAAGACCCAACAGAAGATATAATTTTTAACATCATTTATTGACATCAGTAATTACTACAGATGCGGAGCACCACTTTAATCGTCCCCTTTGCCGTGTCCATGACCGTGTCCATGACCATGACCATGCCCATGACCTTTTCCTCCCTTTTTCCCATGCTTCTGCACACACAGTCAACATACACAATCAACACACACAATAAACACAACTCTTAAACTACAAAAGACAACTGATTTTCATATAGACAGTGCCAAATAGGATACACACCTTTTTCCCCTTTCCTTCTCCTCCGGATCCCTCCTAAAAAACAAAAGATGACATTACCACTAAACATTGCAAAAGTGTAGTGTATTGAAAAATCTTACAAAAGCGATAAACACAAACTAAAATCTAACCTCGCATGATCCGGATTCTGATCCAGACTCGGATCCCTCTCCGTGTTCCTTCTTCTACAACAGGGAAGATGGGATTTTAGAGATCGTATTACATTTAACACATGCATAATGTGATTTTTACCTCTTTCTTCTCCTCCTTCTCCTTGTGCTCTTTCTCTGTGTCACTCATGGTGTCTGAGGATGTGGTGAGACTGTTCTGTAGAAAAAAGCAACATTAAATTGTAAGAAAGCTCAAGAGCACAACTTCAGAAGGGGAGCTCTTACCTGGTGCGGAAATGGGCGATGTGTGCTCAGGTGCGTGTTGGGTCTGTATTTATAGGAAGAGAAGAAAAGAATGCTCCAGGCAAATTGATGTTGTATGACAGGTGTTACAAGTCTTCTGATCATGAAATAAGATTTTCTATCAAATTACTGAGCTAAAAACTGAGCTATTTGGTAAAAATTATAACTTCAGTCCAATAAACACATTACAACACATTATTCTATTGTATTGTATTAAGTGTTGGTTATAGCAGGTTTTTTTTTTTTTTTTGGAATTTTGATTCAAACATTTAATTATACAAACATTGATAATGTATTAGTCACATATAAACACATGCACGTAACGTAACAGTTGTCCTAGTTACTATAATATGATGAATAAATAGAATGAATCACTGGTTTATTTGTGTGAATGGAAAAACAGGTTTAACAGGTTTTGGCTGCTTACATGCAAATAAAAATTAAATAAAGTTTTAATATGAAGATATAAACGGGGATACATGCTTTTGAGAATGTCTAATTGCAATTTTTCTATTGCAACTATGATTAGATTTGCAATTTTTCAATTACTTTTGGTTCACAATGCACATTTTACACATTTCAAAAAAGCTTTAAATAAACTTAAATAATGAGCTTAAATAAAAACAACAACTGTGAATTTATATTTTGCATAATAAGACAGGAGACTGGATGCTGGATGAAAAGAATTTAACATCTCCTAAATAAATTGACACATTTAAAAAGTAACCTTGCAGTTCTAATACAAATAACATAAAATACAACTTCCATTTAATCTTCTATTTCCTGGCATTCATTCACATTCTTGATGATTTTTTAGGAACACAAACTTATCAACAGTTTCATAGTAGATTTTGGCGTCACTACGACAGACAAGATGGACTGGTAAGAGACACTTAAAAACTTGTTTTTTTGTTTTAACTCAGTCATGCTCAGTTCAAACAATAGCACTAGTAAACACTTCTGTGTAATTATAGAGTTGAAGTGCATATTGTGCTACTCACACCCTACTGTCAAAACAGGATCTCAAACATCTCCTAAAGAACACAGGACTACATTTAAGGTCAGATGTACACACCCTCTAACCTAAAATTGCCCGCAATTTTCCCAAAATGTAACACCTTTTTCTTTTAATTGTAAATCATGATGAATGCTCAGGCACATCTGGCCACATGCTTTTATGAGACAATACTGAATCGTAGGGAATGGGACAAGACACAACGCCCACAAGATGAGACAAGACCATTGACTGTATATAAAGCCAGAAAATCACAATGCACAACCCTATTGAAAAGCCCAATGTGTGTCTATCAAAAGGCAATACAAAACATTATCAAACATGTATTCCCTTCAGCACAAAACCTCTGTGAACAATTGGAGCATAATAACACATGTCAATGCATAAAGCAGCATAACAATGAGGTAAAATTATCTAAAAGAAAATGCTTCCCAGAGGTGTACAAATTCCTTCAGTTTTCTTTTGGCAGGGGGTTATCTGTTTTGAAGAAAAGGCCATTCAATTCCCTGCACCAGAGTGACATCATCCACAACAGGGACCTCTAGTGGAGAGAAAAGGTCGGTACAATCTCCATGTTCAACCCACTCACGGTAACACGATTTTGACGCCACCTATTGGTCACACAATAACACTGCAGTCAAAGTCAGCTGGTCCTGCTGACATGGAATACGTGTGAGTATCATGCGCACAATTTTGCCTTGTGAGCTCAGACAAATGAGGACTGAACACATAAAGCCTCTATCAGCCATTTGCAGTAAAGTGAAATAAATAATGCAGCAGACAGACTAAACACCTTCATATTTTCTGTTAATAAGGTCAACAAACCTTTCTTTTATTTTTATTATTTATTTTTTTTTACCGTGTGTGATGTAGTTAAGTATAGGCTATAGCTGTGTACTTGTCCCAAGAAAAAATAGAGAAAGAACTACTGCTTACAAGAAAAAATAAACAAATACATAAATAAACAGTTGAAAAAATATGTTACTAACCTCAAAATTTTGCTGATTTATTCAAGTATAATTACTGTTTACAAATGTTTTGCAGTATACAAATTAAAAAATAAACACATACTCAACCATTATACATTGTGACAATTTATTTTAATGCTATAAGAGGAAGTAAAAATGAAAGACTCCCATCGCCCTAGGTTAGGTCAGGGGGACTTAAATCACAAATCTAACAACCAACCATTATTAAAGATACTCTGTGTAACTTTTCTGGTAGTGCATCATTTGTATGGTTATTTCCTTGCATGTCTTAATTGTATCTGTATTGTGTCGATAGATTCAATTACAGTTGTTCGTATTGCTTAAAAATACCTTGGAAAATGCTGTTTTATTGAGGGGTCATCTCAAATCTGACATGTAACTTGGCCTGGTGGCATCACCTACTTGTCTCCATGGAGTTACATAAGTTTAATGCCATAGTGTGAAACATTCTAGGCCAGGGGTCTCCAACATTTTTCCTCTGGTGAGCTACCTTTACAAAACGAAAATACCAGAGAGCAGTCACAATAAACTGAGCAAGTGCCACGACCAGCTTTAAATGAGGTGCAGTTAGATGCCTATAAAACATAAACCATTATCCATTTATTAGTGTACAAAGTTATGCATCAAAATAATACATTTACAATGGTAATAGGCATTTAATTGATCAAATTGTACTTATTCAGGACAATACGTGTAATTCAGAAATCCCTTGGTGACCAACTAGGAAGGAAGTGGAGAGCTACCAGTAGTTCCTGAACTACAGATTGGAGACCCCTGTTCTAGGCAAAGTAATAACATCTCCATGGAAAAAGACAGGTGGTAGACAATCCACCTGAAAATTATAAACAGCTTTTATTCTTGTAGCCTATTACAAATAAAGAAATAAATGATAAATCTCATAGCTATTGCCTCTTATATTATAATACATGTTTTTTATTTGTTTGTATTTTTTCCAGTTTTTTGTTTTAACTATTTGCAAGAGCCAAAGTTAGTCCTAAGAAGGATTATTTCTGCAGAATGTGTGCTATGTAGACTGGAGTATGCTAAAAATGCTGGAGCTACACTGGCAGCTTTCAAAGATGTGTTTGTTTCCATAATACTGCAGAGCTGTGACACTTGAGTCTCCAGTGACTGACATCACGGCTATTTGTGACATTTGGCCGCCTCACGGCTTGTACGCTTCATTATCATCGTCTCTCAGTCAAAGATAGAATCATTACCACACTCACAATTGCATATTCTTTGGTCAGACATTGTAAACTAAAGCACTAAAGTTATGTAAGATTTGCTCTGGATGACGCTTCCGCACAGATACAAATGCTGTTTATGTTGTGAGAATGTATGACAGCATGTGGAAGTGAGGTCTTGGAGTTCAGGATAACTAAGGAGGCGAAAGAGCAAGTGCTTGAGAAAGGGAGAGCTAAAGTGAGCGAGCATATGTGCTGAAGGGTGGGAGGGCTGGGCAGAGAGAGAGAGGGAGAGAGCCGGAGAAAGAAAGAAGGGGAACGGGAGGACAGGCGGGTGGGTGCTGTGAAATCTGTTCACAGGGGAGCTCTGTGCATTTGTTAGACATCTTGGCTGCGTGCCCAACTTGGCTCATTGTAATCAAGGCATGATCAGCGACTCCGGGCTGCCCTCTCCGCCGCCACGGCTGCCTCGCTCCGGGACTCTGCCCAGCCTCGGCCGCTAACATGGACAAATCCGTGAGTGCCTTCTTTCCCTACCTCGCTGTAATATTAGGTTTCCCCTGGTCTAACGTGGTTGCATGCGGCGTGCCTCTGCCTTATCCTACTGGAGCTCTGGGTATAAGGGAAGCTCTCTCACTGCAGGCCCTCCCCTTTCTTTGCCTCTTCTAACGGGCTGCTGAGCTTTGTGGCTGTCCTCTGGCACACCACAGTGATTCTGGGTAATATCTGTGTCGTTGCTGAAATAAAACACACTACCTGGCTTATTTAATGGCGCTATATTGTTCATTTGACGTCCGCAGTCTTAAAATTCGGAGATAGAATCATGTCCCTCGCTTGCTCCTATTCTTGGTGGTATGCCTCATAGTCTGTTGTGTTTGGATACCCTGACAACTAGAAGCTATGCGGTAACCACTTTCCAGTCTGTTGTACAAGTGCAATGCAACTTTTCTACTGTCTTTTAAGGATTTGTTGTGGTTTAGACTGAACAAGATGTATAACTTGGACACAATTTAGTGAAGACCCCTGCAACCAGTGTCTGCAGGCATCATGCTTGTCTGCAGTTTGGAGGTGATGGGCTTGTGCACTCTCCAGGTCTGACTCATCATCATTTTGTGCTTGTGATATCACATACAGGCGGACACCGTTCTCTCATCATCACTGGGGCAACAGTGGAGGTTGCCTGACTCATACATACTTTGGCACATTAGAATCTAAGAAAAATTTAGTTGAAGAAAACCAACATTTTCATCATAATTCATGCAATCTTGTGAATGGAACGCATTTCGCACAAGCTTACTCTCACTTCACTGTAACAACAAAAAAACACACATTTTTACTCTATTAAGCTGCAATGAACGAACTCCTCAGCATGAACTGAAATAGCACAAACATGCATACAGTAAGTATTTGAAAGGCTTACTGCTAGTTTAATCAGGAGCACTCATGACTACAAATACTTCTCCTTGAAGAAATGTGATTGGTTCTCTCACGATGAAACCACAGTGCAGACAATCTCAATCCCAACTATACTTAGCATAGCCATCCAAGCACAGGGGGGTAATCTTTGTACCAATGCCAAGTCTGGATAAACTGAGAATCTCGTGGAATCTACTCCGAATATCCAATCCAAATCACTCTGCAAATCACAGAGCATTAAGAGGCAAAAGACCAAAGACAGAAATCCATTCTCTGGCCACTTTCGGAAATACCAAGGCTCTGTTCCACGGCGACAACAGTGGCTCAGGTGGTCGAGCTGTCACCTTACAAGTGGAAGATTGACAACTTGATCCCAGCTTTGACCAGTGCATACTGTTGTTGTGTTCTTGGGCACGACTCTTAAGCCACCTTGCCTGTGTTAATGTGATGTGTGAATGGTGGGTGATGGTTGGAGAGGCTGCACATGGCCTCTCCAATGGTACTACTAAGTTAGCTTAATGGTATCACTAGAAATTATGGGGAGTCAGTGAATGACTTACTCTAAAGCACTTTGAAACATTTACCAAGCTTATAAGCAGCAGCATTATATAACTAAAATGTATCGATTTTATGACATATTATGTAACATTCTAGCATTCACCACCTCTAAATTTAGTCCCACAGTACATTCATACTACTAAAAGACAACTCAGAGTACTCCATATGTCCCTCTGATAAAGGATTTTGTTCAGGTAACTGTCCAACAGATTGGTGTAGTCTTTCTTGCGAGAGCATATGCTAAGTTCTGGTTCAAGCTGTTGTGTGAGGAAGCGTGCTCTTGCTGACTGCATCAAGATGTTTGGGATGCTCCACATACGCATACCGTCTGTGTAACTGAGCCCAGAGATGACGGTCCCATCTGTGGACAGTCTAAGTGAACTGTAGCACAGGTTATCACTGCCACAGACAAGAGGAGGGTGCTGTGAAGAGACGCTCTGAGCATCCAAAATGTTCTGTTATAATTTGTCAGAGATCTATAAACAAACTGTTTTCTTTTTTTTTTTCAGATCAATAGTCACACTAAATGCAAGCAAGTTCTGAAATCTTATTGACTGCATTATAATGTATGTGACCAGTTTGCTTGTTATGCTATTTACATGATTTTAATACTATTCATTCACCTGGAAATGGGCTCTTTTATCCCAACCCTTGAAACATTAAAGGTGCACTTTATAACACTTCTAATGGAGGGTCTGCCACCTCAACCTAAATAAACATTTGTCCAGTTGACAAAATGAATTTCTCCTTTGCCAAAGATTCTACCTGAAGGACTGAGGGATTTTACACACAATAGGTTAAACCTGTCAATCAAGAGGGAGAGAAGTGGGTTACAGCACGACGCAACATTACAGTTCAGATCTGTGGAGAATTGCCCTTATTCACAGAAGGAATTATTGTATTTTGAGCAATAGAAACACCCATAATGAATAAATGCTAGATGGATACGTTTAATGTCATACCATGGAACATCCCAGGCAAACCAATAATATCTCCATGGAGGCAAGCAGGTGGTGGACCATCCACCAGAAAAGATGCACAGTGCATCTTTAACACAGAATATATTTGTCTAATCAAATACTTCATTATATAAAGGTTAATTTTCTTTGTCTCTTTCCCTAGACCTCAGGTGACATGCTGCCCAAAAGAGATCATGATAAAGATTTGGAGCTAGACAAGAAAATAGAGGCTCTACGCAGAAAGAATGCAGCATTGATGAAAAGGTACCAGGTAAGACATATCACAACTCCACTGTTCTATGTTATTAGGTTCTTTTTTTCAGACCTAGAGTGTTATTTCATACCTGACAGTTTCGACTGCTCACTAGCGTCTTCCTCAGAGTGGTCACGTGATGTTGCTGTGACGTGTCTGGTCAGCTGATTTAAACAGGTTTTGGCGCTGTCTTCCTACCGGTGGAGGGAGGACGACAGCGCCATCTGCAGTCCGACTTCCTCAGGACAGCATCCCAGGTGTGTGAGAGTAAAAAAGCCCCCTCGTCCCAGTTTACAGTCCTGTGGGCACGTTTCCGTATTTCGATTGCTTCTTTAATCCAGCGGTGATGGTTGTTTTCCTCTGTCCCAATGATGTTTGCTCCATCCCGGATGCTGTCCTGAGGAAGTCGGACTGCAGATGGCGCTGTCCTGCCTCCACCGGTAGGAAGACAGCGCCAAAACCTGTTTAAATCAGCTGACCAGACACGTCACAGCAACATCACGTGACCACTCTGAGGAAGACGCTAGTGAGCAGTCGAAACTGTCAGGTATGAAATAACACTCTAGGTCTGAAAAAAAGAACCTAATAACATAGAATATCAGAAGACCAAATGAATCTCATTAGACCACAACTCCACTGGTTTGGGCAGTCACTCCACATCTTAAAGCTTCCTGGTGAATGAACAGTTTTCTCTGAGTTGCATTTAGGAGGTGGAAGAGGACAGGAAAAAGGCAGAGGAGGAGGGCATGGCGCTGCAGTCTCGCAAAGGCAAAGCGGATGACCTCTCAATCACCATCAGCAAGTCCACCAGCGTGAGTGACAACAGATTCACTCTATGGCAGTAAATACAAAATATTTAGCTGACAAATGTTTACATTTCCTTTTTGGAATAGGACAGCCGCGTGGTGACAACAAAGCCCATCAATTCTGGGCCAGGACCAGGAGAGGGCAGTGGAGGGGCCATCTCAAAGTGTGGGCCGAGGGCAAAGGAAGCAGCTGATGGTGACAATGCCAGTAAAAAAGGTAGTTTGCCACTTAGATTAATTCACAGTAATTAGACTAAAGATCTGGAACACAAATGATAAAGAGGAGCATATCATGTCTCCAACTGAATGAAAAATGTCATTCAATATAGGCTATTTTTACTGTATCTCCAAGTGTTGACTGTTAAATTGAGAAAAATGTATTGTTAGTTTAAGATGCATGCTGAAAAGCCAAAAAAATAAATAAAAATTTATCACTATTAAAAAAATAGCTTTCAATATCCTTAATTAATCTTCTGAAAATAAACATCACAGACAGCTGATCAGTGATTGTTAGAAATAAATGAATCTTTACCTTCATTAAAATTTGATTAATTGCACAGTCAAGCTATAAAGCAGAGAAAAATACAGTAATGTCCTACATGAAAAATTGTATGTTATTTAGTTTAAATATTTTGAATTGAAAATATACTGAACTAATTTTAGAATAGGATTAACATTAAAGACTACCATGAGGTAAATACTGTGATATTTTACAATGACGCTTCATTAACCTCCTCTTTTTCCCCTCAGTGAATCCTTTGCCTCTTTCCTCCCAGGGTAAGAGAGTGGTGATAGAGAAGAGCCCAGAGCCATCAGACAGTACGACAGAGGATGAACAGTTGAAGCATGTGGAGTCAACGAGGGCAAAACCAGCCCACGTGACCAAGAGGGACACAGTGGCTCAGGTTAGGAACTCTCTCTCCCCCTCTCTGTGTCTCTCTCTATTCTCTGTTCACAAGTCCAAAGCTCTAACAAGCCCCACTCCGCCTGCTCCCTCACCGATTATTTACATAGATATCAGACACACCCCACACCCATGCAGTCAGGAAGCACAAAGGCAGAAGGAAAGTCTGGGGACTGCTGTGGCTCCAGAGAGGGGAGACTGATGGAGAATGCATACAAAAAGAACTATTATATCCATGGTTCTCAGTATGAAGGATAAAAGACTGGACCGTGCGACAGAGATGAACCATTTAAAAGAAATTATTATGTATTTTGAATAAAAGCCTCACAATGTTGCATGTGACAAGAAGCTGAAACTCATGAATATGCAGTAGTAAAGTAAAAGTGATAAAGGTTTTCTTTGTGCAATTAACTGTCGAGTGTAGTTTGTTTAATTTTAACATTTTCAGGAAAGCGCTATTGTAAAAAATAATTTCAAAGACAAGTTTAGAAAAGTCCTTGATTTGGTGGCATATAAAGACGTAACAATAACAGAATTATTGTGCTATGGTATTGTCAAAAGTCTCACAATAATACAAACAGCAACAACTAAAAACAGAGGAAAAAACATTGTTAGCAAAAGGGAATTCCCCATGGGCCTGGTGGAATATTAATTTCAGCCCATTACACCCCTAGGCTCTATATGACATACACAATACACAACTACAATCACAAGTTAATAAATGCCATATTCAGACAGGCCAATAGTACTAAATCAGCAGCAGGGTCGTCTGTACTAAGTATTCTAGGAGTGGCACTTCACACAAATGAGCAGAGACACATGTGCAGAGGCTGTGAAATGCCATGCTGTCACTGACCCTGGGCCCGCCTCAGAACATAGAAGTCCAGAAACAGCTGCTCTATCATGCTCTGGAGTATGGGACAAACACACACACACATAGGGACACACACAATCACACACACACAGGAACACACTCACATGCACACAAACATAAGCACGCATGCACCGCCCAGACAGCTGATCCCTGCTGCTGTAAACAAACTGGTCACAGGAGCGGCCTGGAAGCAATAGGCTCAGTAATGCCTCACTAGAAATGAGTATGTCGATATTGTGTCACCGTCTAATCTTAATGTGTGCTAAATGTGACCTGAACTAGCATGTTTCATTTTTTATATCTGTTGTGGTTGCATATGACCTCATGTATCATCATCAGTTATCTGCAACAGAACAGATTCAATGTTTATATTTTCCAATTGAAGAAATTCTATTTATTGTATGTTTACAATATTTATTTATATAACAAATCATTAGGTTGAGATTATTTCCTGAGAGTAAAGATGTAAGCTATAACAAAAATAGGTTAATATTGAAATTGTTACACTGAAGATATGCTAAATTAGAATCAAATGTATTGTCTAATGTCTATAATGATTATAACTTACATACAGCATAAAGAAATGACTAAAAACAAAACTGAAATGTCCAGTGTAATCTTCCTAACACAAATATAATGCGCACAATTGTGATTAAATGAGTGGTCCATTCACGTTTTGAGCTAGATTTCAACCTCCACCAAAATATTTACAGACACATTTTAGCACATTCCTGATGTATTGTTAGAATTATGTCAGAATTTTACAATCAAGAGAATCTAAAAAATATTGAGATTTTGTCTTGAGACAGGGACAGTGCACAATATACATGAACCTTAACAGGAGAGATGCATTTTACCAGGTTGTAGCACCAGTGCTAATTTCCACCTGTCGTCCCTGGGAAAGTTTATTGATTGTATTTTTTTATTGACTTTAGCCATCATCTGTTCTTCCTGGAAACCTGTGAAGCATGTTTTGGGTTGAGAAAGTCAATAGAGAATGCCTATTTAGACAGTGAGCTATATTCATCATGGTATAGCTTTTGATGAATCTCAAAAAGACACTTGTGTGCTATAATATGCTTGTGTGTATGTGTGTGTGTGTGTTTGTGTGTGTGTGTTAGTTGGCCTACTGATAATTGGTGTCAGGCTAAAATTAAATAACTGAGTGAGAGAGGGGCGTTGATATTTGGCAGTGGCCTGAACAGATGTAAAACTTCAAAACCACATTGTGAGTTCACACCCATCCCAGTCAAACGGAAAGGGCAGGAGTCAGAGATAAAGTGACTAAAGGGGTGAATAGTCATGCTCAAATCTTGCCCGACTGGAGCCTCCATATTTATTGCCCATTATGCGGCCTGCGCCCCTCTGCCGATAGACCACTCTCCCACCATCCTGAAAGGGTCTGATTTGATCTAATTAACATTCAACTGCTTTCTCACTCTGAAAAGGCTCATTATGCGGCTAGAGAGAGGCCTATCTGGCAACGTGCTGTGATAAGGGTCAGGGAGTGAGAGGAGAGACGAGAAGAGCGGCAGAATTTAAAAGGACAAGGAAAAATGTAGCCAGCGATTCTTTTGTTTGTGAAAGTGCCAGACTGCATTTGGCTGAGAGTAGGGGAGATGTGGGTGTCATTATGGTCTGTGTGGGTGGCTTCAGACCACTCACTCACAATATTCCCTCTGCTGTATTTGAAGGCGTATATCTTGTTTTTATTACTCATGGTTCATATTCTGTGTTCACCTGAATGATTCATTTTACACGGTTACATCACAAACAAACAATACAATACTAACCATTATTTCTTGGAACGTATTTCACCCTATCAGTAATGTTCTTCTTTATCGTTGTAAAATGGTTCCTTGGGTAAATGTTTATGTAGCTACATGTAATGATTACACAATATATCTTGTTTAAAATCATGAAATATAACATCACATCAAACAGCCACCCATTTAAATCAAATAACATCAACCTTTTACTGTGAGTGGTTATTGACTGCTTTTTGTCAATTGCCTATTAAGTATAAGTACATTATCATTATTATCAGTTCAAATCATCTACAATATTGTCTCTTTAAATCCACTAGAGGGCAGTGTTGACTGGTCTTTAACTTGCATTATGTGGATCAATCTAGCATAATACCATGAGTGTACAGAGACAAAGGCGCCATGTTTAATTGGTTGCCCTGCTGTGTCACCCTTACTGTCTCATTGTTTACCCCCATGTTTGTGTTCCCAGGATGAGGTCAAAGCAGGTGAAGAGCACAACGAGGAGCAACAGCGACTTTCAGAAGATTTTCAGGTACCACTACATGTCAAGCACCAACATCTGTGTTGTTGAATTTACATTTTTATAGCACTGACTTGCATTAATTTCCTGGAGACTGATCCTAGCCTTAACCATAGTTACTACAGGCCTAACTTTAAGGGTGCATTGTGTAACTTTCTGGGAAGAGGGTCAGCTTGTCTCTGTGATGATGTTATTGCTTTGCCTGGAATATTCCATAGTATATCAGTATCCAGTATAGTATCCATCTTGCATTCTTTCAATTAAAATTAGTTTTATTGCTCAAAAATACCTTGAAAATTCATGCGATCTTACTATGAGCGTGGCCACCTCTCCATAGATCTGGCCTGTTACTTAGCTTGGTGGCATCACATGCTTGTCTTTAAGAAAAACAGACAAGTCTAATACTGAATTGTGGCACATTTCAGGTAAAGCAATATCATTTCCACGGAGACAAGTAGTGAGTGGACTCCACCAGAAAACCTGCAAAGTGCACCTTTAATGTAAACCCAGCCCTTAATCTATTTGAACCCACATTTGAACTTAAAATATTGAACCTCATGGGGACCTGACTTTTGTCTCCATAATGGAGCCAAGACCTAATCAGATTAGTATACAGATGTTAGTCCTCACAGTGTGGTACAACACCTGCTTGCCCTCGCACACACAAATGACTACAAGCCCCAAACATTGTTTACTAGCAACAGATCTTACTGGACAAGTCATGTACAAATGACCATATGGATTTATATTATTCATGCATCATAATGACAACAGTATATAGACTACCTGAACCTACATGAAAAGTTAAATGTATCCAGAGTGTATTTATTTTGTTGGGTGTGGGACTGATGTTAGCTGCATGTAGTTGGGCACGTTGCTACGCAGAGGCTGTTGGAGTGCCTGTGCCCATCTGCCTCCCCATTGGTTTGTGTGCTAATGTGGTTTTAGCTCCGAGCTGTGGCACAGATGATGCCTGCCATAAACAGGCCCGGGGGGCAGGGACAGCACGGTTCAAAGGGCTGCCAAATAAGCCTCATGTCACAAGTGATGCTGTTCATGTCCTCCAGCCTGACGCCTGTCTGACTCAGGATTGCATTTGAGAAGGAAGGATTGATAGTTTAAAATTGATAGGTATGATAGACTATTTGTGTTAGGAAGCAAGACTGGCTGGGGATTAAGGAAATTAAATGATCTTCCATTATAATCTTGAATTTAAAAAAAAAAACAGGAGCAGTTTCTTTAGAACATGTATTTAGAAGTAACTAATTGTACAGTATATTATGTAAGCCTCTTAAAGTTATTGCTTTAGCTGCTTCCCAGGTGAGGCTTAATAAAGGTGGCAAATTAAATAGTGCTTATTAGCAGCCAGCAGGAGACAGCCTGTAGGAACATGCTAGAGTCAGTGTCCCCTGTGACCTTCTTTGCCCTCACCGGAGCATCAGCAATGGAGATGGAAAACACAGGCCGAGCACAGATGCCCACTTCACCATTAACTAAAGGCAGCAAAGCAACATGTTTACTTAGCTCTGATTGGTTTACACCTGAGAGGAAAAATCACCTACAGTTTCTCACTGGCACTGTTTCTGTCTGAGCATGCCTGTGAGACATGAGCCGTCATTCAGTCTGAGAGCAATGTCCTGTCACTTAAATCCAGGCTCTGGCAAACACAGCCTGAGTGCTATCTGCTCTCGCACCATCTCCCTGTGCGCAGATGTGTACGTGGTCCTGATTCGCTCAAACGTTTTGTAACAAGAGCACATAGTCTCATCCCTTTGATGTGTTAAAGAGCCCACACCACAGCTTCTTTTTAGTATTAGCAAGCAGTTCTATGTGCGCTCATCATGGGAATCAATATGAGGTTAAGAGGGAAACGGAGGCTAAGACTTAATTGAATTTACTGTACATTACACATTTCCTGGAATATGCTCTCAGACGGGGCTGCCTCTGGGGGCTTACATGGACCTCTTTGCAGTAATGCTGACCAGAATGAAACAACACTCCCTAAATGATTGGTTCCTGGTTGTTAATCTTTGTGGGAGTCATTGTCTTGATTAGCTTGCAGCCATGATTCAGATTTATCATTTCATTTAATATGGCATGCTGCCATGTTTACTAAGGGCCTGTTGTGAAAGCTGAAGCGAATGTGGACTCTAAACATCTTACACTGCTAGCTTTGATGCAGTCATAGGGTTTACTTAAAGGAACACTATGTACATTTACTGGTGTTGTGTCTGCAACCTAGTTGTTTCCATGCTTATGTTTGCCTGAAATGTTCCATAGTATGGAATTAAACATCTATCTGGCATCCATTCACTTACAGATTTGATTACTAAAAATAACTTGTAAATCAGCCTCTCCACAGCTCTGACGTGTAACTTGGCTTGGTGGCATAAACTGCCTGTCTTCATAGAGATGGAATAAATAGAGAGATTTAAGTTTAAATTTAATGCCATACTGTGGAACAATCCTGGCAAAACTCTCTGAGGAGCAAGCAAACCATCCACCAGAAAAGTACATTTAGTCCATTTTCAAACCTGCAGGTCAGCACAGACCTCAACATCCCTACATCGAAAGAAGAGCAGGAGGAGTATCTGCGGTGGAAGAAAGAGCGCGAGCAAATTGACAGAGAGAGAGTCGCACGACATAAGAACGCCAAGGGCCAGTGGAGACGAGCCTGGGACATGGACAAGTCTGACAACATGTGAGAATGGTCACATGTACTCTCATGTACTATTAGATTTATTTTTATGTTACCCACTGTACTATGAAGTTAAGCTGTAAGGGCATTAAGTAGGAAACATGTGATGTCTTTCTACTCAGAATTAGAGTTATCTGAAGAATTAATTCATTATGGTTCTGAAGACAGCCTGCACACAATGACATGAACAGATCAGCTAAGCTCAGCTTTATTTGTCCCACAATGGGGGAAATTCCAATGTTGCAGTACAGAGTACAAGAATAGCAGGAGAATAAAAAATAAAGATAAATAACTACAAAAATATACTCAAGTTGAACAATTTAATCTATTGTATTATAATATATTATGATTTATGAGCTATGATACAAAAAGGCGTAAAAATAATATAACACTGAGCGTGTTAGTAGCTAAACTACTAAAAAGGCAGTGACTCTGAAGATGTAGTAACATTTTAACCTTATGTTAAAAATTGTAAGTACATTCACTCCATGTTCAAAAATTTGAACATTCTTACAACATCAAGAATGAAGTCATTGTGATTTGTTTTTTATAGAGAAGTTAATGTGGCCTCAGAACGCATTAATGTACAAAGAGACAAGGAAGAAGTAGCTATTTTTGTCCAAGGATACAGGATGGCATGCCTTTCCTTATTTGGCAACCCCCTTGAGTCTAAATAGAAGAGGAAATGCAGATTTGATTCAACAATTAAGATGCATTCAGGGGATGCAAAATGTAGACGCATGATTCATGAAGCAGAAGGTCTCGACTGTTAGAGCAGCTTGTTAACTGGTGTGGACAGGGTGGCATTACGTCACCACAACAATAATGATGCTCACGAAACATGACAAAAACATCATCTGTCTCCTCTACATTTTATACAAAGTGATATAAACAATTTTTATTTATTTAGTTTTTTTTTTTTTTTTACCATTTTAGGTTTTCGGACAAATCTGGAGACTGGATACCTTCCAGCAGAGGTGATATTTTTACACAGAGCACATTGTGAGTATTTACTAAATCTAATTATTTATGTTGTAGGTGGGCGAAATTCTAGAAGAGGTCAAAACAGGACAAGTTCAGATTCACAAGGTATTTGACTCTTCCCTATTTTCATTCATACTTCAGAGAAAAAAACTGTAACAAATGTGTTTATATTCATTTATCATCAAATCCCAAGTGGAGGCTAAAATGATCTGGTTTAAACAAGAGGCAAATGGCCGTGTTCACATGACATCACAACATTCGAGCAGGCTACCAGTTTAATATTGATATAGACGGCAAGTCAATATTCTATTGCCTGATCTTATTGATGGTGTTTTGACCTGGTTTATGGTTAATATCCCCATAACTACTCTGTCAACATGTGACACAGGGTCAAATATTTCTTTCCTCAATTGTATTAAAATTTCGTGTGGTGATTGTTGTGTTAAGGCGACACAGTGAATATGGGTTATTTTGAAAAGCAATCTCTTAACAAAAAAAAAAAAAAGAAGTGGATTACCTGTTTGGTGACATGAATGCAATTTATAATTTCATTCTGACATTTCTGTTCAAGGCCATGTGAGGAGAGGAAAAGCAAAGGAAGCAAAGAATGTGCAGGCGACGGGCAGCAAAGCAAAAGGCAAAGACCGTCTCACTGGCAGGGCCAGGAGGTAATGCAGTGAGTTCATCTTTGGTGCACCCCATACATAAGAAAAGTACTATCTTTGTGAACATGGAAAGTCCCAGTGTCATTCTTATTCACCTCAAATCTACACACTTGATTTAGAGGTTGCAGCAGCTGACTGAATAACCCAAGGAGGCCTCATTTACAACTCACTCCATGTATTTTTCCTTTCAGAGCTTTTCTTGGTTGAGAATCGGGCCACTGTGTTGGTTGTTGAGAGGGCTTTCAGAGTCTAGTGTTACACAATCATTGCTCATAATTTCAGACCACAGCTGTAGAAGAGGCACTTTATGATTTCAATATGGCCTTGTCAATTACAGAGACTTCCTGTTAACATGCCCTGTTTGATCTATAGATCTAACTTCACATCTAAGTTCTAATACATGTCTTCTTTACGAGCAGTATGTGCCTTTTAAGAATGTTAGATTTTGTCTTTTTCAGATGGGAATCCAACAAGGATGGAAATTTACAGGTAAGCTTGAAAAAACATACTGAAAAGAAAACCATAACTTTATATTAGATTACATGATTACATGTTTTTTCACTATGCAAACTCATATGTCATTTTATGCAATCTGGAATAGCGTCAATACCTATACTAACGATGACATGCTTACACAGACATGACAGTTAATGGATTTATACTCTAGAGGAGCATTCATGGGACTGCCCTTACACTAACAATAACACATGTGTTTTTTTAAAATCTGTTTTTAGGACTCTGAAACAACACTGGAGGAATTCCTAGAAGAACTTGATGCTCTCACAGAATTGGTTGATCAGAGAAAAGTGGAGGACACAAAAACAAAAGAACCACTTAACCGTGAGCAGGGGATAAATGAACAAGAAGCTGTTGCTTCAGAAATGGACAACAATATCACACATAAGAAAGTAGACTCCTCTGGCCCTAGGGGTTCAGAGAAGAAAGTGCGCTTTTCAGATGAACTCAAACAAGGGAGTAGAGCCTCCCAAGAGCCTGCCTCTTCTGAATCACAGAGTCCACAATCAATGAAAGGTTCCTCGCCAAAGAAAAAGAAAACGCAAATGCACAAAGCAATAGTGGACAGTTGTATTCATGAAGAGAGCGGAGGGGAGTCACCATCAGCCCCTCATACAGAGCAGCAAGAAAATGAATGTACTACAGAAAGCATCACCTCTCCCTCCGGCAGCTCCACTCAAGCTGAAACCGCCAATCAGCCTGTAGAAGTTGGGAAGTGCAACATGACCAGCACAAACACAGGTTTCACTATTGCTATAAGAACTACTGTATGTTGTAATATAATGCATTATGAATAAATATAAGGTGTAATCTTTATGTAGAGGAGCTGATAGACTCTGGCCTGTCAGTCTTGAGCATGGAGTCTGGAGAACCACACCAAGCACACTCCACCAGCAGTGATAAGGTCAGTGGAAGATGGGGGAAGCACAGCCAATCAATACATGTGTGAATGCACTGAAGGATGAAAGTGCAAATGGATGATGAGTTAAATGGACTCGAGAGGGGAGAAGCTAATGTGGGCTAACATATATGCACTGGAGAATGGCCGAGCGTCAAAATGTCCTCCACTTTTCATAGTTTTGATCTGTCTAGGAGTAAAGTTCTCATGAGATCAAATGGGGACAGCTAAAATTAATATTGTTATAATGCAGTTTATTGCTTTAATACAAGATGTTAAAGGGTTTTGTTATCAAGTAAAATCATCAGGGTTAACATTTGTGAAGTTACCTTTTTGATATTTCATGACAAAGTACAATATTGTCAACAGGAACATTTGACTCTTGCTGCCATCTTGGAGTATTTCATCACCTTCTACCATCTAAACACCACCAATTAAGACAATAGTGTTGATTTCAGCCAAATTAAAGCATCACATAAAATATTTTAAATGCCAGAGTTAGTTATTTGATCATGAATTTGCAATAGTCCATTCAGTACAGTCCTTTTGAAAAGCGTGATTGGCTTACAATGACTACAGAGCAGGGATTTCTGTAAGTTCATATAAATGTTTGTTCAAATGTAATAAACACACTTACAGTCTACTTAGACATGCTACTTAACTATTAAATATTAGAATAAATCAATCGGTCTGTATTCTAACTTATCCATCTAAGAAGTAAATAGTAGGGGTGTAACATTATCCAAGTCTCACAATACGATATCGTCACGGTATGAACCTCACAGTACGATATTTATTGCGATATCATGGTAAAGCTCACTATATGATGGGGAGGCTCACGATTAGGGATGTAACGATATCCTAATCTCTATATTTTCACAATATACATCTCACAGTACGATATTTATTGTGATATTTTGTGGAGGCTAACAAAACTGTTCACTGTTTTTCCTCTTAAAATGCATTGACAAGACTTAATCCAAAAAACTAAGTCTTTAAAGTGCTTAGAAATGTTATTTCTTCATGTAGCCTACACTGAAATGGAGCAAAAGACCATGGTCTATTGGTCTATGCAGTCTTTTTTTTTTTAGATATTGCTGCACCATAACTCTTAATTTAAGGAAAGAAACTTGTAATTCGATATATTGTGATGGCCAATGATATTATTCTGAGAACTTTGATGATACAATATCGCGATATTTCGGTTATTGTTACATCCCCAGGAAATAGTCAGCTCTATTTCAAGTAATCTCATAACAAAATTGTCTCTTTTTCCTTTGTAGGCAAGAGAGCATGGGAAAATAGTTTGAGAGGGACTTTCTGCACAGATGCGGACACCAAATCACAGCCTCTGTACCTGGATGCGGCGGGTCCCTCATTCTAAGTCACGGAGGAGAGAGCGTTTGGATGATGATGATTTCACTTCCACTTCCTCTGTTTAAATAGTCATGACATCCAAGCACTTTACACTGATGTTATGTGTGTTTTGTGTATGTTGGTATGCTGCTTGAGTGCAATAACACTGAATGTTTACGTTGGTATGGACACTTCGAGGTACAAATCAGGTGGCAAGTGAATCGTTCAAGTAGCCTTATGATTAATCAACAGCCACAACTGATTGAATGCCTGGTTCTGCCTTAGATTTAGAACAATTAAGAAATATTGTGCAAAAAGTTTAATTTGGATTTCCTCAAAAGATAATTTTTACTTTGGAGTCACTAGTGCCATTATTATTCATATCAAAGTGCGTCATTTACAGTAAATAGGCGAGCGCTAATGCTAAACCACACGCTCTCACTGCATTAATGAAGGCAATCAACATACTTCAGAGGCTGATCGAAAATACCCAGCCTCAAATCTGTGGTTTGACTATTTTCCACTGGGATCCTATTGCACTTGTTAATGGAAATGATACTGTCAAGACTGAAGAGAAAACTATTTTAATAAGCTTACACATCAGTATTCAGTCTTTGTGCCTTGCTTTTTAGACACAAGTTTGTTGAGGTAATATTTTACAGTCTGAGCAGAGAAGAAATGTTATTTATTTGAAATTGGTTATCAAGGGTGAACTGTTACTGTTTTATTAATGTATTGATATTTAATTTATTGTCCTAACACTATGTTGTTTTAGCCTTAAATTTCAACTCTGATAGGAAGTCTTCAGAGCTCTCGTCCTCAAATAGCCTGGTATAGTAAACAGTTCTGTAACTTTAAATAGTGGCTGTAGACCTTTTCAGCTTGTGATTATTTTAAAATGTAATCAGGGGTCGAGGAGGAGCGCACATGACATGCAAAAGGCTAGTCTGCTGTCACACAGTGGGATTCTTACTCCACATTTTAGTTGTAACTTAAATGGATTAAATGTGCCATCCAGAGGCTCTAAAATCCTCTTAATGGCAAGAAGAGGTGGCTGTAGTGTCTTTCTTTTTTACACCCTCTTGTGTAAGAGGTGTGATTTGCGCCTTCACTTGTTTGTGCAATTTCAAAAAGCGCACATTGCCTAATTTTCTGTAGAACAATGTAGAATGGAACTATCAATAAAGCTTGTTTTCAGTACTGGCTGGCGTGGTTGGATTTCTTTTTTCGCTCCATGTTCGTGCAGATGTTTACAGATCAATTCTCTGATGGATTTGTGTGTCCTCTTCAAAATCACAGCTCCACAGGGAAAGCACAGATGTAACAGAAATGTTGAATACATGCTTGTATAAGCAGTGTATTAGAGCAGGCCACGGTCCATTGGGCCTGATCTCTACAGCCTGAACACGAGTGTGATTTGATTAATTTCACATGAACTCCCTGCTGGCCTGTTACTTTGCAAACAGCTCTTCCCCAGCACAGGTGGGACCTCCCATAGGCCATACTATTTTAATTATGTCTGCTTTACTCCACCATGGTGCTGTCCTGTTGTAGAGGCTATGCTGAAATGGTACGATATTGTGCTAGGTAGATTAATTTCCTGATGGATAATTTCTCCAAAAATCAAAGCACCTTTTAGCATCATGCCAATCTTTCCTTGCGTTTTGGATGTATTATAGTAGATCAACAATCTGAGAGAAAATTTGTTATCTAGACTAAAGCTAGATTAATTTTGCATTTAGTGAGCAGGGTTTGTGCAGCACAAATTTCCCTGATAATTAGTGGCTTTGGGCAAACTACAGATCCTAATTATGTCCTGACAGCCCCACAAAGACACCTCCTGTTAAGATCACAAGCCCTGTTTTAGTTTCTCACCGATGACAGTCATTTTCAGAGGCTTAATCCCTGTCTCTGGCTCTAGAGGTGTTTCATTATCCCTGATGGATGGAATTTTATTAAAAGTGAGGTCTCACAGGCATCACAACCTTGACACAACCTTCTGCTGGCAGTTTGATGCTGCATTTGACAGTCATACACCCCTCAGCTTCAGATATGGGGTCGAACGGACAGTATGGCCACGCCTCCACAGCCAACTTTATTACACTAAGTGCGGCTATTTTTATGTAACCTCACATGCAAATTGCACATTTTTAGGGTTTACAGTCATTTCAGATTTAGCTAATGTTTATGTAAATGTAGTAAAAAGATAGATACATAGACATTTCAGTAGATTTTTGCAATGTTATCCTATAAATACTGTTTTGTTTTTGTAATACAAGCTAATTAAAAGAAAAATAAACTCACACTTACTCTAGCGTAGTGTAGAATAATACGAATTATTATTTAATTTCAGATAATAAAATCAGTGCTTTTTGAAACTATATTTTGTAGTATTCCACATCTTTGATTAGCAAAAACTACAAGCAACTACTACTGACCTTTTGTTGCACCCTATTAAACCACTGAGAGAATATCTGATCCATATTAAATAGAATTTATGAGGATGTTTCATATAAGCATTTTGGGACCTAGAGTTTATCTCGCTGTCGAAATGCCCTCTGCTTGTCATCAGTCAATCCTCACATAAAATCTGATGGCGGATGCTAATTTAAATGTGCTGACATCATAACAATCCAAACTGCAGAAAATATCTTATTTAATGTGCCTTTATGTAAGGCACAGATCTGGTATTAGGTCATGTAATGGAGCATCCTGGTGACTGTCTTAAAGAGTCATAAGGTCAATCGCTACGTCCTGACTCCAGGCCATAACTGTCACTTGTGATGAACTCTCTCATCAATAGGTCGTCCATTGTTCTTTCATATATCACACGCATCCAGGAGAGCCACTGGAAACTGCAAATCTGTCAGCCCGTGTTGTATGGAAGGGCCACTGCAGCAGGCACTGACAGCTTCGCCTTGACTTGTTGTGTATTACACCCTTGTGCCGCATATGGCCACACTGTCTTCACTGATGAATAGGACTTCCTGTTTGAGCCATAAGACGCACATACCTTAGCAAGGGTTCTGAAAATCTGTCACCCATTGACAAATAGTGACACAGTGTGCATCAAAGAGAAAATCAGGCCATTATGGTTTCAGTGTCACATTGAATGATGCTTGTGAACGACAGAAGAAAGCAACCTTTTAAGCCAAACCGTGTGCTCAGAAGAGGGTGCTGGATCAAAATAGCATGGGGCCCTATTGTGTAATATGTTCTGTGTTTTGTACGATGCTAGAACAGAGCTCTCCAATCAATATGCCTCCCTCACATGCTGCTACTGCTGTGAAAGTGCACACAGGTATGGGCTTGCTTTCACTTGAGAGTTCACCACATGTAACTGTGTGAAATGCTTTATAGAGCATGGGCTCACCAACATGTTTCTATGGACAGCATCAGACCAGTCGAAATAGTCTTTTAATAGGTGTCACTAATTTTCATTTTAGGCAGAATCTGTCCTGAACTTTTCATTTTTAAAACAATCAATAAACGTGGGCTTGAAGTAGCCTGAAGTAGGTCAAAGACGATTTCGAAAACAAGGCATGTAAGGTGTGAGGTAAAAACCTTCCATTTATTTGAATATATATTCTCCGTTCTGGCTCTAAATAAATATAATATTGTCAACATACATGATAATGTCTCCAGTAGGGCATGGTTTACAGATAAGTGTTATAAAACCATAAAAATGAAAAAATCCTAAGATGTTTATTTGTATCATGTCATATATTGTACCTACTGTACATTAATAAAAACCTGCTAATTACACTAGAAGTCCATCAAGGCCAATATTTTGTACACCAGCCCTGTACATGTTTAATACACAATACATTTACATGGTTATATGCACATACCTGAGCATAACTTATAATGCAGGGTCTTCTATTGGGAATCCAGGTCAGATCCAAACGGTAACACAGCCTATGTTAAATGTAACAATGCAGTATTAGGGTAGCCTAAGCCAAATGCATGGAGGTGGGATAAGGGTATGACATGTCCGTGTACAGGCAGGGTATGGGACAGTGGCCTCAGGTGTCCGAGGTAAAGCCAACATTTTAAGGCATACAGATGGCCTGGAAACAAAACGCATAGTGTCGACAGGGAACAGTGTTCATAGAAGGTCTCCTCTTGTCTCAGTAACAGTGAGTGTAGTCCAGCATCCACAAGGAGCTCCAGAGGAAGAGCTGTGATCCGACCCGCGGCGCTCTAAACGCTCCATGTCCGGAGTGCGGAGGATGTGCTGGGCAGGAGGCCTGCTCAGCCTCCTCTCGATGCTGATGTTGGGGGAGCAGAAGTAAAATCTGTATTTGTGTGCTCAGAATTGTCCTCTTCTGCCTCACCCGTTGTCCACGTCCCCTCTCTGTCAGGATAAGTTTTTAGTCCTGGTTGTGTACCGCTTGGGTATAAATTTTCCGCGGTTGTGTGACCCTGGGAGGACGCGAACAGTTCTTCCTCCTGCTGGGGGTGCGCAGTTTGCGCCGCTGTCTCGGCTCTATCATCCAAGTGAAACGCGCGCGTCACAGGGTCCTGTCTGCTTGGGTTCAGGGACAGTCTCGACTGTGTAGAGTTCCACTCGGATCCGTTGCTGCTCGTGGACAGGTTCGTGGTGATGTTGGGGCTAGCGGTGACCTCCTCTGGCACTTGCTTACCCCCAGAAGAAGATGCGCTGGTCGGTTTCCAGATCAGGCTGTAGTAAATGGCCAGGATAATGGCTGCTAAGGACACCGACAGCACATAGGCAAAAACGGTGGCTAATCTGACCCACTTCTTGTTCGTCTTAGCTGCCATCTTAGCCTTTTTGTCCCCCGTGTAAGTGGCAGGTTTGCCCCTCTCCATGTTGGGCATGAAGTCCCTCTCTCTCATATTGCCCCTGTTTTTCCCTCGATGCTCCACCACCCCCTCCGTCTTGAAGGCTTCTTGTTATCCACAGTCCAAGAGAAGACAGGCAGCGGGGGGCCACGGCAGAGAGATGCAGGACCACCTTGAACACGTCCTCTCAGCGCAGCGCCGTTTCGCAGCTACACCGCGCTGCTGTCATTCATTTGATCCTATTGCACTGCGCCTCGCGTTCAGCAGCAGCCAGTGCACCACTGCGTTTCATAATGGACATCAAGCATCCAAAGTCTCAGCATCCGACAGCGGCAGGACAAATGTCTATCCCCAGAGACATTTCCGACAAACAGTTGACTGAGTAGGCCCAAGGCGCATCCGCAATCTGCGATTTGATGTCATTTATTAAAGAGATTCAGTGAGATCACACGGTCCACAACTGTCTGTCTTACCCACTAAATGAAGTGGCTGGCTCAGCTAAAAATACTGGAGAGGGGGCGGGCGGTGGCTCTTAAAGCAGCAGCAGCTGCAGCAGACTCACAACAAACTCCCACCGAAGCACAAATCACTGCAGAGAGCGCGCCCCTCACACGTGCGTGTGCTATTGGGTCATTACTAAGTTTGTTTGCACTCAACTCAACCAACTTTTTTTTACTGGATTATTTTATCATTATATTTCAGTATATATGTATATTATATTTAACTGTGTAAATTGCATGGTTATTAGGCTACTTGCGAATAAATATAGGCTATCTATGAGTTTTCTCAACATTTTAAACAAAAGCCTAGTTCAAAGACTTACTGTTTAAAAAAAATCTTCCAAAAACGTTAAATTTTGGTGCACAGTATGAACCTGGACACTTTTGCAAAAGCACCTGCGCCAGCTAAATAGACGCTGGCTGACACTTGTCCATTAATTTAAGTGATGGGTGAACGGAGTATTGTTACTTATGTAAATGCAGTTTTGTGTGGCGCTGCAGCTTATCAATTTCCATTTAGGAATTAAGTTTATTAAGTTTATCAAACTTTATTTGCAACAGACGGCATGCAAAACCATGACCAACCATCAAGGCTGATTATTAATATTAATGCGGTCTGGATTGGGGTGAGTGAATATACCAGCAGCCTAGTCAGTTTTGAAGCCATATTTAAATTATATCCAAATATAGTTGTCAGTGTTGTGCCTTAATGAATCACAGTATCAAACTGAAGAGATGTCCGTGGCTCCCTCTGATGGGTTTAGGCAAATTAAGAGTAATGTCAGCATGACAAAGTTAGGATGAAGGCGGTGCCACATTTGTACACTGTGGGCTGTCCCAGGAAAGCCCAGATACCTGTCTGTGTTTGTAGATGTCTGGTTGTTATGGAAACAAACCAAGCTAAAAACAAGGAAAGAAACAAACAAATAATTTGTTTCTAGGCCCAAGTAAAACATCCTGTGATAATGCATGATAATATCAATACATCATATTATAAGATATTTTCACTGCATTATAATTAATAATAATAAATAATAATAATGCCTTCGATATAATCCGCCTTTCAAACCCAAAGCATTTCACCATGGAACCTGTAACTCATTCAGTCCATACTCAGTGATCGTAAGGTAGCCATTGCTGCCCTGGGGTAATTGTTTGACCCAAGCCTTTCTAGATGTGAACATTTTCCTGTGGTCACGTGACTGACTTTGTGAGATTCATTTGCAAGGCATATTTGTCTGGGTGCGTCCTGAGAACTTTGTTTGATGATGTCTTTGAATGCTGGCACTTGGATAGTTAAGGTGGTAGTTGCAATCATGGTTTAAAATAATTCTTTTACAAATTGTGAAAAAAAAACTCCAACTGGCAAGATGAATAAAAAAAGATTTTTTCTGGATTCGCCAGAGGTGAAGGACTACCTCGTCAAAGGAGAGAGGTTCACAAAGTGGTCGGAGGTGAGTGAAGGATTAAAAATGTGATACAACCTATACAACAATTGATGTACCATGTACGAATGTGAACTACTGTTACTTACATCATATACCAATTAAATGCCAATTAAAGTTTCAAATTTAAATTACAGGATTCCACCAAGACAAGTCCTGTCACTATGAAGATGGATTCAAAAGGATTTTACATTTACTGGATCAACCAAAGCAAGGTAATCATATAAAACAAACACAAGAACTAAGGTGTTTAATTGCCATAGTACTTTATTTACTTTAAATGTACTTTATGATTATGACTGAATAAACCATAATGTAAATAGGAGGAGTGTTTTTCTACATTCTACAAAACACAAACTTCAGTTCAAATAGTGATTTACTTCTTATTTTTGCAGGAGACCACATTGCTGGATGTGGCTACAATCAGAGATACCAGAGTTGGAAAATACGCCAAACTTCCTAAGGTAAAGTATACTGGATTATATTATATGTAAGGAAGAGGGGAGGATTTAAAAATCTGCGTGTTTAGGCAAACTCAGAATCAATTTCCTTTATTTCCCAGTAGAATGTGCATTTGCAATGCAAAATTGTCAAAGTACACCTCCTGCACACAGTGCAGACAAACAAATGAACACAACCCAAAGTGATCCACTGAGCCAGGCCTGCGCCCAGAGCTCTCAGAGGTGGGTTCTACTACTTGTGGACCCCGTAGAGAGTCCACTTATGCACCATTTGATCCCATCTTTAAAACTTGCACGTTCTCAAATGTTCTCAAAGCTCAGAGGGGTTTGGGGGAGAGAGTGTGATGAATTGTTGTCTCAAAGGACTGAAAATATACAAACAAATCGTGGCAATGTTAACATGCTATGTGTTATATAATGTGAGTCATTGTAAATGTGCATATCTTTGCATGCTCCTTTCAACATTTGCAAGAGTTCTCTCAGATATGTATTCAAAATGATATGATTCATAAAGTAATTGTTGAATAATTGTAATTCAGAAATATTAAATTAATAAACTATTATTCTTTATGCTTCTGTGTCCACAGCACTCAAAAGTGCGCAATGTTTTCAACATGGATTTTCCAGACAGCAATCATCTGGCTAAAACTCTGACCATAGTCTCAGGGATGGACACCGTCAATCTCACTTATCACAACTTCTTTGCCTCCAAAGAGAAAGTGGTACAGGTAAAAAAAACGGCTCAGTCTGTGTGATTTGAGGACACAGTTTCCTCTCCTGCTCACACTCCTGCCTCTTGATATTTCTTAATGCAAAAACAACCAATGCCACCAGCCATTACACAGTGTGGCTTCACTTCCTGTCATTAGTCAGCTTCTCTCTGGCTTTTAGACCTTATTAGACTTTATGACTGCAGTATCCTGATTCAATCATCTGCAATGAAAACTCATTTGAGCTCTGTTCTAAATCAATAGCCATTAACCCAATTTCTCTGTAAGTACTGCAATATTAGTGACCTTCTAGTGGTGATTATCACTGTCAAAAACTTTTATAAAAATAACATATTATTAAACTGTCTCTAATATGTCTCATCACCTTTGCATTTCCAGAACTGGGCAAATGACATACTTGCAATTGCCTACAATGCTGCAAGAAACAACTCATGCCGACAAGTCTTCTTGGACAAAATGTGAGTGATTAAGGATCTTAAATTTTAACGTACAATCCGATATATTATACTATGTCATTTCAATTTTAGATATGTGTGCCTCTCTCTCCAAACCAACAAAGACGGCAAGATCCCAGTGAAACGGTGAGTACTACTCTGGGTACTATGAGCTGCTGTCTAATGCATGATTTACATACAGTATATGCTCCCTCTATGTTTAATCAGTATCTACAAGATGTTCCCAGCTGATAAGAAAAGGGTGGAAGGTGCCTTGGCAGCAGCACACCTCCCCAAAGGAAAGGTCAGACATGTTTTCTTTTTAGCATAAGGCTATGTTTAGATATCAGAATTGCTTAACTTAAGTAAACTGGAGTATGCTTTATGTTAAAGTATGACAGCATAAAGTCTGATGCATTCACCGAGGCGGCCTTCAGGACATTTATAACTCACCTTTGCCCGAGGCCTGATATCTATGAGATTTTTACATCTTAGTAAGTCAACGTTCAATGTGAAAGACATGTGATAAAAATGCACATGGTAACATGGTGTCACTGGTCTCCCTTTAGCTCCAACAAGCCCACAATGACCAAGGAGAACTTCACCAAGTTCCTCAACGAAAAGCAAAGAGACTCTCGACTCAACGAAGAGTTGTTTCCTCGTTTACGACAGGACCAGATCAAGGCTTTGATTGACAAATATGAACCTGTCTCCAGCAATGCAAACAGAGGTTCTATACTTTACCGCACAGTAGTATCAAATATAATATACCTGAACAAATACTAAGATCTTTGTGTTTTGTGAAGGCCTGATTTCTCCAGAGGGATTTCTGTTTTACCTGATGGGGTCTGAGACTTCAGTTGTAGTGCAGGACAGACTGGCCAAATCCCACGACATGACTCAGCCTTTACCGCACTATTTCATCAAGTCCTCCCACAACACTTACCTGACAGGTTACCAACGGAAAATGGAGACTTTTTGATTACTTTCAGGATGATGTTTTATGTTTTATGTTTTATTCTTCTTGGTTTCACACAGCGGGCCAGTTCTCAGGCCCGTCCTCTCCTGAGATGTACCGCCAGTGCCTTCTGTCCGGCTGCCGCTGTCTGGAGCTGGACTGTTGGAAAGGCAAACCCCCAGATGAAGAGCCCATCATCACACACGGCTTCACTATGACAACTGAGATCCTCTTTAAGGTCATTTTATTACATTTTTTCATGCTGTAAAAGCTATTCTTTGGCAGAACACATGTTTCCCGTGAAAAGGTTGTGCACTGTGTCAAAGTGACAGCTTCTTATAAACCTCAGTAAGTCTATGCTTACAGACTGAGATGTATCTTAGAATTGCCACTATCTAGATAAGCTTCATGTTAAAGAAATCATGTAAATTTTTGTAGCTTTGAATTTTAGCTTTTACAATACAAGAGCAAGAAGCACACAGACACCTCCTCTCTCACTCTCTCACATTGCACTTCCATTTAAGGTCTGAGCAGTCTCCACGGCGATCCCCCTATGCTTACTGGCAGGTCTATAGATGATTCAGTGAGGAATACGTGTTAAAGTTCAACCTATGTATCATATGTCACCATAAACTATAATCACATTTTTTATTTTCTGTTTTCTTATATATCTTGTGGGAATTTAAATTGACTTCAAAGTAATTTCTTCTCTTTTACAGGATGTGATTGAAGCTATAAACGAAAGTGCCTTCAAGACTTCTCAGTATCCTGTTATTCTCTCATTTGAAAACCATGTCGACTCGTAAGGGGATATTTAAAAACATTGAGTAGTAATGTTATAGAATAGCAAAGTAGATGCATTTAAATTTCCTTTAGGATGTACTAGCTGATTAATTTTACCTTTGCTCTCAAAGTGCTGTGTCTTTTGTTACAGGGTCAAACAGCAAGAGAAAATGGCCAACTACTGCAAAACCATATTTGGAGATGCCCTCCTAACAGAGCCCCTGGACAAATACCCTGTCAGTGTACTGCAGCAAAGCCCACTACTGTAGTCACAATAATAAAGGCATCTCTCATACCAGGCTTTTGTTAAACACAACACAGTTTCCAGTGAATCTAGTATTATTAGTTGTGTATAACTGCATCAGCATGACAGCTATGTAGAGTATGCTAAGTTTGTAGTTTGTCATATCGCTGAGAGCTATGTCCCTCCTTGCCTTCTGTAGCCAATCCAAATAATTTATATCAACAGTCTGTCCATCTTACCTTCTCACAGCTGTGAGTGTGTCCATGGGGAGGGGGGATGTTGCTCACTCTGTCTCTGTCCCAAACAACATCAGTAACGCAGCCAGGATTAAGCCTGTGAAGACAACATTTTATTTGTCATTATTTAATATGCCAACTAAGAACAGAAGAGTAGAGCAATGACTTAGCACTTAAGTCTTTATTCTAGTTATACTTGAGAGACAAACTTTTATGTGTGTCGAACCAAAGATCAAAAGAAAGATTTTGCCTTAGTAATATCTTGAGATAAATCAGTAAAATTAAAATGGACAGAAAACAACATGACATTACAACTGCTAATATAATTTCTATCTTTTTTAAAACTGTATTGCAGTTGAAGCCAGGCCTGCAGATCCCAAGTCCATCAGAGCTCATGGGCAAAATCTTGATCAAGAATAAAAAGGGCAGCCATGACAAGCCCAAAGAACAGGCCAAGAAACCAGCCGCTGATCCGACCGCTGTCACCCCAGACCCTGCCAACCCTCCAACTGCCTCAGAGAACCCAGGTGCAGTCCCACAGTTACTCTGTTATAGTTAGTTATGTCTGACATGTCTGTGTTTTATTCAGAGGAGGATCCTGAGGAGCAGGAAGAGACAGAGGAGCAGGATGAGGAGAAAATGAAGACATCGGACGAGGTACATTCTGGAATAATGTGCTGTGACATGTTTGCGAGTGCAGAACTGAGCTGTCTTCTTGTCACATTCCTACAGGGCACAGCTGGACAGGAAGTGACAGCATACGAGGCTATGTCTTCAATAGTCAATTACATCCAGCCAAACAAATTTGTCTCCTTTGAACATGCTAAAAGTATGGTTATGCTTTATTTGTAAAAATCTAATAAGGGAATGAAATTGTTTTACAACATACAAACTAGTTGTGATTGTTATTTAACTTATCCTACCTTTACAGAGAAAAACAGGAGTTACGTCATCTCATCTTTTGTGGAGACCAAAGGGGAAGCAATGATTGCCAAAAGTGCAGTTGAATGGGTGGAGTATCCTTTGAGATGTGCCTCCAAAGTTGATTGTTTGTAATGTAAAAATGTCAACAATGATGCAGCAATTTCTTTAACTGCATTTCCTAGGTATAACAAGAGACAGATGAGTCGAATCTACCCCAAAGGAACACGAATGGACTCATCCAATTACAATCCACAACCTTTCTGGACCGCGGGCTGCCAGATGGTGGCACTCAACTACCAGACAATGGGTAGAGAGAAAAACATAAAAAAAATATATATATTAAAAGTGATATACTGACTAGTGAAATAAATTTAATGTACATTTATATGAATAAAAAATATCTTAAAATTATATTTGAAAGTACTGATAAAAGTTCAGTCTTTTGTATTGTGGCGGGTTGTGTAGTTGCGTTTCTGTTTGTCTCCACAGGAGGTCAGTGTTGCATCACTTAGAGCTTGCAGACCTGGGATGTGCTTTGCATCCTAAACCTCCTTTCCTCTTTGTGCTAAGGATGTTTAACAGTACTGTCTATTTTTAGATTTCCCCATGCAACTCAACATGGCTCTGTTTGAGTACAACGGCAGGACTGGGTACCTTCTCAAACATGACGTGATGCGCCGCAGTGACAAGAAGTTTGATCCTTTTTGTGACAGAATTGACACAGTTGTGGCAAGCACACTGACAATCAAGGTGAGTTCAGTATTTGGTGTCTTATAAAACAGAAAATATTAAAATCATTTTTTAATTTACCTTAGAAATCCAGTGTAAGTGTGCTCTGTACTTGTGTTCCTTGGCTGTCCACACATGCCTCCTGCAGTGACTAATACCTGGTTCTAGGTATTTCTCTATGATTGAAAAACTGTGCTATTTATATCCCCTGAGAGTGTTTTAATCCAATGGGACAGAGTGTTGACTAATACAAAGAAGCAGGTTATGTGTGTATCAAGATATATTTCTGTTTCCCCTATAGATTTATTCAGGACAGTTTCTGTCAGACAAGAATGTGAAAACTGGAGTGGAAGTGGAGGTGATTGGCCTGCCCAATGACCCCAAGAAAAAATACCGCACCAAATGGACCACCACACCTAATGCCATAAACCCAGTGTGGAATGAAGAGCCCTTTGTTTTTGAAAAGGTGCGTGATCAAGAAAACATGGATAAATGAAAATGGTAATGACCCTCTAATCTCATTACCTTGTTATTGTTCTTGACAGATCTTACTCCCAGAATTGGCATCTCTGAGAATTGTGGTTCATGAGGAGAATGGTAAATTCTTGGGACACAGAATAATTCCTCTTGACGCCATACAATCAGGTCAGTGTGGATCAATATGCTTGGAGCACAACTCATTTACATCTTTGAAGAGCTTGAGGCCTGGGACACGTGTTGAGGATCAGGTGAGTCTCTAATCTGCTGGGGCTTTTGTACCTTGCAGGGTTCCACCACATCTGCCTTCGCAGCGAAAGCAACATGCCCCTCACACTGCCGGCTCTCTTTGTGTACATCGAGGTCAAGGATTACATCCCTGCTGCTTTTGCAGGTTCACCATTAGTTCATCATGTTATAAATCTCATCATGGTGCCAGCTAGCTCTGATTTACACAGCATAAGGACATGTATATTTAGCTCTTCATACAAGAAGGCTATTTGTATATTATTCAAATCTCTCTTTTATCCTGTCCTAGACTTCACAGATGCCTTATTTAACCCAACAAAAGGCACAGAGAAAACCACTAAGACACCAAAGGAGGTAACAAATAGTCTTTTCAAATGAATCCAGTCTTTCCTAATCCTTAATGAGACACATTAGCCTCCATGAAGATGAGCGAGCTTTTAAAATGTCTGTCCTTTTTGTGCCCACACAGTCATCTGCTGACTACGTCTCCCCTTATGAGATGCCCCTCGCTGCCCCCGTGCCCACTCCCAAGGCAATTGAAGCCCCTCCAGCAGGTAAACAGTGACATTATTATTAAATATATGGTACATCACACTTTGCAATCTTTTATTGTGCTTTGTTTTATTTACAAGAGGCATCCAAAAATGTTTTGCTTTATACTAAATTTAACTATTTATCTGTCCGCTGCTTTGGGTTGGAAGATGGAACAAGCAAGGGCTATCAAACTATACAGGTGCATTTCAATATTGTCAAGGAAAAGTGTATTATACAATATGGAGAGTATTTCATATTTGATGTGATTTTTATTTCTATGATTAGAATATCAATCAGCGGATCATTATATTCACTTTAAATGCTCTAATATAATCAGTATGCTCACATTAATTCACAGCTGGCATATTCAACTTCTGGTTACATTCTCTTTTAAAGTCCTCTTATTTAAATACAAAAAAACCCTAAACCTAACTACTAAGCTAAAAAACTAAACTCACAGGCCAACAACATTACTTGTAGTATATTTTTGTCTTGATACCATAGCATGCAGTAGATAGACTTGAATCTCACTTTAACACAGAGCAAGTTGAACAATATCCAACAGTTAATAACAACTGACTTTTATTCTCACACCTCATTCAGAAAAGACAGAAGAGACGCCAGCAGCTGCAGACCCAAGTGCTGAGACCAAAAATGCTGCAGCTGAGGACCCCCCTCCAGCAGAAGAACCTCCCAAAGAAGAAGAACCCCAAGAAGCAGCCCCAGAACAGCCTGCAGAAGAGCCTGTGGCAGAACCTACTGACACTGCCCCAGAAAATGCACCAGCTGAGGCAGAAGAAACACCTGCACCAGAGTCTGAGGAGAAACCTGAGACTCCTCCTGAAGAGAAAGAGGAGACTACAGAAGAACCAAAAGAAGAAACTCCAGAAGAGCCAAAAGCTGAGGCCACAGAGGATACAGCAGAGGCGGAGAAAACGGAGGAGGCCAAGGCAGAGACCACCGAGCAAGTTGTGAGCGCTCCTGTTGTAGCAAATGGAACATCTCAAAAGCCTGACACCAGCACTGACGGTAATGAACACTACATCTATCTGTGTTTTCATTGTTGAAGGAGCAAGTCAAAACATACTTTGTTTTGATGCTGCAGATATTAAAACTGTGACCACTGAAGAACTGACACAGCACAAAAACTATGTGAAAATCGTAAAGCGCCAGGAAAAGGAGCTGAAAGAAACTGAAAAAAAGCTACAGAAAAAGGGAGAGGACCTGATTCAAAAATACTCTGACACCTTCAAGGCCATCAAGAAAAAAAATTCTGTCAAGAAAAAGGAGTGAGTGCTTTTTATTATTTCTTTTAACAATAGTAGTAATAATTTTTAACTACATTTTTTATGTTTTGTGGCTTACTTATGAATGTTGAGCTGAAAAAAGGGTAAACATTAATAGCACAGTATTTTAAAGGCTGCAGTTTATTTTATTTTTTTTATTTCTTTCACTAAAAGTGGTTTTGTGTTCTCAGGGCAGGAGCAGGTGGAGACTCTAGTGGAGCGAATGAACGTGTGCAAGAGCAGAAGGAAAAGATGACCAATGATCTGCAGAGTTTGTGGACCAATCAGTATGACCAGATCAAAAAGAAAAAAGAGCAGTTTGCTACAGAGGTTTGAACTACTACTACTACTAATACTACTACTACTACTACTACTACTACCACTACTACTACTACATATTTTGGTCAAAACCATTTTAGTTTTAATTAAGGGTGCATTCAGTGGTGTAGTGGGGATTTTTCAAGTGGGGGTACGCGATTTGTGATGTCATCAATGAGTTGAATCCCGCCCACCTGCCACCTAAAGCAGGACTAAACCAGAACTGAACCAGGATTAAAACAGGACTAAACCAGGTCTAAACCAGGACTAAAACAGGACTAAACCAGACCTGAACCAGGACTAAAACAGGACTAAACCAGACCTGAACCAGGACTAAAACTGGACTAAACTAGGACTAAACCAGGTCCAAACCAGGACTAAACCAGGTCTAAACCACGACTAAACTAGGACTAAACCATGTCCAAACCAGGACTAAACCAGGTCTAAACCACGACTAAACCGGGTCTAAACCAGGACTAAACCCGGACTAAACCAGAACTGAACCAAGACTAAACCAGGACTAAACCAGGTCTAAATCAAGATTAACCCATTGACGCCGGATGCTGCGCAGCTGAGTCCCCTGTCCGGATTGTCTGGCGATCAGCGTTACTGATAAAGGCGGGGCCACACCTGGAAGCATGGGGGGCGTGTCCTCCTCTCGCTTCCATTCATTCCCATAGAGAGACGCAAAACTGCCAGAGCTGTACTGTCGCGTTAAACCTTCTTTATCGTGGCGTATTATTTCTCCATTGAAAAATAATCCAAATGTATCCCGCACATGTTTCCATCAAGACCTGGTTTGAAGTAACAAACGTTGCGCTTTACTGCAGCACATGAACGCGCTCAACCACTTGATCTGTTCGCTGTTCCAGACGCTCCTATAACAGGTGCCATATCGCTATGTCGTGTAACAAATGAACATGGTCAAACACAAATGCTGTCCGTGTCTTCACTGTCATTGTCACTGTCAGCATTTTTGTGTGATATAGCGCCTTTACCAGTTACGCTGATCGCCAGACAATCCGGACAGGGGACTCAGCGCTGCGCTGCGCAGCATCCGGCGTCAATGGGTTAAACCAAGACTAAACCAGGACTAATCTTGGACTTGAGAGCGAGAGAGCCAGCAGAGCAGGGTGTCCACAAAGCACGATTGGGTGACGGCTGCGGTTAGCCCTGTGGGGCACGGAGCTCTGCGCCCCACAGGCTTACACAACTTCGGGCCTGTACCGACACTCAGTTCTGGTTTAGTTCTGGTTTAGTCCTAGTTCAGTCATGGTTCAGTCCTGGTCCCGTTATGTCACAGGTCTCTATAGGACAGTACTGGATACATCATGAGCCTATGCAGGTTGTTTTCACCATTGCCAATAGCTCTGGTTTGACATTTAAGTTTAGGTTATTTTATATTTAAAATTTTTTTATATCTCACATTGGGAGAATTGATGAATGGCGTAACCCTGCATACCACGACCACTACACCCCTGGATGCTTTCAGACTACATATGAATTAGGACTGAACTGGGACTAGGCCTAGAAATAAACTTGGACTAGAACTAGAGGACCAAACCAAAAGAGCAACAAGGTGTGAATGCACTTTAGAAGTAATAGTACTGTTAAGAATCATTTCCAAACAAGCCCAAACAAAGTTTTCCAAACTTTTCCATTTTCACTGAACAGAGATTGTCCAAACTGATGGAGATGGCATCAGAAAAACACAGCAGTGAACTGAAGGCCCTGGAGAGGTGCGAGTACACCCATAACACATACAGAACACACTAGGACAGGCCCACTGAGCTGCGCCTATCTTTGCTCTCGTATGTTGGTGTGTGGGTGCTGTGAGGCCGATGAAGTAACTGACATTTCAGACAGAGAATACCTCAAATGATGAACGCGTCAACTCAGGCTGCAGTGTGGCAGTGTTTGTTGTCCCACGTCTGTCCTGGACGATGGTTATCTGGGGACAAACCTTATCCCACAGGTGTTTGTGCAGCTGTCTATGGGGACAAAAGAGCGCAGTGGTCAGCCCTGAGTCCACAAATAAACAGTCACATTCATTTTCTTATTAAAACAAAGTACAAATATAAGGCAAAATTTCAGCAAGAATTGCAAAAGTATACTTTAAGGTAACACATAGGCCATGCAGTACATTTCTGACAAATATGAGTAATAATAAGGAACATGTGGCAGCTACTCATTTAGTCAAAGCATTGTTAAATTGTCACTGCATAAGTGATGATTTTTATTCTTTTTCTGTACAGTGAAGCCAAAGAGAAGAAGAAAGCTCAATCCAAAACAAACTCAAAGTAAGTAGTCAGTTTGGCTTGTGTTCTCCATGTTTTATTATTAAATGTGCTTGAAATTAAAATGAGATAAGCTATTGTCCTGTTGTTTTGATTACATTAAATTAATTGATATGACACAATACTTTTTTAGGATGAAAAAGGCAATGAGTACAGATGATCTGGATGAAAATGGTCTATCTGATGTGAGTATAAACCAGTATTTTGACTTGAGTTGACATTACACAAATGTTGCTTATTCTTTGTTAAAGTCACCACTCACTCATCCACTGCTCTGTGTAACTATGGTTACAAAGAGTCTGACAAAACAGCACAGAGAGAATGAGCACCTGAGGCATGTGGCCGTACATGTCTTTGATACATGTGCGCACATTAACACTTTCCTTCAGTCATGCGCCCACACAACATAAACATGTACACTTTACCCAGAGTGCAACAGCCCTGACCATAGGCCGGGTTTGCCCATTACTCAGAAGCTGTTTACAGAGGCCTGCCTAATCCATGTGTGCACAATGACTCATGTTGGCTGATCAACATTCAGCCTCTTGTATCAGGGTTAAAGACCCAGTCCCTTCACCCTGATCCTCTGCCATCGACTTTGACTGGGCTCTGCCAATAGCTTGCTCCTCGCTCACATTAGGGTCACATTGCAGCTCATTTTGATCCACTTAATCAGCTCCTGACCATTAATTGTAGCCAGTATTTATAACACAATCACTTGTTTAATCAGCCCAGCCTCTGTATTGAATGGCCCTCTGCACTGATGGCTGTGTAACTGAACTGGACAGGCCCAACCTGTTGGCTCTTAACTGTATTGATTGCCTTCCTTTGGTTGCCTCTCTTGGGTGCTTTCCTCTCCAGATATGCACACATTTCCTCACAGGGGGAAACGTGAGCCCACAAACCACTTATAGACTTGCAAACAGCCTTTATCTCACACCTGATACAGTAGAGACACAGTCCAACACCCTAAAACTAAACCACTAATCAATTGTGTTGTATTAAAACACTGTCATAGGCCCCAGATGTGAATCCTCAGCAAGAGGCACTGATGAAGAAACAGGAAGCTACACTGGAGGAGATCAAAGCCCTGACCAACCAAGTAAGCAAGAGCAACATAATGAGTGCATATAAAATAACATGTATAATTGTTATTCATTCATTTAAATAATTTGAAGTGGCCTTTAGTTCATTACATCACTATGGTGAAATCAAAGAGGATCAAAGTATAAAAGTACAAAATAATCTTTATTGTCATTACTATCACATGCAACACTAATGCAGCAAGCTGAAATTACATTTCTCCGTGTGTGTGTCAATAGTTCTCCAAGACACTGGCTCTATTATGCAATATTGTGTTCAACCCCTATGGTCATGTTCAAGTTCAGAGATGAATGCCTTACCCAATGAAATACAAAAATCCCCAAAATATAATCTACCCAACTCATATATAGTCCAGGCATGCACCAAAACTGATCATTTATTCTCTGGTCCATTACTGCCAATCTCAATAATAAGCTGCTGATTTGGTGCAATATTGAGCAACTGAGTCAATGCTACATCTAAAAACACCTACAGCTACTAAAAAACAACTCAGCACCATTATGTGAGATTGTGGGCAAATTTCTGGCTTACAAACCATAAACAAACAGCTTCTTCAATAAGACAAAATGTGCCAGAATATTTCCTATTTGTCACTGTGGCCATCTGTCAGTTCAGCTGATTCACCGAGTGCAGACTGCAGCAAGAAACAGTAAGTATAGGCATTCATAAGTGAACTGAGAAAGTACAAGACACGCTTCACAGCTGGAAGTGATGTCAAAGCACGTTTGGTGACAATGCCTTGGTTCCAATAACTTTGACACTTGAAAAAACGAGAATAAGAGGTGTTAGGTAGTAGAAATGCTGACGTGTGAACGCCAGATGGATGATGGTAAAAAACATTTGAAATCGAGAAAAAAATAGGAAAGAAAAGAGGACACACAAGATGCGAGCCACACTGCCTATCCAAGTATTTCCAGTCAATCAAAAGGTTAAGTGAGGTCATCAGTGTTCTCTTTTTGCGGTGGTGAAACTTATTCTAAAAAGATTGCCAGTGTAAATTCTATTGTGTCATGGTGTCCTTTTCAGCACCATACAGGCAATGTTTACCCTTTGACCTTTGCCTCCACAGCTCAATCAAGAGGCCCTAAAGGAGCAGCAGCAGAAGATGCACACACTGTCTGCAGATGTGTCCGAGGCTGTTAATGTGTGTGTAGGGGCTCACTTCCCAGAGCTCGTTGACCAAAATGCCAAAAAAGCGGATGGGGCTGGTGTCTATGGAGATGTTTTCCTTGGATAGTCTGTTGCTTGGTAGTCTCTCAGTCTAATTATATTTTACCAACTGTAATTCTTTTAATGCCTCTTCTACCCTCTTATGTAACCCGCAAGATGACTGTTTTATAAACAGAGCACCATTGTCCAACAACACAAAATTAGTAACTAATTTGGTAATTGTAGTCAAATTGTTTCTAATGTATTACAAGTTAAGGTCCCAATTCAGTTTCCATTGAATCAGCATAATACTATATTGTTCACCAGTTAAATTATACAGGAAATGCCATCTTCAGTGCATAGTCTTGACAATAATTTGACAGTTTTTTTCTCAATATATTTGTGTGATTTATTACTATAAATAACTAGAAACAACAATCAACAATTAATTTTAGGAATATGAATAAAAATTCTAGTGTTTTCAACTGCAATGAAGTGCTTACTAAAGATTTGCCAGTAGTTTTTATTTATATTATTAAGGTTATTAGTGACTGAACAAGCAAGAAACCACTAATTCAATGTGCCTTAATCATAAAACATGTCAAAAATAAAATTCAGCTGTGTGTAAACTTTGTTTTTTCTGACAACAACATGCCCTGCAAACTGGAACTCAGTGTTCATTGTGATTAGAGAATGAAAAGGCATTGTGACCGCCCGGTGCATCAAAATTTTCCTGCCCTTTGTGATTTGGCAAATTCTAACACACATGCCTCATAATACCACTTAATTTCCCCCTCAGGTCCTGGATGAATCAAGAGTTCTTCCATACCATAGTAACAATAGCAGAACATGGCAGAGAAAAAAGCTATTATTTGCCTGAAAACACTCAAAAAGCCCAGGAACCTAATTGCACATTCACAAACAGTGAATCAAATGAATGAGACTGCACTCATTGTTGGGAACTTATCTTTCCAATTACACACACGCTGCAGCCATTTATTAATGAACACAGTTTGACTGACTCAAGCTAGAGCAATCTGTCCGGTTCCTCCGATTTACAGGGGGTGCGGCACCCTGACTGAGTCACATGACTTTGATGACATTCTGAGGGATGTGAATGGGCCAGATAGTTTGAGAGTATTTTTGTGGGGGGAGACAGCTTGTGCCTGAGAGTCCTGCCACCTCATGCACAGATGAACTGTGAGCTACTGAATGTGAGAGCAGTCAGCCCTGAATCACTGGGCTCTCTCTCTGTTATATAAGACAAAATGAAAAGAGGACTGGCTGGAGGGGGATGGCTGATGCCTTAACCTCCTGAAATCATTACATTAGCTGACAAGGAGTGGAAAAGACAGTCATGCTATACACTCCATACACACCACAATCTGATTTACTACAGTCAAATCAATACAACACAGTAACAATGGAGTAGTTTAGACTCACATTTAAAATATGGAACAGACTTTTTAAATTGTGTAATATGTGAAATATAAACTTATAAACAAGGGTAATTACTGTATGCGAGTTTCCATAAGTTGTAATGCAAAAAACTTAATGTACTCGGCAGTGAACATATTTTCCTGTCTCTCTTCGTGTGTACAAGACAAGTGTCATGCTCTTTGGTCCATCTTGGCTTGAAGTGGAGAGCATCCTGGATGCATATTAAGCACCCACACCACCCACATATGCACCACCTGCTCAGCCTGCACACTCACACGATTAAGCGGCATCGCTCTTGTTCCTAAGACTGAGGTAAAATTGCGTAGTATTTGTGAGTCGTAATATAGTAGTATTTAGAGTCGTAAGAATTTGTAATGAAACTCCACAGTATGTCATTAATTTATAGTTGAACTGTTGAGATTCAAATGAAAACAGTTACTAATAAGTATTCTGGTGGGATGTGTTCCAGCTCTTGTACAAGCCGAGTGGGTTTGAGAGACACCTCTGTGATGCAAATCCAAATATACGTAACTCTGTTGACACGCATACATAAACACAGGCACATAATGCACTGACAATACACTGACAATATGGCACATTAACAGCAGACACCACTCATCTGCCAATTAGTTATGAAACAAAGTGTTTTATCACCCTGTTTGATGGTCTGCAGCCTGTTGCCTGGTGATATTTCCATTTGAGCCTGCACCTCTCAGGGGTGAGAGCATCTGCCTTAGTGTGAGACAGTTAGCAGAGAGGGACACAAAAGCTATATTACCACTTGCAACTTTTGAGACATTTAAAAGTACCTTGGATGGTCCAAAGGCTAACCTCTGTTGCAGGATTCAAAAATGCAAAGTTGATCTCAAAATGTACAATGCTGTGGAACAACAGCATATAAGTGTGGATATATTAACAATGATTAAAGTAAGAGGTACCTGTATGTTGCAGTTCGGAACCTGCAGAGTCAGTCTCTTGTTAACCTTCTGCTGCACAGTTACAGCAGGTGAGTCACCATCTGCCCTTTTCTAAGCTTCATAAAAGCCTTGGCTTTCTTTTTAAAGTCTGCATTTATTCAAAGGTGCACTACTGTAAAACAGTACAGCTATATAACACACACATTTTTTTGTACATTCAAATGACTGTAAAGAACTGTATAAATAAATAATACAAGGCTGAGCAGTGGATGTCAAAAGTGCACTTCTCCAGGTGTGTCTCACACATCCCGGCGCAGTCAGGCTATCAAACAAATACATTTGTTATCCATTTGTACAATTTATTGAGCTGTCAGAAGTGAGCGTGGCTGCAAGGCCACAAATAGCTACTGTCGCATGGGAGATGGAGAGGGTGCTCTCTGACTGTCCATTTCTTCAGCATCATTGCAAGAAAGAAATTTCCCATCACAGCTGGTAAAATAAGGAGAGGGGCAGGTGGTGCAGGGCAAAATAGCACCAAAACACATTTCATTGGGCATTTTCACAAAAGTAAGTTCTATCAACATGACTTTACTTATGGAATTAGAAACTTGGTTTGATTTAAACTCAAATCTATTTCACATATGAAAAGCGGCATTGCTCCAAAGCACTCTTCATTCTGAACAAAGGGTTATCAGCTGTCCTTTTGACACAGCTGTCCTTTTGACACTGACAACATTTTAGGAATTGATTAAAGTAATAATTGAAATCACAGTTGTGACGTAGAGCTCTACATTTAGGTGCAAAAACTCTACTGCAGTATTTTCATTCAGATGTGACACCTCTCGTGACTACTTCATTCATCTCATCCAACCCATGATCACTTGTTGTTTGCTTGCTGGCAATGATGTGCAACTCTTATTTCTGATTTGTACAACAGCAAACCTACCTCAGACTCTCCAGGTTCTCCTTTTCATTACCCTCAGTTTTTAGAAATTTTCAACAAATCCAGAATTTTATACATTCTTTGCTGAACTAAACATTTCAATAACTCATCCCACCTCACTCACTTATTTTGGCCAGTCTCCACTGAAATAATGTGTCAGTACAAATGCTATTGTATTACATGTTACTATTTTGGACCCACCAGCTCCAAGGCCAAGCAGAGGCCAGAGATTATGTTATATAAACAAAACTTTGTGAGTTACAGCTGGATTATTAATTGTTTGTTTCAACTGTCTCACTGAGAGCTGATATTAGTGTCTGTGAGGGCTAAAGGAACGGGCTGCAGTTTACCATCTGCTCAGCCAGGCTAGTGGGCCTGAGTCAGGGTGATAATTGATGACAACAGAAAGAGAGATGGACAAGGGCCCGCCTCATGGCCAATTCAACCCCCTGTCACTGCATATTCAGTGGGGGAAAACTCAATTTAAAAAGCACCAAAGTTCCTCCTTCTAATTTAGACTAACTTTCATTGGAGTGGTAAGTGTCTCACCTGACATTTGCCTTCTTTTATGCTCTAACCCCACTTCAACCTTGCCACTGATCTGCTATGGTTCTGCTCTTGACAGGAAGCCAGCTGCTACCCCTTTTCCTGGAAAAAAAAACAACAACAACAGCTATAATCACCAAGCACACACAGGATGCTGCTTCCTTGTATCAAATCAGAGGGTATTAAGGAGAATTGCACAGACACACACTTGTTCTTGTTGAAAGTGAACACTATGATTTAGTTATTTTAGTGTCTCAGCGGGAGTTGTTAGCCCATTATGTCCCACTCCTCAAGCTACAGATGCACCAGTGTTACTCTTATGTAACTGTCTGGGAAACACAGTTAAGACAATGGCTGGTTTGAGGAAGATATTGAGGAAACAGTGCACAAATTAAATCCAGGGTGTCAATGTAGCTTTGACCATTACATCTATTAATTTATATTACAACAAATTGTTCTAACTTATTTTAGGATTCAAACATAATGCATATGTTAAAATGGTGGTTGTGCATTATATTTCATCAAATAGATTTCAAATAATTTTTCTTCTTTTGTCAGATGTGTAAAACTTTTCCAGTGGGGGGACCGCCACCTGCTTGTCTCCATGCATTGTTATTGCTTTGCCTGGAATTATATTGTATTCTACTGTAATACACAACTGAATTTTTCATTTTCTTTCTTTATTTCTGTTTTTATTCCTAATAAAATACCCTGAAACATGTGTTCTTACAATGACCATCTCCACAAATCTGATTTGACCTGGTGGTGTCACCTGTTTCTCATGGAGATATAGTTTTACCATACTGTCTGCATAACAGATCGTAATAAGTAACACGCTGGTGCACTTCTCCAGAAAAGTTACGTAATGCACCTTTATGTTTTATAAGGAAAATTGCACATACATGCTTGTTTTCTGATTTGTGTAACAGCCCATCATTTGAGGTGAGCCAGGGATGATGCAGGTGCCCGTGGAGGCCTGTGCACCTGGAAGTAAACACATTTAGTTACAATGGTTAAATTAATTGTCCAATTTCCGACCGTAGGTTCGAAGGTTAATTTAGTCCCTGGTGTTGGCTAACTCAGGCTACGCGTAGGCCTACATACCAAGGGACACTGTTGCTTTCCACTTACCAACTTCATTTCCAACAAACCTTGAGAGATTCAGTGGAGTTCTGTGCGTTATCCCCAGTGGCCAATTAAGAAATTTAAGGCTGCAGAAAACACCTTAACGATCTTTATATACAGTGAATAATATTGACACGCGGTTTAATTTCAAATCAGCATTCACAGACGCACAGGCCCACACCGAGCATGCGCTGAATCACACATCAGCAATTCATCCTGACGTTCCTCTTATCGCATACAATTATTTAATTAGCACGTGGGTGATTAGCATTCAGTGTATTTCTTCATTCATCAGATCGATTCATTTCCACGGTGAGTGAATAATTGTAGACCATCTTTTATCGTATAATAATGAGAATTAGATTTGATATGAGGCTTGATTAGTCATAATTTTAGAATTAACATCAACACCACGGGCCTACTATTTTCTACTGGGAAATAAGGTAATCTAAATAAATGTAGGTATTTCTATAAGAATAGTTGGCCTAATCTAATCTAGACATCTATACCTATCTATTTATGACTGTCTCTCTCTATATATGTGTGTGTGTGTGTGTTTTATGTTCCCAGACTATGGTTATGTTCCCATAGCAAGGTGACCCCTTTGTAACCAACAATAATGAAAAATGTGTGTTGACAGAGCTGCTGTCTCCAGTGAACCAAGCCAGAGAGAGTGTCATGTCGACTGATGAATTCTCTCTCTATGTCAAGATGAATGGACACTGTCTTTTACCTGAGGAAAACCGAGCTGCTGAGGAGCCAGATGCAGCCACAATGTAAACAGTAAGAGTTTGCCATATTGCCCATTGTCTCCCCACACTGCTGAAGCCTTGGAAAAGACTTAACTGGGACAACTGGGACAATATTTTTTAGTTTTGATGTTTTGTAATCCATCATTATTCTCAGAACAATTATGAGTGGGAGGTCCCTCTTGAAAATGAGACATTAAGTCTCAAGAGGCCAACCTGTGAAGTATAAATTAAGACTTGATTAATTCTAGCCTAGTAAAAACACAGGCAGCTGTCTCCTTGGGTAAATGTTATTTAAAATATATTCCTTTTAAATTGTCTGTATCGTTGCTGTAAAAAAATGAATGACCATTTAATTATCTCCAACATGCTCGATATTCAGGCTTGTCTGTAACCTTACTTAGAAAGATCAAAGTCAGAGAACAGCCACTTAACTGTATAAGCAATGCACTGTTTTACCAATTCAAATTTATAAGCAAATGTATTCAATATTTTACCAGGTAGATTCATTGAGAACGCCTTCTCATTTACAGTGGCAACCTGTCCAAAAAGCAGCACAAAACAGCACAATAAATCATAACATGTTAGCCTACATTAAAACATTTGCAGATAAATGTTTTTTCCCCTCATTCAAATAGTCTTCAGTAGTTTCTTTTGTCCTGCAACCTTGATGAAGTAAAGAAAGAATGAGGCTTGTTTCACTATAACGTGGTAATGCCCAAAATTATTTTGTGTATCATGTAGCATTTTCTGCAGCCAGGGATGATACAACATCATGTTTAATACTGAGCATAATTAATCATTCATCTGATTCTGTGTCATATATATTTAATACTTGTTATCATTAACCATAAATATAGACTTTAATTGGCCTGCCTGTGCTTACGTGAAAACACTGCATGCTATTTCTTGAAGTAATTATTTTGTCCAAATAGCTTATATTTTTCTCCAGGCAGAGAGTGCTTGGGCTGAATAGATGCTGCCACTGCATAATGGTTCTCAGACATTTGTTTCCTTGGCAACGTGGGGAGGGCATGTGGAGAGTGAGGTATAAAGGCGCTGGCAGCCTCTCGCTGAAGCTTACTCTGAGGTAAGCACACTCTCTGTCAACAGTGAGCTGCTGTGACAACTCGCCACACACTTCTCCTCTCTTCAGTCTCAGCTCAGCTCTGCTCCACAAGTGGCTGTCTGAGAATGATGCGACCAAAAGATTTACGCCAGGGCTCTGGCACTAAGACTTTTCTGGATGCCATGCACGGAGGCAAGGTTCACCTTGCACGTTTCATTCTGGATGCCCTTGATGGACGCATTATTAACTCAAAAACAGAGAATAGTCGCACCCCGCTCATGCATGCAGCTTGTTTGCAAGACCCTGGTTCCCGGGCCAAGTTTACTCATCTTCTCTTGGAGAAGGGTGCTGATGTGAATTGTCAGGATGAGGATGGTCGCACAGCGCTCAGCCTGGCTTGTGAGCTGGGTCACCTGGATGTTGTGAAGCTTCTGGTGCAGTTCAATGCTGATCCTGATATCACGGACGCATGGGGAAACAGCGCTCTCATGTACGCTGCCTTCTCCGGCCACAGCCAGGTTCTGGAGTTTCTTGTACGGGCTTTTAAGCGGCTGGGACTGAGACTGGATAGAACAAATAATGCTGGCCACTCGGCTATAGAGGTAGCCAACTTTTTTGGACACAATCATTGTGTCCAGATTTTAAATTTCCCCTGCAGGAGAAACGTCGTCCAAGATGAGCCTCTGACTGAGACTAGTAACAGTGGGGATGGAGAGTTTCGGCTCCCAAACAAACTACCAAGATATATGTTGGAACGATTTTCCAAACAGTTTAGTGGCACAGATGACCAACTGCCCACTCTGTTTCAAAAACAGTTGAAGACAGGAGACAGTAATGGTCTGTGGAACCGCTTCAGATGTCCCAGGAGTCAGTCTCAAGATGATAACCAGAGCCACAGCTGGGGTCTACCTTCTCCAAACGACAAATGCCAAAATGAAGTGGACCAGAGTGTCCTTTTTGCTGCCAAACAACTGCAAAACTGCCAGCTCAGAGAGGTGAGGGTTGCTAAAACACTGAACTCTGTGCCTGAAACCAGCCAGAAAAATGTCAGCAAGGACAATGCACAGCAAAAGCAAATCTCAGAGCCTTCCTCTGCTTGGGGTAAAGCCAAGTCATTTAACATGGACCTTGTGAGCAGCAGAAAGCAGTCATATCAGGGCGACATCCGTGACTTGGGCCTGTCAGCCAGCAGATTGAAGAGAGGTTCGCTGCAGGATGAGAGATGTCTGCTGGATAAGAGGGACAGCCAAGGGAACTCTTGGGCCCTTATAAAAGATGCTGAAAAAACTATGCCAAAACCTCTTTTAACCAGCAAGTGTCCGGCTGTGAGAGCACTTGAGGAGAGTTGTGACATGGATAATGACACATTAGGCAAGAGAGAGCAGCAGAAGAGAGGGAGCCTGGGTCCCACCACTAGACACAACAAACTGCTGTTTGCCAGAGGAGACATGGATTCTGGGAAAGATCCCAGCCGCACAACTGGGTTTGTGGGATTAGGGACAAGGCTGCTGCGGAGATTCACAGCTCCAGAGTTCATGAAGATTGTGGTGGACTGTTCCTCTCAGAGCAGGGGCCGCATCTCACGCTCTGAAACATTCCCATTCTCACACACACACCAGCAGGTCAACAGCCAGCCTAGCGTTGACAGCATCAGTGCAGTTAGGTGCGAATTTGAAAGCTGCTCTTCTCAGTTTCCTCTTGATTAGAATACTGACACTATCAAGAAACAGAAACTATTGTTTATGGCACTTAAATTCGTCTTGACTAATGCTTTGTGATATACATTTTCATATTTTTGGCTTTTGTTTAGGTAATAGCTTTTGCATTGCTCTATATTTTACAAATAAATATTTTACTTGTACTTGTAAGTCTAAGATTTCCAAAGCTATGTTTTGACTGTGAACCGCAGAATTTGCAACATAGATTTATTTTGGATCACATTAAATATTGCTTTTGTGATTTTGAAAAATGTGTGTTTGTCTTACATATTCAGTGACTGTGCAATATACCTGCTATATACCAAATAAATTATACAAATGATATATATATATATATATATATATATATATATATATATATATATATATATATATATATATATATACTATATAAATATATTTTTGTGTGCGCTTTATGCTTGGAGAAATGACCAAAACCAAAAGTACACAAGGAGACTGTATGCATCATTTATTAATTTGTACAAAATTAAATTAATGTTAAATTCTCTTTGCCATGAAGGACCCACACAGAAATAGAAATACATGTATCCATGTCAGAATACAAAGACTATGTGCAAAGTGTTTGGGAGCAGGTGGACATCCTGCAGCATCACATGCCAGGCCTGTGTGCTTAATCCTATGCCAACAAATGCAAATACAGTCATACACATTTGCCAGAGCTGCATACACACCTCATCAGGTTTTTTAAAAAGTCTGACACAAAGAGGGTCTCACACCGCACTCACATCCATACATTACATGCACTCACAGACTCGCATATCAGTACAGAAAAGTAAAATTTCATATAATTTACTGCAGTGTATCTGACCTAGTAATCATTCTTCGTATTTACAACGTTTATTCAGCCACTTCATACTTCATTAATACAACGAAACCTTATTTGTAAATTCACATCATACAAACAACTCACAATACCTTTTGAAAAAAAGAATAAATATGAAAAGATACTGTACTGTTGATTTTTTCATTAGCCCAATAGTAGCAGCTGGACCCTTCTCTACCATTTGTGATGCTAATAAAGAGAATTGTCTTTCACATCCCAGTTTGGTAAATTTTCAAGGATTTGCAGTGGGCCAGGTGCACATCTATTAGTCCATGTGGAGAGTTTTCCATCAGTCACCATAGTCCCATTTTATCAAAGCATGTGTGGAGGTCTATCCTTCACATGAACGACTAGAATATCTAGTATGAACACTGTAATAGATGTTCCATACATGTACGAAGTTATCTTCCTATTGACCAATTGACTGCATTGTGCTGAGTTGTGTTCCCGCTTAATGTGACCAAACCAAGCTTAGAGGTGACATAGGAGCATGCTGCCTTGTACTCACTCCTAAAGTGCTTTTGTCATGCCCAAGACCATGCACCGTCAAAGTCCTGTCATAGCCAAGTTGGGCAGCAGCTTTTAATCTCCCTCTGTTTCCCCCAGGAGCCTTTGGTCCATGGATTGCCAAAGGAGCCAGACCTAATGCATTTCTTCTTCCTGGCCTCCAGTCTAGGTGGATGTAGTTAAGAAAGTGACAGTCAGCTATAGGGGGGTCAGCAGCGGGACATGCGTTTGCGGTACTGCTCCACCAGCGGGACCAGGCACTGAGGTGAGCCGCACTGCAGCAGGAATGGGTGCTCAAGCAGGTCAGTGGCACTGGCTCGCTCCAGGGGGTCCCGGGTGAGCATGCGGTCCAGGAAGTCTTTGAGAACAGGAGAGATCTAGAAGCAATTGGAATTTTAGAAATAGTACTACAGGTATTTACTACACATTGAATAAATGTTTAAAATAGTTATATTAAAATCTTACTTGCAGAATATTACAATTATTTTCCTTGTTTTAAGTTTTGAAATGCATTTTTGTAAATACTAAATCTGCATACCTGGTTGACATTTCTCACACTAGGAGCTGGTTCATCCCTCAGCCTCTTCATTGCTGCAACAGGAGTTTCACTGAAGTACGGAGGCTCTCCATCCACCATCTCCACCACCATTATGCCCATAGACCAAACATCCACCTGAATCCACATACACAGGTTAGTTGTTGTTAATTAACTCATATGTTTAATATAGACCCAGATTTACTGCCAACATAAGGAACCTCACACTCTGCCTTCTCACCTCAGTGCCATATGGAGATTTGGAGATGACCTCTGGAGCCATCCAATAGGGTGTCCCCACCAAAGACTTACGCTTAGGGATGTCCTTACTGATCTGAGCGCAGAATCCAAAGTCAGAAAGTTTAACCTGTACAGAAAAAAGTAATTAAAATGAACCATGTAGTTGTAGTGGTGCTGTACTTTTCACTTTCAGTAGTAATTTTAGTGGTTGCTTTGGATTTAATAATATTATTTTTAAATAAAAATACAATATATTGTTGAGTATTTTGAATAGCTGAGGATTTAAATGATTTACATCGTTAGGATACTTATTATTAAGGACAAAGCAGAATGTTCTGAAAGTAGAGCTTGTACCCTTCCGTCCAGTGTTAACAGTATGGAGTCACTCTTGATGTCTCGGTGGATGACTCCCTGTGAGTGCAGATAGGCCAGGGCTTGCAGCACAGCTTCACACACTGTGGCAATCTGCTCCTCATTCAGCCTGCTCAACCACACACCAACAGACAGGTTTTACATTAACATTTGAGCTTTTGGCAGGCACACTTTTACAGTGCAAACCACGCCAATCCATGGCTCAGAGGAAAGTTAATTTCATGAATCACTGCGATTAGAGACAGATCAGAGAGTTCAGATCAACAACTCCCACATCCCGAGTGACTAATAAAACTGTATGATTTTAAAAGTGCATCATATAAACAGGTGAGCCAATAGAGTCATATCAGCAACAGGAGGTCCTAAAGCATTTAAAAGCAAACCCAGGTAACCAGCTCTTTCACTGTTTTTACTTGTGCAAACTATAATGCTATACAAATTAGGCATCACAATTCATATATGAGACATTATTTAATTATGTTAATTAACTCCACTGGCTGTGTAATCCAACATCACCACTGATTTGGGAAAAGGAGAATTGTTCTGTCAGTATTAAATTTATATATATCTTTGAAAGCCTTTGCTGTGGCAGCTGGCTTATTTTAAATGTCATCTGGTTAGAGAGACACATTTTCATTGCTTTGTGTCAAGAGAACAGACCCCAGGGTTATCCTATAATGATTTATTCTGCCATCTGTTAATACACTGGCAGTTTTAGTTATTGATGGCTGTTTTGTGAAATAATGTGATAACTCCAAAAGTTAAAATATTATTCCACTATTTAAATTTTATGTTAAAAGCCTAGTGATTTAAAGAATTAAAAAAAAAAAAAAAACTCCTTTTCTCTCTCAAACATAATACAAGATGACTGGAGTCTTTATGTCCTTGCACATTATGAGATGATACTGTACTGCCCCCTTGTGGCAGCTGAAGTTATAAGCGATGATCTCATAAAAATAGTCAATGCAGCATACACAGACTTGGGCAGACGCTGGTAGTGCTTCGTACCTGGTTTCGGACACAATGTTGGTGAGTGCTCCCCCCTGCAGGTACTCCATGATGACCCACAACTCCTCCTCCACCAGGGCAGATTTAAACATCTCCACCACATTTCTGTGCTGATAGTCCCTCATAATTACCACCTGCAGGAAAGCAGTCGCTATAAAACCACAGGCTTAAAAGCAACATTAAATGGCCGCAAGGGTGATTTGCCAGTGGATTTTTAGAAATTCTAGCTACATCGTTCAATAGTTTTTCTTGTATGGTAAACAAAAAACTGCGTGCCTCCACAGTCTGTCACATGCTTCTTTTGGAGTTAAGTCTGAATCTTATCCACATGACATTATGTCAGGTTTTATTCAGCTAATAGATAAATAAATATATACATTTGTAAAATGCACTCAAACAAACAAATACTTCAGTACCATTATTTATTGGTATACTTGTACTATACTTCATGGACGTGGTAATCAGCAGTATATTCAGTGAAAATAATATTGGTTTCATGTTTTGGGATGTCCCTGCAGTGATATGTTTTGTCATTATTTTGCTCTCCACAGAACCTAAAAGCTTTAACTTTCACCTTGACAAAACTTTTAGTACAGATTTTTTACAACTTAATTTAGATAAAGTAGGTTTAAACTTAACAGTGTAGAAATAGTCCCATACCTCATTAAACAGAAGCTCTCTCCTCTGTTGTCGTCGTAGGTCCATCATCTTGACTGCCACCTGTCTGCCGCTGTGTTTCTCAGTGGCAATGCACACTACCCCTGTGGAACCTTCTCCTATCTTCACAAAGTTCTCCAGGTAAGAGCGTGGATCGCCCTTGTCCACCACCATCTGCAGGGCAGCTTTGAACTGTTCATGGGTGACTTTGGGTGGGTCTGGAGGGGGCCGGGGTGATGGGTGCTGAGACACCCTGAAGGCCGGGGAGCAGGTGCCAGGAGGACTGGTGGCTAGTGATCCCGTGGGAGAGGGTCTGGGCTGAGAGGGACTGTCCTGAAGAGGGTACGGAGGGTTGGGACATCCTGAATGTCTTAAGAATGGCTCAGGGACATTAGCTCTCAGTCCCATGTTTGGAGATAGACCGAGGGTGTAGCTTGCCGAGGACCGCACTGTCCTCTGGGGCCTGATGCCACCTCCCACCAGAGGACTGCTCGTGCCAGTGGGCAGAAAGCCCGAGTGGTACCTCACAGACGTCTCTGTCTGCCGGATAAGATAACACAGAGGGCAGTGAAAGCCTGCTGGCCGACTGCCTGCTGCAGATCAAGACCTACTTTTAAAGAGAATGTTAATCAACTCTTTACTATTTCACAGCACTTTGCCTGATACGACCCATGTGAATGCTGTTTATATGTATAAGTATAAACCGCCATGCCTGGAATAAACATACAGTATGTTCAAGCGAGTGGCAGCATCAATAAAATACATAACTAACCAAACACTTCATAATTAATGTAATCAGATCAAAACTCAAAATTAACTGGTAATATGATGCAGACAACATTTGCACAAATAAGCCTGTGTAAATGAATAATATATGAACTTACTTTAAGATCATAGGAAGAGAAGGGCCTCCCCGGGCTGTTCTGTGGGTGCATGTACATGGGGGGAGCTGGTCGCAGCTCTGAAGTAGCTTGCTCTGGGTGCTGTGGAGGCTGCTGAACAGTCATACCAGGATTGTAGAAACAGGCCACAGGTCTGGGTGGTGGTGGCAGTCCTCTAGGCAGTGGGATGTCCCTCTTCCAGATGACTCTCTCTTGAGGGCTGCCCATGTCTGCGCTCATGTATGCCGTGTGACTAGGCGCCTGGATACTTTGTGTCTGAGGAGGTTGAGGTCCTTCATGAGGGATGCTGACTTCATAAGTAGATTTAGCTTTTGGTAAGATCCCATTGGGTTGTAAAGTTATGCTCTTCTTCATGCCTAAATAAGGTGTGTTGGTTTCACTGTGAATGTTCCTGGCCCTGTCTCTCCACTGGTCCTGAGCATCATTGTCTTCGTCCTCGTCCTGAGTTAGGCTCTCGTACTGGTAGGTGTCGCCCTCGTTTTCTTCACCCAGACGACCCAGAGACTGGGCCCGTTTCCGGTTGGAGGGGCTGCTCTTCCTCAGAGAGTTTGAGCTGGTCACCGATAGCCGGCTCATATCGTTGATCATGGCAGAGATGTAGTCCCCGTGACCAATCATGCTCCCACGCACTATGGTCTGAAAGAGCCAAATGATTTATCTTAACGAGGCACGTGTCATCATCACATTATAGAAAGATTAGTACCATGGGAAATAATTAGTGTGATATAATCATAGCTGAGGGGCATGTTAAATTTAGACTTGAGAATCTGCTAAGGACATCGTTGTCACACTACAAAGACTTTCTTTTCTCCTGAAGCTTTTTCTAGCAATGCCCTAAATTTATGTTTGAGTCATTTAAAATATACGGGCTGTTCTGACGTTATCAAATACCATTTTAGATGCCATGGGCGAGAAAAGACAGAAGCTAAACTTGCCCAGACAGAAATGGCAGCTGTGTTTTTTGGTAGAATACTGTGAGGTGGCTCATTAGTTTGTCTAACGGTAGAGTCATATTTAGTTCACGGTCAGTCAACAGCTTCTCTTGTTTCTCCTGTTCAGCGCCACTACACATGGGGCATGCAGGTCAGGTGACATATCACCTCACAGTGCCCATATGCACACCTTTAAACAACAAACTAACATTTAAATTGTATATTTACATTATTCTGCATTTAGTATTTATTGTTCTATTTAAGGCATTTAAGCAACTTTCATTTTAGTTTTTCATCTCCTGTTATACCTTTAAGTACTCCAAAGCTCACATGATGGTCATCAAATTACCTTGTGCCAATACTGGCAGAGCAGTCATAAAACTGCTGTTGGTTTTTTAGTACCTCTGCCATAAAGTGCTGTGACACTACGCTCAGCAAAACAAAGAAACAGTGAGACTTGCATCAGTCACTGGCGTTCCCTCTGCTGTACAGCTGCTGTACCTGCACTTTTTATCCCTCTGCTTGACATCTGTGCGAATGCTCTATACACTGTTATTAATTGCCCGTGTGGCGTAATAAATCTTATGGTCCCTATGAGCATTCAACACTGTACACAGCAGGGTCATTAGCCCAGCCCCAAGAAGGGAGGAGATGTAATCTAAGGCTTTTTCTGAGACATTTCTCTGCTGAATTCACAGTATTCTAGTGTATCAATACAACAAGCACATCAGCGTAAGATTAACCCTTAATGATGACATGGTGGTCCAGTTTCAGGTGCTCTGGGATTAGAAGTGTTTATCTAGTACCTTCTTTGGCCTGAGCTCCACTTCTGTGATTCTGGATGGGTCCACCACTGGCCGAGGCCTCCGCAGGTTCTCTATGAGGCTGTGCCATTGCATGGGCAGCCCCACAAAGCATCCTCGCTTCACATCAAAGGAGGTGTGGACACGGTGCTCGAAGTTCTTGGGCGCTGATATCTCAGGCCTCTTCTTTTTTTTCTTGCGAAACATGCTCAGTTCCACACAGGCCACAGCTTGCCCACTTCACGGTATCCCTGAAATGAAAAAAAAAAATTAGCTATTAGCTTTAAAGGTATTCTGCATTTGGAATGTTGCAAAACTATATTTTATGTATTCAGTTCAGTTTAGGCCTGGGTGATCAGTAAATACAGGAAATGGTAGTCTTTATCAATTAGCTTTTATAGACGTACATTGTTATAGTTTACCTTTAATTTATCTTATTGGAGTGGCATACTATTAATATTCTTTAAAAACAAGTGATTGTGTCATGATTGTTATTTGATTGGTCACTGCGGACCTCTTCTCTATGTGTTCTGTGTATTCAGATGAACACTCCGACTCTCAGAGGTTGGCATTTAAACTGTTCCAGTTCTGACTATTTTACTGACTATATGTTTTGAAACGTATCTGTTCAATTACAGCGTTTTCTTTATCACTGCCCTTTTCTTTTACTTATGAAACTGTGGCCGGCCTGGCGTCACCCACAGGCTCAGAGTGTATTAACAGAAAGTGCCCAATGTGCATGGTCTATATACATGTTTCTACAAACAGCATTCTACAGCACTGCTATCATTCATATCCCTTTTTAAGTAGATGATGTTGTATCCTTGATTGCAATGTGGGCAGCCACTTAATCTTGGGATGGATGGCTCTGCATTTGGCGGGATGTGGTCTACTATATGTTCAGCCTTAGTTCCCTTTCAATGCAGGGAAATAATTAAATACATTACATTGCTTTCCTGGGCTGCACAGCTGTGAGAGATAATCACTCTTGTTTGAATCCTACTGTATCATTACTTTTAGTGTGCCCAGTGCATCCCGCCTGCTTATCACAACATAAATTTGTGCTGAGTGTAAAATAATAGTGGCAGAGCCCTACAAGGTGCCCCGATAGATCCAGATACTATCTCCCATCATGCTCGGTCAAGGGGTTGGAGTGGAGGAAATGAGTTTTGCAGCGTCCACAGCTCAGTGGGCTCTCAGCACCTCCGCCCTCAGACCAGCACGCCTCTAATCCACACCAATACATACGCCAAACCAGTGACTAACCACGCCACTGCTGCAACACACTGGAGGGTAAAGAGGGGGTGTGCCCATTCTCACTAGCCTAGGCCAGCCTCATTTTTAGAGCATGAGGAGGACAGAGGGAGTGGAGATAACCCTGTGAGGAAACATGCCACCCCCCCTTCCGAGGATAATTCAATCAGAGAGCTAATATGCTAAGTGTTGCATAAGCATATCAGTCTGTGCTCTCCCTATGTACACAAAATGGTGCTGAGGAGGGCTTTAATTCTATCTGACAGGGAGATTATAATGTGAAGGTGGAGCTGGAATATGTGGGGGACAACATTACATCCAATTTTAGTCAAATCTATCACTTATGGAAAGGCAAGTATGACCATCCCTGAAGACACATACGGAGGAAATTGTTTTCTTGTGATGTAAACAGAATAATCTTGACACAGAAAGTCACAAAACAGGTTATTCTTTACGCCTGTCCTAACCCTGGACAAGTACACTGAGTCATGGAGAGCATCTACTTCATAAATTAAAACCAACTTCCTACCATACCAAACTTGGTATGTGAACATTTACAAAATAATTATTACAAAACATATATACTAACGACATTCGCTATATTGTATTCCTTTTTGTCGAGTAATTTTTATGTGCTTTTCCTACATAGTAATGCACATAGCATTCCAACATTCAACATCTTCTCCCACTTTGTGCTAACTATGCAGTCCTAGTGCAGAAGTTGGCAATGTTTGTACAAATATTTACACAGAGCCCTCATGGATCCTTTACAAGGAGATCAATCAATATTTACTCATGAGTGAAATGCAAACGGCTACACTTCTCCACTGCCAGCAATAATGGGGTGATACCAACACAAATAGGACAGCTGCCTTTGCGCGCCACTTTATCAAGCCTCATCAGTTCAAAGCAGGCAACAACACAACAGTATTCATTATTCATCCCAGTACTGCTTACCTCTGAAGCTGCCAGAAAATTTTAACTGACAAATCTGATATTAGCACCATACTAAAACACACTGACACACTTTGTTGATGCATTTCCTGATGACAGTAATTCAGTGGATGCAATTATCAATTAACAAGCCTTAATCACATGCGTCTGGCTTTATATCGACCTCACTAACTGTGCTGAGCTTATGACTGTCTTGATAACAATGCACTATTGATTTCTAAGGCTGTGATATTTATGCAGAGAGCTGAACTTGCAGGGTGCATAATCATGTTTTCTGGTCACACACAAACTGCAGGGATTTGACCCTATGCCTCAGTGGCTTGTCTTGAATCTATCAAAGTGCTGAGGCAAAAAACCCAGGCCAGCAGCTGTCAGAAACATCAGCAGCCAAAAAAGGATGAGGTCACTTGGAAATTCTGCTATACACGGGGTGTTTCCATCTTTGAAAGCACATGCAAAGGAAAACTTAGATGATATCAAATTCTTGTGCTCAATAGTGCAAATGCTGGAAATTCTTAAAGACACTATTTTAGTATTAGTATAACCGTTAATATTTGCCCAATATTGATTAGAGATAACATGCGGAGAGAGTAGTGTTTACATAGCAGGGACATTTACACTGGACTTGAACCAAAAGCGCATCAGTATTTTTATCGTTATGACCTATTTTGCAAGTATTAATTTTTAAGGACAATGAATGCTGGCCTTACTTCGGGTATTGACAACCCTGTATGATGTAGTTGCAGCTTGAATGTTATGTAACAAGAAGTTTATACTGCGAGCCTCTGCCAAAATATTGGGGTCCCACCCTGCATCCAGACAGCGATCCAGGACCACACCAAAAATTTTACAACATTACAAACATCCTGTGAATGACTCTTTTTGAGTTTTCTTACTAAGATTTTGATAATCAACATGAAAGACTAAAACCTTGGCAGAGGCTGTTATTTGAAATTATAATGTTAAAAAATGTTATTTTGTTTAATCATCTCTCACATTTGATGTACATAAAATGCATATTAAACAAATACTTTAGTTTAAAAAAAAAAAAATCAAATTTCAGTTCTACTTTTAATGTGTTATTGCGTGCCAACACCTTCAGTTCCTCCCCCGAAATACAGTGCAGCCTAGAGCCAAATTCCCCACTCTCCATGCTGTCAGATGAATGCTTCAAATCAAGGCCTTACCCGTGACCGGATGGAGCATCTTCACCTGGCAGAGCAGTCATGCCTCTCATGCCATACCTAAACCCAAGCAGGCCATCCATATGTTTTCCATAGACATACTACGGAGGTTCCAGCCACTCTGAGCAGGACTTGTGGGGGCGAGTGGGAGGGGATAGAGATGAGGGAGATATTGGATTTGCTCAATGCTGCTGCTCCGAGCTGTGTTGAATGATTTTTTTCTATTTGCCCTGATTCCAGCTCTATCTTTTTGGTTGGCATGCATGTAGAAATGGTAGCGAGGGTGGTGCACGCTCAGGTGACTGTGCTGCCAGGATTACAGGCTTCCACTGATCTAATTTTAGGACACATCATTTCACTCTGCTCCTCGCGTATAGAGCCAAGCACGTGTTTATTTTGCACAGGATTCGTGTAAAAATAGTGGGGATGAATATGGGAGACAATTGAGATGACATAATCCTCTTTTTGCTCATGTAAGTCAATGTATCTATAAGTATAATCCAGCTATAATAAATTACAGTGGGAACATCACCGTTTCACACAGGATAGATGACATGGAGGTCTTAACTGCTGTTTTTGGACTGTGCACTGCAGTGGCAAGGGCTATTCTATCAGCTTCATTACGATGACCGTTTTGCCCTTTGAGTGTAATGAGACTGCCTCTCGAGGGGGTGGCAAGGGGGGGTCTTGGATTGGTCATGTCTTGTAAAGAACGCTCACATAGAATTTCATATCTGAGGGGGAAAGGTACACAGGCTTTGTACGTGACTGAGCAGTGCAATAGCCATGTTTATGATTTAAGTTGATGCGTGTTTTCCCTTTGGAGTCACCTCTGTCCACATGAAGGCATCGTCAATAGGAACTGACAAGTGATGTAATGAACTGTGCTCAATGACATGAAATAACATGGAATAATGTTGTTTTCATGCATATTTCATGCTGAGGGTCTAACACAGCATGCACAACTGAATGCTTGCAACTGGAGGAACTTTGAAGAGATACGCATCTGCTTTAGTGTGTTAGTAGGTGGTCAAGGACAAGAGTTTTAAATAGTCTTTCTTTGATTCTGTTTAGAGTGATTGATATTATACATTTACTTCACAAAGTCAAACAGTATCATAGAGTCTTTAATACAAAATTGATCCCAGGGTCATTTTGGTGTCTCACCTGGTAGAGCAAAAGAACATAGCCTCTCCACATATTTAGCTCTCTAATAAAATCAAGGCTAACTCACAAGAACATCTGAATTGTGGATGGCTCTATTTGTAACTAGTTCTTTATCTCTTGGTCCTATAATGACATTTAAGTATAATGCTGAAGGTTAGGTTTACATGACCTATTGTTCTTTTCACTCACAGTACTACTACTTCCCTGATTTTCTCTTATATGTAATATGTTATAGATTTCATTTAGATTTCTTATTTGACCTGTTGTATGTAAGAAACGAGCCTCTGCTTTTGGAAGCGCACTGTTCTGTAAAATATAAAATACGATGTACACGTGGAGGAGTGATTGATGTCAGTTGTTCAAGGGCAACAGGCATTCATGCATTGGGCCTGGACTAATATTGACAGGAGGACACATAAAAAAGAAGGTCAAGATGGTAGGATGAGGGACTGATATTAAAAAGCACTATACTTTCCAAGTGATTTTTGCATCACCTCTGTGTGTACAGTTTGCAACCTGTTACACTGTGCTCTGTGTAGACAGTGAAGAAAAATTTAAGATGAGACGCTTGCATCAATCGAAGCCATACATCATGTTGTCAGCTGATACATATTGACACTGATCCTCTCGGACAACCCAGTGGACAAGAAAACTAGTTTGCCCTGTCCTTCTGTGAGCACAGTGGCTAGCAACAATCACATAGTTGTAAGCATTGCCTCTATCTTTCCTTAAACGTGATGACATTGTAAAAGCAACACTTGTACTATAGAGCTGTGAGAGTTTATGGGATAGTCTTTACTAGTGCTGACACAACTCTGTGTAAATGTATGTATTGAATAGAGATAAGGGGTAAAGACTATGCTGCACTGACCAACACTCTCTTTAATTAAAGATTCCCTTGGCTATCGAAAGTGCTTTGAACAATTTGACGCTGCACTGATAAAGAAGTGTGATCTGTTCGGACCAATAGTATGAGCCCAAATCGTCTCTCTGGGGTCTAATTTATTGATGCACCAGTGCAGGCTTTACAGTGCACAAGCCTATGAGAGCTTTGATTTAGCTTTTCCAAGCCAGAAAAACCTCATTGTAATAGTCCAAAGCACCTGTCATTTTTAACCTGGGAATGCCTTTGCTAGTATCATTCTGCACCAGCCCCACTGTCCCGCTCTGTCTCCCTCTGTGGGTGCTGCTGGAACCAAGTGAGGGGACTCGGCACGCTGCCCTAATTTGGACTCAGAGTTTGTTTTAATCCGTAGTGCTTTGCGTCTCGTGGCCAGTGGGGAAGATAAAGTCGGTGATGCAGACTGCCCCCTGTTTCAACCATAATCTGACATTTCTGAAAACAGGCCATGTGACAAAAGTGAACAACCCACACCTGATTCCTGTTCCTATCTTTATCACGTCCTGTCAAGCTCACTGTACAAATACCATACAATACTATTTTCTGCTTTTAGTGTCTGGAATAAGGCAACAAAGGGTATGAGGCAATAGATCAGCATTCAAAAAAGTCATGTCTCACCTTTTCTACCTTGTCTCTCTTTTCCAGTATATCAATAAGTCACCCAAGACACACAAAGAAGGCAGTTTTAGACTTGTAGGACCTTACTCACATCCCACTCACACTTGCAATGCAGAATTTACTTTGACCTCACATAAAGGATATGTTACAACAGGCCAAGACAGAGTTTAACTTGGGAAGTCTGCTCTGTTGTGACTCACAACATGCTTGGTGGAAAATCGGCTCACCTTGACTCTTTATGTTGTAAATTTCTTTGAAAGTAAGCTCACATATAAGTGGATTCAGCACACTAACTAATTACATGCATAGATTCTACAGAGCATTTAGCATTTAATAAAACTAGCTACCAGCTGGGTCATCTAAGTACATAGGTATATGGCTTCTGTGAAGGTACATACACAGGGTAGTGCAGTAGCATTGCAATTCTCAATTCCTCTTACAAAATTATGTTTTAAATCTGATCCATTTTGTGTCTTTGTTTTCCAACTCCTTCACATTTACACAATGCAAACATTACTTCTTTTATGTGCTCAACCTCTTGTATAACTGGTTTCTTATGCATTGTATTTGCTTACAATATCTATGTTCCTTTCTTGCTTTTCCACATAATCCTTGTATGCACTGAACCTCATACACTGGTTGAATTAGAAGGATCACCGGCAGCCCAGACTTGACCAGAAAACATCAGAAGCAAACAGGAAGCTACTGTCTGTGGCACCAATGACATATAAACAGTTCACTGCTGAGTGGATAGTTGCATCTTTTCCCTTGACATACAGGTTGAGGAAAGCAGAGGAAGAGAATGTGGGGGCTTTTAAGGAGGAGGGGTTAGTAGAAGGTGAAAGCCTGTGAGATGCGGTCCATCACTGAATCCATCCACAAAGCTTTGTAGTGCATCAACACCTGGACACAAAGGCTCACTGCCTGTCTACATTCCCTTCTTTAATGCCTGCCGACAGCCCACACTAGAATGCTCTATCAATGACGTTAAGCCTCTTTTGCCTTCTCCCCCACCCCCCTCTCACCCCGTTGCCTCCACAGTGGAAAAGAGGTAAAATCTGTCTTTCCACCTTACCTTGCCTTGTCCAGTGAAGAGGAGAAGTCTCCTCTGGGAAGGATGTGGGGTGAGCACATACACACTCGCATGCACTGTGATAGCACGCTCACAGGCGCTCCGCTAAGGATGGGGATGGAGGCTTTGGAGCTCAAGCCAGCGCACACTGCAGGCTGCCGCTTGCCTGGGAAAGCCTGATGCGTTCCTCCCTCCAGGCAGAAGCGCACACGGCCATCTCAAAGGCTCTTTGTTGGGCTTGATTCATCACCGGCTCCTGTGCTGCTGGCTGTGTAGTGGTCCGTGCACCAGTGTCTTCTCCTCAGCACACAGGACAACCGTTTACACACAGCAAGGGGCAAAGCCATGAAGAGAAGAGAGGCAGCGTCCAGGAGAAATGAGATAAATATGACGGCCACATTTGGCTCCTTTACTATCCCTGTCTTGTGGCTTCTGTGTGTGCCTCACACACAGGCTCTCACACCCTCCCACCTCGCCGTCTCTCCACTCTCTCTATTCCTCCTCCTCCTGGTGCCTTTATCACTTCCCTCCTTCCCTGCCTCCTCCCACTCCCTCATTGGGCTGTCTTTTGCAAAAGCCCAGAATTGATAGCAGCATGTAACCGTGCCTGAGTGTGCTAGCGTGTTTTTTACAGACGGTTTCCAGTGACTGTCTGTAAGGCGAGAAGAGCTCCTTTTACACCCATCACCTGGCATACCTTTCAGCAGCCTGACGCTGCCACTGTCTTTCTACCCGTCTGCTTTGCATGTAGTTGGCGTGTGCACATGAGTAATGGTTGCACTGTTTTAGCACTCACCAATATGAATTATCTTGTGACAGGATTAGACTTGGCAGATGATAGCAGGCATTTTTGTATGTGTGAATTTAGAAGATGTGCATTTCTGCACTATTTCTGTAGAGGGTACAATTGTCATCCTTTTTGAGACTAACATGACCTAAAATCTTTTTTCAGTGAAGTTTCTTCTGCAAATAGCATCCTCGTTATTTCAAATATTCCCTTTTTAGCTCAGTCATTCACTGAATAATTGATATAGCAGACACAAAGCTGAAAAATATCAGGGTCAAACTGGGTTGAAATGCTTACAAAGTCATCAAGATTTGGGCCATACATGTACTATGTGTGTAAACTATTCTACAATCGCAATGACAGGAGGTGAAAAAAGCCTACAACTAAACCAATCTGCATAACAATGACAGATTTTTCCTGTTGGGGGTCTGGCAGCCATGACCCCTCCCTTTCTCTCCCTCTTACTTGTCAGCATTATTGTCAAAGATATTTATTAGCCTCACCATATTATATTAAAACCATGCATGACTTTTCTTTTTGGTTTACTGTAAGCAGCAAGAAAGGCAGAGTAAATGGTAGCAATTCATGTTATTGCAAGGAACCACTATTTGTTCACACTATCTTTGCCACGCCATTTATACTACTATCTGTGCTCAGCCACTATGAAGGAGAGCTGCTTGGGGGGTCATGAGGTCAGCTAATGATATCTCACTGGGAAGCACTTTTATGACTCAGAAAAACATCCATTCAGCAACTGAGAAGAAGGAAGAGAAGTGGTTTATAATGACAATGGCAGCCTTAAGCCATGGTGTCATTAAAATTAGAGTCTACAGTGACCCTCTTAAATGTTTGCATTACAAAAATTTTGACTATAGATTTGGGAGGATTACACAGCATGACTTAGCTTTATGGCATTGTATCTGTTATTAACATGTAAATTTACAAAGATACATGTATCAAAATGACAAAATGACAGTATTAGTTCTTTCTGGTAGAGGCTGCACCAACACAACATTTTATAAAATCTCCATGGAGGTGTTATAAATGTTTTTTTGTTTTTGTTTTTGATCTGCATGGAGACAAGCAAGTGCCTCTACTTGGTAAAGTTACAGAACATGTCTGTGGAGAGGTGACCCCACTCACAGTAAAAATGCATGTTATTGGAAAATTTGAACAATAAAAAATTTAACTTGAATAAATGCTATGCTAATGATAGACATGTTTAATGCCCTACTGTGGAACATTTCAGGCAAATCAATTCAGCATGTGGTGGGCCATCCAGAAAAAGTAGTTTTAGTGCACTTTTAATGTAGTTTTTACTGAGAGTATTTTACTAGACTTCAAAGAAAGCAAGTTGGTAAGTAAAGTAGAAAGCTTGATGGAAAAAGTTGTTGTTAACTGGTGCATGTAAACACAAATAGGTCTAAAAGCACACTGTAAAACATGGTCTGTACAAATCCTGAGTGTTCTTGTCTGTCAAAGTAACAGTGCTGGACAAAAGCTCTTCTCTGAGGGCCTGTCTGAAGCGCATTAAGGAAAAGGTAGCTCGCTGGTCGTGCTGCAGTTAGAGTGGGCTATGGATTTTCTGTCTGAGCCGCTATCACTGGCTGCTTGCTTTCATGGAGGGAGCTTTTAATAAGTCCCGCCAAACAGCATAAAGGATGCGTTAGGATGTGGTTATGCTGTGTTATTATAATGGGAGTGCAACACATACCCTATCATTTATCACAGACATTCAGCGGTTCACTTTGCAAAGCCAAAATCGAAATATGAAGTTGTTTGGGAACTCACCAGTTGAGAGGATCTGGTTTCTTGTCAGATTTTCAGTATGATTCCGTTTCAGTGCCTTTAACTTTCTACATAAGACTACTGAAATAAGTGGGTCCTTTTTAGCACACAACTGCATTGCATAGATTTCACTTGCTAATGAGTGAACTACCTACTATCTTCAAGTCATTCATCAAAGTCTGTCCTACAATCTGTGCGTGTGAAGTGGATCCCATCATCACAGTAGATTAGGTTTACTCCCACCACTCTAGTCTCTGAACTTGTGGGGGACATCTCCATTTCTGTTATTTTCAGTGAATGCTCTACTCTACTTCCTTGACTGGAATTTAGTAAATTAGGAGCAACAATGACAATGATAATACTTAAACAGCCTTTGCTCTTTTGACATTCTGATAATAATATTTATGTTAGAAAACTAAACATTATTAACAAGAGTTAAGGTTTGTCTGACACAATGTTCCCAGGATAGATAGAGAAAAGTTATCTCAGAAGAGTTATGTTAGACATTTATTGAACATCAATGCCATTATTACAACAAAGGGTATTTTACAAGGATATAAAACATGTATAGTTCTTTTGAAAAATGCAGCAACTTATCTGGGCCCCATGAAAGTGGATAAAGTAGGCAATTCTGTTTTTTGTTAATGAACTCTAATTGCATCTAACTATGCCATATTAAAGGATGATGGAATAATTAGATTTATACATGTTTTATGTGTAGCAATACGAAGCTGCCAGTTTTCTCTTCACGCAAGTGACGGACAGTATATACAAACAAAAAAAAAAAAAACTGTAGTATTTATATCACACAGCATGATTACTGCTTAGTTAATAAAACATGCATTTAAAAATGACAATAACATTTTAAGACACTCAAAGCTCAAAAACAATGTGATTAGTTTACATTGGTGCTAACAGTCTCATTCTTTTGACCTTTGACATCTTGTGACATCTTCTGACGGTATCGCTCAGCTCGCAGTTCCTCAAAGCAGAATTCCGTGGCTCCGCTAAGCAGTAGCTCTTTACAGTACATACTCCTCTCCTGGCCTTTTTCTGGTTCAGTCTCTTTCTGCTGTTGCTGCCGCTCTTGTAGTCTTTTCAGGGGTGTTTCTTCTCTGCAAGGTTTTCGAGCTGATAATACGGTGTTCACGGATGGGTTGATCTTGCATGGGGTCCTGGTGGATTAGGAAAATAAATAATTAATTAGGTATTTTAATATAATCTTTTCTTAAATATTTGGAAAAAGAACAACTCACATTGTCGGAGGCTGATCTGACTCCTCCACAAATGGCTGAAATGTTGGTTTGGCAGGTGGTGGTGGTGCCATAACAGTATGTCCATATTTAGTTTTTTGGCGCATCTAATTAAAAAAGAAATATCCCTCAGTTAATTTTGATAACATCAAAACATAGAATTAAAACAATACAAATTCTTAATGGTTTTCTCTTACTTTGACGTCACACCATTTTTGTGGTCTTTGTTCATTTTCTTTGGCTCTTGAAGAAGATGGTGGTGCTGCCCATGGCTCAAATCTTGGTTCTGATGGACCTTCATCAGGAACTTTATTTTCATCAAAGATTACAAATTGGCTATTTGTGGTATTTCCAAGGACAGGAGCACCTTGCAGTTGTAAACCTCCAGAGACACCTTAGCAAAACCATATCTACATCAATATTCTGTTATCTTACTTCATAACATTTACTAAAAGAAAATACTGCTTACTTTTGACAGCAGTTCCGGTCCTGTTAACTGGGACAATAGCTTTTTTCTTTCCTCTGTGTTTGAGATCGGCCAAAGACATTCTCTCAGGCTGTTTGGATTCATCATCACTGTCATCTTCTTTTGTGTTCATCAACACTTGACGAAACATACGTGCCTGCAGAGCTCTTTGAAGATCAATACAGATTACAGATTACATCACTAAAACATATTTTACATATCTATTATTTTATTTAGAATATTAAAAGTACGCACTTATGAAACTGTGTGAGCTTGTCTTGTGGTTCTGCAAACTTTTTGAATCCCTCCTGATAGACCAGATCTGCTTTGCGACAGTTGCCTTGATTCTCATATTCTTCGGACCAAGCAATATAAAATGAGGCTTGCAAATCTCCAATTCCCTGAGCTTGCATGTACCGATAAATATCCAAGGGCTCAGGGCAGTTCTTTGCCTGGTTAAACACACCAATATTAATAATAAATGAATAAATGGTAATTGACAAAAAAAGCAAAAAACAGAAGAGCACACATACAAATTTGATCCATAAGTCAACGTAACGAGGGTCATTATGATATTTTTTTTCTTCTGTAAATCTGGTTACAGCTCTTTCTAGTAGTGTGGTAAGGTTACTTTCTTTTCCTCCTTGAGGAAATGTTTGCTCTGTCCAACTGATATACCTGTCGGCAAGAACTATTAATTAGTACAAAATTTTATCAAATTCAGATTGAACATTAAATTTAATTATACTTACCTATCCCACACGTCAAGTGGGTCATCTCCATCATACATTCTTAGTTCTGTTTCAAAAGACCTATACATGAAATATGAAATACATTAAAATATAAAACTCTGACTCAAATCTATAAAAATAATTGCAGGCTCCTACTGTCTCTGGTGAATGATGGCAGAACTGAATCCATCCTGATGTTGGGTAAGGGCTTCTTGTAATACTGAAATGTGTCTTCCACGCCTGAGTGGCTGAATGTTTTCTTTGCACAGTTCCCATTCTACATCTCCCCCTTCTGCCATTTTAAAAACAGAGGGTATCTGTGTATAGAAAATATAAACACATGTATTTATTGTTTTACAACTGTATTATATTTTTCATGATTTATTAGCGTTTAATGTGAACGTATCACATGCAAATTTACATCATATATCAGTTATGGTTTAACAATAGACACAAGTTAATGTTAAATAAAAAGTTCTGAAGCAGATAGAGATAAAAGTTAGCTTTGTGTGAGCAAGCTAACGCTAACGTTATAGCATACCAATAAGAAGATAACTCACTGGTTAGACAACAAAAGACAAATAAACCGGCTATTCTAGCAACAACATGCTCATTAATTAATCGCCACAGTACAATTAGTGATTTCGTACCGGTTTCAATGTTTTTTATCTTCTTTTCCAAACAGCATGAACACTTGAACCGTCTCCGTCTCTTTTGAACTCGGACCGCGACCGATTTTTCTCTCCGCTGATTGGACAAATCTGAAACAGGAAACACGACAACAACGTCACTCTACGTCTTCCGTTACACTTCCTGTTTTGAGAGCAGAATGCGTTTACAGTATCCCACATAAAGGCTCTTATTTTACTGTACACGATTATACATATATTAAACACATTTGTAATAGCGTCAAATAGTTTGATGGACGACTCATGACTTTGAAGGGGCATAGGAATGGAGAATCGTTGTTACTCGTGCACATCAAAGTTCAGTCTCTTCAAAAAGGAGGTAGGTTCTCTGCTCCTTTTAATCCGTATTCACTGGTTAATTAATAAATGTGCTGATTTGCTACGTGTCATTTCCCTCTCAGCTGGGCTGTAAAAACTGCGGCCGCTCCTTATGCTCCAGCTGTTTGACTCTCAGCGCTGTGGTGCCTCGCTGTGGCAACACTCTACAAAAAGTGTGCAAACAGTGCCACACCGCTCTGACAGGGTACAGATCAAGCTCAACATGGACATATATTCCATAAGTCTACCTATCTTAATTACTTAAACATTTCTGTGTTGCTACAGTACCGGGAATACACCAGTCAACAACAGCAACAATAGATGGTCTCCGCCTGAAAATTATAGAAAGTAAAAAGACATTTATTTATTTATTATTATTATTATTTTTTGTAAAGGTACATAATACAAAATAAACATGTTATTTTATTCTCAGGCGTGTTGCTGCATTAGAAGCTAAACAACAAGGTCAATCATCACAGGCTCCAGGAGGCAGTATAAATGCCAAACCTGCCATACCTATACCTAAAGGTCTCAGTAAAGAAGATCAGGCCATTGCTGAGAGACTACACAAACTAAAAGAGGATACAACTCAAAGTATTTCTTAATATATTTAGTAACAAAGATGTTATTGTGATAATTTTATATATTTAAGTTAAACTTGTGTCCTTTTCAGAATCCCTCCCATCTGATAAAGAGCTTGAGTCTCGCCTTTCTGCTTTGAAAGCTCCAAGCAAACCAGTTCCTTCTGCCAAAGAAATGGAGGACCGCTTGGCAGCTCTACAGGGCTTGTCTCCCCCATCTCAAGCTCCTCCACCTGTGAGCTAAATGACAGCCAAATAATCTGTTATCTGATTGCATTAGTCTTTTCACTGTATTTATAGGATTCTTGATGAGCTCATATATTTGCAGGTGCATAAGCCTCCAGACAACAGGACACAGACTGAACAAGCCAATGATCTGATTACTCAAATGACAGAGGAAGTTGCCATTGACAACACACTAACAGACCCTGAAAGCAGTAGGCCATTTGCTTGCTTTCTTCTTTAAACATAATGTATTAATCCCAATAATCAAGATTTTGAATATCAATGTAATACAAAATGTATACAATCTGCACAGGTGTAAATTTGGAATCTATGAATGATTTAAACAAAGTTGAAGCGAGAGCCTTGGAAGATAATCTTGAAGAAAATAATGAGAACTCAAAGCAATTAGAGGCTGAGAAGACCCGTGTGCTGGAGGAGGCCATGCAGGAGCTAAAGAAAGAGAAGCACACCCAGGACGAGATACTGCAGATGGCAAAAAGATTAGCACAGTTGAAAGGACAGGACCCAGACAAAGGTGATCCATTATATAAGTTATGATATAGTCTAAAAGACCTGGTTTGTCAGTCTATTATATATGTCAATGCTTACACCTCTATCCATTGTAGTTACCAGGGAGGACTTTCAATGCCCTGACAGTGATGAAGAGACTGAGGAGGAAGCTGTTATGAGGGTGCTAAAGCAGGTTTGGAATATTCCCTAAAATGAAAATCCCCATTAAAATATTACGATGATTAATAAAACCAATTGGTTACAAACAAGGTGCGTCATTTTCACCATCCCCTCCCTCAATGCTGTTTTTCTAGCTTTCAGAAGAGGCTGCATTAGATGAGGCCAGTGGCTACAATATACCCCCAGAAATGAGCGGGCCCAGAAACACAGAAAAGAAAGCTGTCTCTAAAAAGGTAAACTTAACTAGTTACAATAGTTTAATATAAAACATATAAATTGCTTATCACTTCTTTCCAGGCACCAGCAGCTAAAGGTAAAAATAGAACAACAGCCATTTCTTATCAGCAATCAGACAGTGATGACGAAGAGCTCCCATGGTGCTGCATCTGTAACCAAGATGCTACTCTTCGGTGTCACACCTGTGATGGAGACCTATACTGCAACCGCTGCTTCAGGTAGTCCATTGCAGAAACTCTTATTAAAATATGGTCCTTGTCACTTGTTAGTCCCAAATGAAAATATGTATGCCCTAAAGCTTAAGCAAGATGCCTTTGATTTGAAATGCGTACCACGACCCAGATAACTGTATGCAGGCTGCTTCCATACTGCTAAGCAGCATGAATATAAAGTATTTATTGTGATGAATTATCAATCCCCTCTCCATTATCTCTCTAGGGAAGGCCATGATAAATATGAAAGGATGGAACACCGCACTTCCAACTACACTGCACCAAAGAAGAAGAGAAAGACATGATACAGGGCTTTTTTGTCGGGTTAGTCATTGTTAGACTCAAGTGCCCTAATAATTGTTATTGGAGTAAATTCCAGTGCCGCTGTGCTTTTAGTTGGACTCTTTGACACAAATATTTCAACATCCTTATAATACATAGATAATGTATGTCACATTATAAAGAAAATATTAGATCAGTAGTTCAGCATATAACTCAAAAACTGTAAATGATAAAAATGTTATTTTGTATCTGCAGTATAAGTAACTCAAGCTACTCAAACTCCAGTTAGTGTTAACAATAAGCAGCAAGATTGCCTGGCATACAGCACCGAAGTTCAAATATCTTGACGTTTTTTGTGCGTCCTATTTACAGATAGCAACAAAAGCTTATCAAAGACACACTTTGCACTTGTCACCACCAGAGGACTATTTTTAGATTATAAACAGTGCTCTGGTAAGACGTATCCTCATCCGACTGTCATGACTGAAGGTGTCAGGTATTTGTCATCTATATTTGTCCCAGAGTTTGATGTGCTCGTTCACTTTTTATCTTAGTGTACAATAAAATTTTGACTAAATTTAAGTTTTTCCAAAGTATAAATGGGCCTTATCTCAGTGAAATTTTAATGTACAAAGTACAGTAATGGAAGCACAAAAGACATAGCATGTGTGAGGTAGTGAAGGCCATACTGCGGTTTGATCTGAGCATTACCGTCTAGCTAACTGAGGAGAAACCCTAATTACCGGCATCTCTAGGGGGCCTGCTCCATTATGGCGTGTATAGAGGCCGTTACTGCGTGTTTGCCTTTTTGGTCATGTCGTACACAATTACAGACAGGAAATGGATGAGGCTAATGGATGCATAGTTAATGGACTTTGCTGCTGTAGTTTTCTCTGTGTTTATTCCTAGCCTTGACTTGCTGCTTGCCACTCACTTTCTAAAATGTGCTGATTGTCTTTCCATTGTGTCTACTGCATAATGTCAGATCTTACAACAATGTACTAGCTTTAGAGCAATAACTGCAAGCATTTCTGGTAGCAGTGTTATTATAAACAAGAATAAACTAGAATATAGAATAATCAGATGCTCTTGTTTATATTTATTTGTTCTGTATCAATAAATTAGATGGTACTATGATGTCATTCGTAGGTGGTGTTGTGTAGTTTTATTTTGACAAAGTCTACAGTATGAGAACATAATATTTATTTACATAAATAAACTACTGAAATTGTACACAAAACTGTCAAACAATGTATAGTTGGTGCATCTTTTCACATGTACATTATTATTGTGAATGTAAAATGTTGCAGTCTTTTAACATAAGTACAAAAAGGAATTAGTGTTTATTGAAAAAAGGACTTGTAGCCAACATAAATAGTCCCGTTGTTATTTTAAGTCTTCTTTATAGGCATCCAGCATAGTGAGGGAGATGGGGGAAGATCAAAAGCTCCACATTGTATTCACTCATAATTTGACCTAAAATTATTTCTTCAAAGGCCCAGACATTTTGCGTAGACCCTTTATCCTGTAGAGTAGCCCGGTGATAAAATCCTATAAAGCAGAAATGAATCATGCTTAAGACAAAAACCATGAACGATACAGTATAATACGCAATTGCACTTACTTCTTTTGGCTTTCCACATTCTTGCAACAACTCCTAACAAAGAAAAAAACACAATTTACCACATACTGAACCTTGATCTCTTCTAAATATTGCTATGTTGGATTCGACTTTGGGTCAAATGTTAAGCTATAAAACTCTATAAAGCTAAAAGTAAGCTGTCGGGTAGAAGCTGAGTCTTGCATCTTGTTGGCCAGCTTGGGGCTTCATTGATGAATAACAAAACAAGCCAGGGCAAGACTGAATAATTTAGAAATCACTGGAGCAAAGCAAAGAATTTTTAACATGGACTCACCTCCAATCTAGTCCTCTGCCCCTCGTCTGAAAGCTCCAGTAGTTCATCTATGTCAATCTCTAACTCTGGCATTTCCTCTTCCTGTAAATAAGAAAGTGGGAGTGTTGTCAATGATAATTAGGTTAAAAAAAATCATGTTTTTGTCTAAATGAAATGTAAAACCAATGCTAATTTTTGCATTAAATAATATTTTCAGTAATGTGATTGATGAGCCATGAATGGTAAGAGACTCTGAGAGGCCATCTTTACTGCACGTCACTGTCTGATTTCATGGATGGTTTGCTCAGCTGGCATTTAGCTCAAGCATGGAGCAGTGATTCCTCCCAGTGAAAATGTTTTTCAGGTAATATATTAAACCAGTGCTAAATCTTATACCAGTACTGGTCAAATGTTTCAACATGAAAAGTAAACCTTGAAATCCTGTACATGTTAATAGTACATGGATGTTTGGAAAGACTGAATAATAATTATTCTTTTGACTGTTTAACTGTGTATACTGCTGTCTGTATTTAGATTTTAAATTGTTGTACAGTAAGCATTTTGTAAAAAGTAATCAATTCAGACCCTGAGATGTTATGCACACCTCTCTATGCCCTGAAAAAGAGTCTGAAAGCACAAAGATATCTGGCGTCAGCAGGTGTACTCTCATATTTGACAAGTGGGACTCCTTTTTAAAGGGAATATTTTCCGGTTGGGGAATTTTCATGGCTGATGTGGATGAGGAGTTTTCTGGACCAGAAGAGAGCTAATCAATGTGGAAGTGCTGAGTGGCAGAATGGATGGGCCCACCTTCGGCTCAGTCCCCAGTGCCCGCTCTAATTGATACATGCTGCCAGTTTGGACCTGTGTGTTCTGCTGATGTCTGCAGCAGCCATGTACTGTGCACTTTATGGCCTGTAATGGTTGGTTTTATATGTGCAGTGTGCATAGAGCCAGTGTGTTGACCAGGCTGTTTAATGTCATATGTATGGTAAATTCACACAGCAATAATAATCATGCCAAAATATTTCTATGAAAATACAACCACAGCTGCCAAGTTCATAACAAAAACAAAAGTAGTTCTCAGGTTACTGTGCAGTAGCTGTTAAAAATAATCAAATGCGTTTTGTCGATCTGTGACCTTGGCCAGATTTTGTACAACTGTGAGGGTTTTCTCATTAGCATAGACGAGCCTGGGTTTAGCTCCCAGCAATTCTTTTACCATTTTATCAATACTTGATCTCTTAGCTTTATAATGCAACCTTTTATTGACTGTGGTGCAGGGGAAGGTTATATAGACTGTAACTTGTGTGTTTTAATATTGATAGACTATTGATATCCATCACCTTAAGAGCAAATTTCACAGTGATTCTTTTGCCCAGTGTTGACTTGACATTTAACCTATTCTGACAAATCAATAAGATGAGTTTCCTTGAGATCTAAAGCAATTTTGTATCGATGTGGCAACCTGATAGTTTCACTGAAGAAATTGTATCAACACTTCACTGTATTTGAACTGAGGCTCTCTACTATATAGTGCTGCTGATTCTGCTGTTGTTGAATATGAAGCAAGCATGATTTTACCATTATGTTATAAAAAATAATGCACTCATTTGCTGCTAAAGTATTTGGAAAGGTCAAAATGAAATTTTATTGTTAATATAATAAATATTCATTAAATTTTACAGTTTTCTCTCACTCTCTCTCACTCTCTCTCACTCTCTTACTATCTCAGTCTATTCTAGTCCCTGAGGAGCATGTTTCGGCACTTGAATTTAAGTATTCTCACATGTTTTTATTTATTTCAAAGGTGTGAAGTTTGTAAAGGCAGTGGGCGCTCCGGACCGAGGCAGCACTTGTATGAATTAGAGATGCAGCTAAATAATTCAGAGTGTGACACAGGGGACTGATGGTAAATGCTTCCACGCGGAAGACTCAGAGAACCAACAAAGTAACCTTCCCCTGAGCCTATGCAAAATTCATCATGCTGGCCAAGAAGCAGGGATAGCAAGGGTAATTCCACGCAAGTCACTCATGCACAAATGACTATTTTTGGTTAGGAAATGGTCTAGAAACATCTGCTAAAAATAGTAACACCTTACAACACAGGATGCAAATAGGCTTCTTATCAGTTTGGACATGGAACAAACTATAGCCTTGTTACAACTGTATGTTTCTGGGACACCATAAGAAAATGCATCTGATGTTTTGTTTCTCTACATGCTCCGGAAGTTATTCCACTTGGCTCACAAACAGTATTACTGATTACCAAAAGGCATTGTCTCAGGGATGCAGGGATGTAGTTGTGGGCTAATAATTGTCAAATGGCAACAATATTAAGACATTGTTTATCTGCTTTACAGTTGCTTTATCACCACATTTCCAACCGTATCTTTGCTGTAGGCATTCACAAAAATAATGGATAACTTCTGCACTACAGGGTCCCTAATTGAGATGAGCACACTTTGCCTGCATGTGTGGCACAAACACAAGGTGGCCCTGTCATTTGATCTGGGGCACCATTGGGAAGCTCGTGCCTCAGCGCAGACACCCTGACTGTGCCACTCCACTTCATGTGGGTGAGGAGACATCTGTTGCCATGGTTCCCCCTTACAGAATGCCAAGCAAATCAATATGGAGCCTCTGACATAATTGAATTGCATCCCATATACCGTACAGGAATGAGAGAGAGAGAGATAAATGATGTGTTTAAAGTGATATGGAGCCCTAATGTCCCATATAAAGTATATTAAATGTAACTGTGCTTGTAATAGGTCCACTACTGCACATAACTTTGAGGGATTTTCATATTATGGTCTTTACAAAGAGCATGTTGTGTTTGTATAGAATCGTAATTATTATGTGTTGTGTCTCTAAACTGTACATACAAATTAGCTTCTGGCATAATTTCCCAAATGCCACCATAATAGTGAACATAAAAGTTGAATAATAGGCTCTATGAAAGCTGACTCTGTGTGTAGCTTTTATTGCTTACTCTGTTTTGTTTTTCATTTGTTCGGGGAATTGCACACAATTATTGTTTACTTGATGTTAAGTTTTTATATAGATATTTTTCAGTAATCAACATCATACAAAAAATTCCGCCATTAATATAATCTCTTATCTAAGTCATAATTGCTGTTGTAAAATACCACTGATGTTTTGCTGTCAGTCTAGTGACACATGGGGAATTCTGTGCCAAATTGGATCAAGCCTCCCACACACTAGTCCTGCTGGCCGCAGTAATGTGTTTGTCCTGCTCATGCATGATGAATAGTTTACCGCAGGCACAGTGGGGCTCAGATTATCTATGCTCTTTTACCAGTTGAGCGATCTAAAGGTATAGAAGCATGTGTCCTACCTCACAATCAAAAAGCAGGTGTAGTTGGTCATCAATCCACTCCTCAATGTCCAGTCTCCTCTGGAGGTCTTTGCGGTTGTATTTTACTGTCAGCTTGCCCAGTTTACGATGTGCCGGCTCCTCTGTTTTGTCTGTGGTCTGAAACATCACCCTGCACTGGGCACTCGGTTCTGATGCCATGGTTCTGATTGCCACGGCCTCAGGAGAACCGTGGACACACGTAGGCTGGTGCTCCTGCCTTTCCCCAGCTGTCACTGTGCTGTACACACACACGCTTCTGTTCCCTGTTTTCACTGTGGCTCCTGCATGGATGTTCCTGGTACGTAGCTCACTGTTCGTCTTCTCAACAATATAGCCTGTGCTTTTGTGCCTGTCCTCTCTCTCGCTGTCTAGCTCTCATTGCCTCCTCCTCTTGCAACACCCACTGGCTGCACTATCAGGAGCATGGTAATGAGATATCCTCCTGTGTGTGTGTTGGTGCGTGTTTGCTTTATGCTCTCTTCCTCTTTGTTATAGCAGGTGTGGTAGCATAGGTCAATTGTCCCAATAAAAAGAGGAAAGGGGTAAGAGTGCAAGTGCAACTATCAAGACTTAACATGCAACTTTTTTTGATAATGCCACCATTTAAAATATATATCCCAAAAGTCACACACATTTTATAAAATATACTGAATTATTCTGTTTGTTGAAATATAAAATAATACAAAATAATAAATAATAATACTACAAATTGTCAACTGCTTTTCTGCTATATACAGATATAAACAGTCAAATCTAATTAACTATAAAAAAAAAGAACTACGCTCTGGTATTATTCATACGCATGGAGCCATAAGTATCCAAGTTCTCTAGTGTGAGCTGCCTTTAGAACAGACATTATCAAGTGTACATTTAATAAGCCTTGAAGTTCAATTTGGCATCCTCAGTTACATATAAATAATTTATGGATAACAGAGCCCTATTTATGGCTCTTAAATGTCTGATGTCAAATAAAAGTCAAGAACATGTCTGAAGTCACATCAGTTAAAGAAAAAGTTCCAAAGTCACAGTTTGTGTTTCTTGAGTCAATGTGGATTAACAGATATTAGATGAATGTTTCCACACATCACTTTCCAGTATGAATAATGACCTTTTTTCATTCTCTTTTGCAGGTCAGACAAAGCAGCGCATGTTCAACCCCTTATGTACCGTATGTTACAAACACTGAATTATTGAGTGTCCTGGGGCAGCTCACCTTTCAAGGAAAACAAATTCATTCATCTCGTCTTGTATGGCTTCTGCAATGTTGAAATATAAACAGCAGTGATCTCCTGAGTACTGCTTGTGTCATAGCCATCACAGACCAAGCAGATTACTCATTACAGGTGGGAGAAGGAGAACACAGTCACCACAGTCTGGGTCATCTACACTGTAAGAAGATAAGGAAAGAGTCCTGAGATTACATCGGTTCTCCCAAAACACGTAGAAACCATAAATGGTTCAAAAATATGTGTCAGATCACTTCTATAATAGACTGTTTATGTAAATCAGTAGTTTTTGGGTTAGTATATACTAGTAATTATGTGAGAAACTTCCCTTGAGATAAGGTTGAGATAAGCTCAGTGACTCATCAGTTGGTGAAAACAACTCAAAGTAAGAAGAGTTTCGTCACCACCACCATCATTATTTTAAGTACTAAGATGTTTTAGCTTGAAAAGGGATCTAACATCAGAACAGCTATAATAAAATATCAAGCCAATTGAAAAACAGGGTTACAGTGAACAAGATTGTGATTTCTGACCTTTTATTTGGTTATAAATGGAGCTATGCTGCCCTCATCTGGTCCATGGCTGAAACTTCTGGTAGGAATAGGTGAGCAGACCATAAAACTCTCATATATCAATCTTTTAAACAGAATAAGAAACATAAAGAGGCTTAAAATATACATCTGTGTATAGGCCAGTACTATTTTTATAGGAGATGTATAGATATGTCTATTATAGTCTAGTCTGGATGTCGTTAAGTTGTTACTCTTAAAATTATGTCACATTTTACTCACATTACAGGCCAAAAAACAGGGTAAAGAGGGCTGCCATCTAAAAAATAATAGGAAGGACTGATGAAATTAGGTATGGTATGCAGACTATTAAAAGTGCGGCTAATATTCAAATACCATGCTTCTTAAAAAATGTGGGTGTGTGAAACGTACAGTTCCTGTTAAATGATAAGCACCAGAATTGGTTGGATGACTTCGTTAGAACAGCCCCGTTTTCCTCTCGACAGGCACGAAGAAGGGAGTGGCATGCCCGAGGTGGAATTTCACTTCCTGTTTCTCAGGTGAGTCAGGTAATGTCGTCGACTCACTGAAGTTTTCGACAGAGCCGCTGGAGTATCGATTGCTGAGCTGAAAGACCGACGAGTGGTGCGCTTTGGAGAAGGTGACCAGTTTGAGGAGATCTTTTGAGGAGATAGTGGACTTTTACAATGTATTCGCTCTTGAGGCGCTTGGGAGTTTGGTCGTTTCTGCTTGTGTTTTTACCAGATCTGTGCGCTGCCCAGGCTACAGGTGAACAATGCTTAGCTCAATTCAAGAAGGGCCGGGATGATTTTGTTCTCGATGCCGATGAGTCTGTGAAAGATGGAGCCACTTACCTCTCCTCACCAAAACTAACGAGCTACAAGGACTGTGTAGCTGCCTGCTGCAAAGACTCCATGTGCAATGTAGCCTTCATGGACAAGGGAGACGAGGAGGGCCTGGTCAAGTCCTGCTTTTTATTCGACTGTTTGTATAAAACGAAATACGTGTGCCGCTTTGTCCGAAAGAAGGGTTACATCAACTACATTCTGGACAGTATGTATGAGAGCCATCTGCAACGGGAGGTCCCTCCAGGTAAGAAGCCGAGGCCTAGAATTAAAGGGAATTTATTCTAAACTAGTATAAACCAGGAACTGTCACAAAATGTTGAAGACGGAGCCGGCAAACATACAAACAAAATGGCCTGAAGTCAAGCCATAGTAACTAATTAAACAGCCTATTCTGCCCAAAGGTTCTGTCTACAGACCTATTGGCAGTAGTCTTCAGTTCAGCATGTTTACACACGCCCTAAGCCCCCTGTGTAGGCTTAACATTCTGTGTCATTCTGTTGTTTCTTTTAGAGAATGCTGTAACCTCTGTTCGTTTTATTGATTCAGTCAAATTCACTCTGATGTTCCCACAGATGATTCAGATCTTCCACCTGTAGCCAATGGTGGCTTGGATCTTGTTGTTCAACCTCAGGACAGTGTGACACTGAATGGCATTGAGAGCAAAGACGATAAGAAGATCATCAAATATGAGTGGTCCCTGCTGTCTCCGTACCCTTATGCTATAATAGAGGTATGGTGCACAACATAATGTGTGTTTTGGCTACTGTCCTTTGTTCATTTAATCCTTAAAAGGATCTCATTGAAAACATGAACCTTTTTTGTTGTAGAAAACCAATTTTGAGGACCAGATCATTGTGTCAAACCTGACTTCAGGAGTGTACAAGTTTCGACTGACTGTTACGGATACTGCTGGTCAGGCTGCCTCGACCCAAGTCACTGTACTGGTCTTATCTCCTGAACAATCTGAACGTATGTTTACACTTATGTGATTGACCAAAATCACAAGGGCAAAATACAACAGATAAACAAAACTTTAGACACAACATTAATCACATAAGACATTTTCTTCCATGTCAAAGGAAAAGAACAACTACAACTGCCTAATTGAATTATTTCAGAGCTTTGTCCAGTGAAGTCTATTTGTTGGTATACAATAGGTTGTCTTTTCCGTATTGTGGATATTTCCGTCGAGTGAGCCATGTTAGTTGTTATCAAACCTGCTGAAACATGTTTACTCCTTTTTTTTTTTGACCGATAATGAAACTACATGAGATGTACGGATACACTTTATTTTATCATGTGATTAGCTCTGCAATTTTTCATATTCATATAGACTTAAGTTGTTAAGTCTTTTTCCCTTTTTAAGTCTATATTGCCTACTCTACACAAAGCACATGTTTCTTCTTAAAACAGAAGTTAGAATTACTATCCAAGGATTTTACTGCCTCTGACATCCCACTCACTCCACCCCCACCTCAACGTAAACCTGTCATTCTGGTTTCAGCTTGGGTTACACAAACATCCCAGGAGTACTCATCAGTATTAACTAAAAGCAATCAGAAGTCAAGTTTGATTCTTTACAACCATTGTTTTGCTAATTCACAATGCAAACTCTACCTTTGTGGTTTATAAAATAGAGCCCTTCATAGGAAATGCATGCTTAGCTCAGGTTAACCATTAATATTTTTCCACTAAATGGCTCTAAGAATGGGCCTGTATATCACCTCAACTGGGTCATGAATTATATAGGAACATGAAACTGTTATTTTGTGGTTTTGGCTTTTCATTTGTGTTTGTGACGCAGAAGTTGTGTCTGTCATCAACCGCATGAACACAATTCATAATACCAGTGGTCAGCACTATGTCCCTTTTACTGCTCAATACTTCTTTGTTTTCAGTTTCTAATCATGGGCTGTGTGCATATGACTAATGTCACTAGACTAGATGTGGTTAAAATCAAGACATTCTAATACATCAGCAGGTTTTAAGACAAGAAAGATGTGCTCAGCATTAGTTTGGGTTGACATGGAGCTCAACATTGCACCCCCCTCCCCATTTTTCCCATAGTCATTCCAAATGTATATTAAAAGTCTTATTTATTTTATATATATTTATATATATATATATATATATATATATATATATATATATATATATATATATATATATATATATGTATATATATATATATATATATATATATATATTGTATATATATACACACACACACACACACACACACACACATTTTTTAATCTTTTCCTGAAACTTTTAACCAAGTTATTAATTAAAGCAGATTGCAGAATATTGCATTTTAAAAGTGCTTTTTGTACTTAAACACATTATGGGTGTGTTACCACCTTGTAGCTTCACTATGCTTTTGAACCTGTAATATTTGGATTTTTTGAAAAGTTTATGGGAAAAATAAATTCAAAATTTACTTCTGGAACCAAAGCTCACTTCGTAGTATGCGGTCCTGCTTCATTAAGCCTGACCACACACTACATGGCAAAAAAAATCACTTTATAGTAAATGAGTATGGGTTTTACTCATATTGCAAGAAATAAGGCTCTATAACACATTCGTTATTGTATCCACTGTCTGTCTCTCGCTCTTTCTCTTTCTCATTTAATTTTGTTCTAGTTGTATCATGATTCCTCAAATATGTAGGAACATAAACATTTAAATGACACATATATTTTGTCCCGCCAGACCACTGTATGGCTCCAAAGAAGGTGGGGCCCTGCCGTGGATCTTTCCCTCGTTGGCATTACAATGCTGCTTCAGAAAAGTGTGAGAAGTTCACCTTTGGAGGCTGCAGGGAGAACCGCAACAATTACTTGAGCAAGGACGAATGCACCAAAGCCTGCTCTGGCACAGGTACCACTGCTTGGTTTTCATAAATTTGCTATTTATCTTAAAATGAATATCACAAAATTTACAAATGCGTTGTTTTGTTTTATTATATTTTATTATGACTTGTTTTTTGTAGAGAAGCTTGACAAAACTGGCCGAGGTTTGCCACTGGATCCTTCTGGAGGTAATCTGTCCTCAAATAGAAATGAACAGATCATTGTTGTGCACATCATGTATAAGAAGTGACTTAATGTTGTGGTGTGCTTCAGGTGAGCAGTGTGGTCAACCTTGTACTGGAGGACAGTTTAAATGTGCAAACGACTGCTGTATAGAGAATGACCTGGAGTGTGATGGGAGCCCACAATGCAAAGATGGCTCAGATGAACAAAACTGTGAAGAGTGTAAGTAAACATTAATATGAATCATTAACAATATATATCCCAGTGAAAATACTAATTTAATTGTATACCTTTTTCCCTTTGAAGTGGATAAAAATTTCAGCATTCTCCTACAAATCCCTCTAGATGAAAATAAAGGTAAACCACCTGCAATAATGCATTTGTTGGAAATCTACTGCCGGATTTACACTGAGTGCAAGTGTGGTGTGGGACGTATTTACAGCGAGTTACTTGCAGGTTGTCTGTACACAAAACAAGACAGCTGCATTGCATATATGACCAAAGCAATGTGGTTTCATGTGGGGTCATATGATAATTTTAACGTAATTACCTGTAAACCCTGCAGTGTCTGGCAAAAATAGACTTCTTGCGGATTCTTTCCACAGATCTGTACCTCACCTACACACTCACTCCTAAGAGGCTTTTAATGGCTTTGTAAGTCTTGCGGTACACACACGAGACGCGAACCACACCACACTGCACTTGCAGTCAGTGTACACCGTGCATAATTATCACTTCTAAACAATTCAATCCTTGGCTTCCACAGTCCGGTGTACAGAGCCCCCTCGCACTGGAAACTGCAGAGACAGTTTCTCCAAGTGGTACTACAACCCTATGAAGCAGGACTGCTTCCGCTTCAACTACGGTGGCTGCCAGGGGAATGAAAACAGATTTGACACAAAGGAACAGTGCATGAAAATGTGCAGAGGAGTAACAGGTGAGGAATGACTATTGAGCAGCATGTTGACGTATTTCCAAATATATGCAAATATATCTACCCATATCTGTATATATAAAGTTAAGTAATCACTTATGTACATGTGCTGCCTGTGACATAACAAGTCAATATTTTGCTAAACTAATTCCGTATAATGTAATATAAAGTGCAACCTCCCTTAGTGAACATATTTAAGATGGCCACATTTCACAATTCTATTTTTTCAGAAAAAGACGTGTTTGAAAGGCGGTTTGAACCCAGGGTCTCTGAAAGTCAGACAGGTATTTATCACTTTTAAAATTTAACCTTACCTGTAAAGTGAACATTTCTTATGTGTATCCCTGCAGTCCAATAAAGCTTTGTCCTCCTCCAGTTCACCTTTCCAGTTCACTGAGTCACTTTAACCACTGTGATTTACTGATGCCTTCTTTCCTGCCTTTTATGTTATTGTCTCCATATTACTAGCTTCTAGTAAATCATTTTTGTTTTATTTTTAAACAGGAATTATTGCAATAGCAGCTCTTCTGGGACTAGGCATTTTCATTCTTCTGTGCATCATGGTGTACTGCATGGTCAAACGAAAGAAGAAGACTGTACAGCACCACCGCGTGCCTGTTAACACCATCCCAGTCTCTTCAATGGAGGACAGGGATCATTTGGTGTATAACAGCACAACCAAACCCATCTGACCCCCAGAGCATGACCTTTGAACTCAGCCTTAGTGCTGGGTTCAACTCTATACGGTTAAGAATGAACTCAGATTGATGAGGATTTAATAGTTAATGTTGTTTTAATGCTCAAGGAGGAGTTCTGTCATTATTGCATCAATGCATCATACAGATCCTTTTTTAAGAAAGCACACACAAAAGTGAGTTAACTTTTAAATATGTTTGAATTGTGTAACTTGGCTTAATGCAGTAGTGTAACATTGGATACGTTTTCGTCTCAGGTAAAATGCAGAATACATGTTTATGGTGTTACTTAAATAATTTAGTTAAGGACAAGTTTGTGTGTGCTTTTAGAATTTCAAGCTACTGAGCTTTAATGACGTCTTTGATTTTGTCGCTTTGTTACACACTGCACTTGGCTAAACCTTTATGTACATATTTTAGCAAAGTGATATTTTATGTTTTTAAACTGTTGACAAATGCCCATTATGCAATGAACAAAATGTTGTTGTTGTTTTTTTTCATATTATAAGCTCACTTGTCACAAACTCCTTCAGACCTTCAAGCCTCTGTACATATGACCTTGTAGATGTGGAACCATTTGTAGTAAATAAAATATTAACCACAAGTGTCTTGCAAAGGAAATGACAGGACTCCACCCACAATCTATCTGAACTTTGCGTATTGCAAATCTAACCATCCTAATGCAAATAATTTCAGCTAGACAGACTGTAGGTGTAGCCTTCAAGGCACTGTCACAATAGTCTGAGGTGCTATTTAACATACTATTATTATTTTGTAAAACTTCAAGCTTTTCCGTATTCAGGGTTTGCTGACAAGCTTTTCTGGTTCAACAGAAAACGCAGTTTTACTGTGCTGCTTATTTAAAATGGTGAAGGTTGTAGCAGCAAAAGTTGGCAGCTCTCTAAATGAATTGCTGTGTCTAGTTCACAATCCCAATGTTACAGGCTTATTTTAACGATTTCCAGAAAAACTGAAAGTTAATTTGCAGAAGGCCAGTCTGAGCCTCACTCTGGTTTTTCGATAGTCTCTAGCATTTTTGTGTTGTGAAAACTTGCAATGCATACTTTTCCCAGCAGGTGGCAAACTTGTATTATCAATTACGCCATCAACACTTAACACTGAAGATAAAATGAAAATAACTTTACGTTATTGTGGTTTGCCTGATATTTTTCGGAGTTTAAGCGTCAGACGGGGGGCATAGGGGGTCACACAAAGCACACCCGCCCCTTTCTGTTTCATTAGACACGCATAAATCAGCACCCTTCCAATTGATTCACCCGGCTCGTCCATTGTTAACCACTCTTTCTACTGACTTGACCCCCATAAATGTAATAGTCAAGGTTACAATTTGTTACGGCGGTTCACAAGGCCGTCAGTCTGTCAATGGGCTCCAATACGCTGTTTTCTTTGGGTTATGGAAATTTAGATACTACTACTTCCAAAAGGAGCAAAAAATAATGCATATCAATCCATCCATCTATATTTATTTATTTATTTATTAGTTAGTTAGTTAGTTAGTTATTTAGTTATATGTCCTGTAAGAATCGGGCTGTACTGCGTTGCCTTCAAGTTTTTGCTGTAACATGGGTTAATTATAAAAGTCAGTATTATCAAGAATGGTGGAATGCAAATATAACTGAAAAGTTACCTAGAATGCTTTCACTATTATTACTATTGAGTATTATATACATATACGCTAAGCTAGTCAATATTTTTAGCATTTATAAAGTTGCAGTTACTAATTTGCATTTCACCGTTTTCAAAGTGAAGCGTTCAGATTTCCCACTCTCTTGAACGCGTCAGGATATCTTCCCAGTTTTTCAAACGCTGCAGTGTTGTGCTCATAGACTGTGTGGTTGTGTCTGTGGGACGCGGAGCCAGTCCGTGATCTGCCTTCCTCTGGGATGTGTCTGTGCGTGTTTCTACGGCTTTACCATGTGATGTGAACAAACTAACGGAATATCCTTACACGATATTAGCAACTCTGGAGACGATCTGACGGAGGGAAACTCGGCCCAATTGGTTTGTGAGAAGCTTTTTGCAACTTTTTACGGCATGTTAGCCAAAGTTAGCGCGTAGACTGCGTTGATATGCTTCATGGTTTGTTTATAGTATTATGCAGGTCTAAAAATTGTTAATTTTATAAAATCTGTTGCCATGCCTGTCTTTCAAAACCCGCTGCTTTTGTTTCATTTCCGGTTATTTTATTGAAACGCCTGTTGAGTAAGACTTTGCAGCACCGTTATACATTCCTTATCTCTTCCTCAACCAGTACATCACTAGCCTAGCGGTATTGCTCAAAAAGTATGATCCCAGTCTTTCCTGAATTTCACAACCGTTGATCTCTGAAATCCCGGAGGAGGGAGAGGTTTCAGTCTGATAAGTGATGTTTGTTTTGAAAGAAACCACTTTCTGTGAACTGGACTTTGATCTGATTTTAGCCAGAGTACCTTTTCCCTCTATTTCTGAGATGTGGGCTTACTGTAGTGCTGCAATGCCATTTCCTCTGCATTCATCCAATTTGACCCCCTATGGTGCTCTTTGGAACTCAATTGTTTTTTTCTTATGAGCACCCTATTGAGAGACTACGGTGCTTTAAATGTAGTCTGCTCATAGGGCCAACAGGGCTGTGACTTACCCCACCAGCTGTCAGGGTTATGTCTGGAAGAATAGGACAAAATCAATCAGTTACCAGTGAAAAGTTTCATCTTGCTCCGCTGACCTCACTTGACCTCTAAAACAATAACGCCTCAACTTCATCTTGTAGATAAATGTTTCTTTTCAGTGCCAGGAGCGGCTCTCTTCTTCCAGGTGGTCCGGACAGGAAACTGCTTGAGTGTGTCTTGGAGCTTTGACATCACACTTCACTCGTGGTATGCTGCAGCTGTTACACCATTACCAGCGTTTGAAAGCAGGCCTGGCTTTGACTATAGAGATTTTTTTCTGATTTTTTGCTAAATATTAACATTTTACAATCCTTTGGTTCTTTTTCTCACTCCAGCCTTTGCCAGTTCCATCTAAGATTACACCGCGGCTGGAAAGGTTAACTTTAACAAGACCTGACAATGCTTTTATTTGTTTGAAAGTGGAGAGTGTGAGCGATTTAGCATTCCAGACACCCAGGGGAGTTAGGCTGTTATGGTCTTAATTTTCATTGACAAACTTTTGATGTTGATGTAAGGTTGATTAATTATGGCATAAATCACACAGACAATTGTCTCGTAAATTAAATCGTTAAATCTCAAAAGTTAATTTCTTCAAAGGCCTATGTAGATGAGAAAAGTGGTTTTGTTTCAGGATTTGGGAGGTAGAATAAGTGCACATATTATTCTGAACAGAAGGTAATTTTTTTGTATTTTAAATTACATTTTTGCAATTGTTTAAAATTGCTATTTTAATTTTGAGTAATTGCAGAGTGCTTTATGCTCATGGTTTGACATGCACCTTTAAGAGGCAATGGTCCAATTCTATTTGAAGGGCAGCTTTCTAAAATTACCATGCAATTCTGTTCCCCTCTTATATTCTCTCTGAGCCATCATGGACAACACAGGTCTTCAATCTTGGAAGTTTTTCTTATTGATATCACACTCTAAATGGTCACCACCAATTGCGAGGATATGTACTTTTGGATCTTTTACGAGGAGGTGAAAATTCCACTTTCTTCTCTTTGACCACAGCAGGGAATGATTATTTTGTCATTAAGCGCTGTTTAGAAGTGCACCGGCGCCATATGGGCAAACCTCTTCTTAGAATGCATTCGTTTTGGTTTGGGATTTACTCGCTCCCCACATTTAAGCATCACGCGTCACAATGCAGCCTGACCAAAATAAGTGGCTCGTGCAAGTGTGGGAAGGCAGACATTTTTTGTTTTGGGTTTTTACTAAAGCCTGAAGAGAAAGCATTGGACCATTTTTTTTTTGTTTTCCCCAGAGAATGAAAAGCTGTTAGTCTCTTAAAGCACTGCGTCGGGGGCAAACCACACGAGTAATGTGGGAAAGCAAAATGGTTGTTTGTCAGAGGGTCTTTCTGCTGGGGTAGATGGGGTAAGAGGGTAAGGCAGAGGTCAGGCAACATAAATATTGCACCAATGCCGAAATCATAAAGACTTTGTTAAGGCTTGCGCCAGGATCACCCGGAGCACACTGTCTCATGTCAGGTTAAATATGAGTGTCAATATTGTCTGTAGCTGGTGATACTTGAAAAGAAACCCACTCCACTCTGTCTGCATCTCTGGAGGGTTATGTCATAGAGATTCCTAAGAGCCGTGTTTGGGCAGACGGTGAGAGGTGCAAAGGGAATGTGCTGCGATCCTATTTTTAGTTTTCTCTCTAGTTGTTATTTGGGATTAAATAAATACTAAAGAGTTAACTGTTGTAACGGACTCTGGATGATGAGTCATGTTGAGGAGTCAGAACAGCTGAGTGGGAGCTGCTTACTACTCTGTGTGTCACTATTGGCAGTAACAAAGAACAATGTTTTTATGTCCTAGGTTGGTGGTATTGTTTTAATTTTGGACCTTCTTCACTAATTGAGACAAAAAAAACTTGATTATTTTGAGATGGTGTGAAGTAGAGATTGACTGATATGAGTTTTTTCATGGCCAAAGCTGATACAGATTTCTTAGAATGTAAAGCCACTGATTGCTGATAAGCTCTGCTGATATTTTTGGGCCGATACATAGAGCAGATTTTCATTATTTTCCTCAAATTGTCTAATTTAATTTCACTACAAACTCACCCTCAACCCACAGCCTATAAGAGAACCATGTAGTCACGTTTTGTGCAGTTATCTCTTCATATTAAAGTGTTAAAAGAAGGCTTTGTGCGGATTCTTTAGACAGCTTGTCGAAGAAAAAAAATTATCAGCCTGTGTTGGAGATTTAAGCTCGATAGCCAATATGCTAAAAAGGGTAAATATTGGACTCATGTATCAGTCTATCTGTAGTGGAAATGGTGGGATATGACAAAAATCCCACAAGAATAATGCTATGTCTTTGAGTGTCCAGAAAAGTGTTATATAAAACTGACGCATTATTATTAGTTATTAAGATAATACAAAATGTAATAAGAGCAATACAAAATTCACATATAAATACATACATTTTGTTAATATTTTTTCTATTTATATCATAACATATGACTTACCAAACATAGATGCCATGGCAAATCATTCCTGCAGTTTGTGCACTGTTCAGCTGTCTAATGTAATCTCACAGAGATCATTCTTCGGAGAGACTATTATACTGTGGCCTTTTATTTTGAGCTCGCAAGCTCTCATCCCATCTCTAGTAAAAGCTTTGATTAGAATATAATACAATTGTTATAAATCACCATCTTTTTAAAAATATATGGATTTATTATCAGTATTAATGTTATTGTGAACACTGCAGGTATCGTATGTTTATGTTTGGCTCTTCAACTTCCTTATTTCCCTTTTATCCTTCCTGAGGAGACAGTGAAAGTTGTATGGAGTGATGAGCAGAAGTCTCTCCTTCCTCTGGTTTCCTCTGAAGACATGTTTAGTGCTTTCACTTCTCCAATAACACTGAAGGGCTGTCAAGGCTGCTGTCATCCCCCATGGATTATATTTGACTTGTCAAGCCTG